CGCCATTTCGACTACTTTAGTCGACAGTTATCGACACAATCATCAAACTGCGATGCCATTTGAGTCCAGATAAAGAGGAAAACGACCTCCAGATGCCATACTAGCCGAAACATTTTGCTAAAGTAAACATATTTTTGACTACGATCAGGAAGAAAATGAAAATGAAGAACAAGAAAATAAAGAAGAAGAAGTGGAAGGGATGCAATTCTCTAGTGTTGAATCAAAAAACGAAAATGAAGAGCAAGGAAATAAAGGAGAAGAAGTGGAAGGGATGGAATTCTTCAGCAATGAATCAGATTACTCAATGTTTTGATATAAAAAAGTTTTTTAATAATAAAATTAATACAAAATAAAAAATCAAACTCTCTGTACTTTTCTACAATTCTATTTTATCTATTCAATTTTTTCCTACAGATTTTTCGGCAAAATATTTGGTGTTGAGTGTGAAAAGATGAATATTTTGGAAAATCTTGTTTAAACATTATTTTCCAGCAAATAAGCAAACTTAAAATTCAGTTTTGTTTACGTATTTTATAAATTACTTCTTTTAGTATACTTTACAACATTTTTGCCAGAAGAAGTAGCAAGAAATTTTAAATATTATCAAAAAATTTAAAAAAAAATTATATTCGAATATTTGTTCCCAAAAATTGGGTTTTTGGGATAAAGGTTGTTCACAAAATGGGTTTATTTGTGCAGTATCTACATTGCTACAAAAAATCTTGACGATATAAATCGAATGTATGCGAAAAAAATCGATTTATAGGTCTAAATTGGGGTATATGAAGCTCGAAAATACAAACGGCCATAAAAAAAAAATTCGAGCTAACTTTTACAAACCCAGCGAGGGTTTTGCTATTGGATAGGTATATTTTCAGAAAAAAATGGTCCGGTGCGGTTTGATTTCGATGACCCGAAAATTGTCGCACAGTGTAATTTAACTTATTTTTGTTGTTTTTTTTTTACGAAAATATGTATGTATACATACATATTTATAAATATTTGTTAAAAAAAACTTTTTTTTTAAATGTAAAGGGTGTTTTCTTATAAATGGGACACTCCTATGAAATCTTTATTAGAATATCGAAAAAATTTAAAATCCAGATGCATTGTTTAAAAAAGTAATTTTTTTGACAAAAATTCAAAAACAAAAAAGCATCGGTAAATTTAATAAAATAGCATCGGCATTGTTTTTTTAATGAAACACCCTGTATATTTTTGAAAAACAATTCAATTGGGCTACCACTAGATCAATTCTAAATTAAAAAGAAATTTTGTAAAATTTTGAAGTTAATTGATCAGAAGAAACACGTGTCCCTGAGGGTTTTTTTTTAAGATAGGTAATTTATGAAATTGTAAGTGTTATTTTTGCAGATTTTTTTTAATTCAAACATATACCTACAAATTATATATATGTGTATTTGAAATTATAATAAAAAACTCTATCTAAATGTTCAAAAATATACAGGGTGTTTCATTGGAAAAATCAATGTTATATCTACATATGTATTTCATCAATTTTACCGATGTTTTTTTGTTTTTTAATTTTTGTCAAAAATTTTTCATAAAATTATTTTTTCAAACAATGCAAGCTAGATTTTTTAATTTTTTAATTTATTTTCAAATAAAGATTTTAAAGAAGTGTCCCATTTATACGAAAACACCCTGTACATAAATATATTTTTAATGTCAATTAAAATATCAAATACCAATTAAATACATCAATTTTACCAATGCTTTTTTGTTTTTTAATTTTTGTCAAAAAATTTTCATAAAATCACTTTTTTGACCATGCAGCTAAATTTTTTATTTTTTTAATATAATATTTTTAATTTAATATATGTGATACAATATAATAATATTTTCAAATAAAGATTTTAGAGGAGTGTCCCATTTATACGAAAACACACTGTACATACATAGATTTATTTTTAATGGCAATTAAAATAACAAAAATTATCAATATTAAAAATATCAAATACCAATTAAATACATCAATTTTATCAATGCTTTCTTGTTTTTTAATTTTTATCAGAAAAATTACTTTTTAAACCATGCAAGCTGGATTTTTAAATTTCTCCTTGAATAAAGTTTTTATACGAAAACACCCTGGACATACATAATATTATATTTATACATACCACAATTAAAATATCAAATAGGGTACCACTTACATACATAATATGTATGTAAGTGGTACCCTATTTGATATTTTAATTGTGGTATAAATGTATAAATATAATATTATGTATGTCCAGGGTGTTTTCGTATAAAAACTTTATTGAAAGAGAAATTTAAAAATCCAGCTTGCATGGTTTAAAAAGTAATTTTTTTGATAAAAATTATTATTATTATTACTAATAATAATTATTAATTAACTATCTACCAACTTTATCTAATTAATATTTATAATAATTAATAATAATAATTATTAATTAATTATCTACCCAATTATTATTTAATTATCATTTAAAAGTAAAATTCTATTTTAAAAAAATATGCCTCTATGTATACATACATATATATAATGTATACATTTTTAATTAAAAATAAATAAATTTCACACGTTTCAGAGGCATATTTTTTTTAAATAGAATTTTACTTTTAAATGATAATTAAATAATAATTGGGTAGATAATTAATTAATAATTATAATTATTAATTATTATAAATAATAATTAGATAAAGTGGGTAGATAGTTAATTAATAATTATTATTAGTAATAATAATTATATAATGAAATAGAATAGAAATTACCTCTCAGAACAGCACTAGGAATTGTAAATAAATAAATAAATTCTTTTGGTTACTTACTTTACTCAATAATGAAATAACAAACTCCACTAAATCCAGACACAAATAATATTATGACTGCAAATAAAAAATTGTGTTGTCGTCTCGTTGCTAAGCGACGAGTTTAGTGAAAGGAGGGGTAAGAAGCTTGCGTGGGAGATCGGAATTTCAAACAAATACCCCTTATTTTATCATATTTTCAAGCTTGGAACATTGGTGGGTAGATGGCGACACCTTACGGACACATTTTCTTGTAAATTAATAATAATACGCCTGGCACAGATCATCCTACCACCTTGCGTCTCTTCACACACTTTACTCAATGCTATTATGTTCTTCTTCTTCTTCTTCTCTGGTTTGATTGGCCTTTCCCTTCCGGGACTTAATCTCGTTTCTTTTAGGTACTGGAGTAAGCGAGTCTGGGATTACCTATAGCTTCTCCTTTCTTCTTTATTAAATAATATATATAAATTACAGCTTCTCGTTTTCTTCTTGATTATTTGTTTTATTTTTCAAAATTAATGTCCATCAATATAACTTCAGTCTTCATAGTTCATAAATCAATCTTTCTATTTTAGCATTACAGTTCAATCTTAACAAATCTTCTCAGTACACTCATCATTTAGTAAAATAGTTGAAGATATACCAGACAAAAATTTATAATGAGGTAAATGTAGTTTAAACAGGGTTTTTTTAAATAGTATTTTCATAATGTCTTTTTAGGTGATTTTATGCTCACAAGTACCTCAAAATAAGTTTAATGAGGAGCCGTGGGTTAAAATGCTGGAAGATTTTGATGACTATCAGTTTTTACTGGATAAATAAACGATACCTACATTGGATAAAAAGTCAAACATGATGTAAAAAGTTGTATAATCAAAAAGTACCATTTTTTGTTGCTGTTATAGAAAATTTGGAGGTGACAAATGCCAAAATACCCACTATTAACATCACCTTGAAGGATAAATCTGGTATTGTGAAGAAATTGCTTTAAAAATATCATTTAACTTTTTTTTTTTGGTTAGGTTCAATTCAAGGGACAATTTTGAATAATCTCTATGAGGAATATTCAGATTTTCTTACTGTAGGGTCCGTGGTGATTTTAAAACAATTTGGAGTCCTCACAACAGGAGAAAATAACAATTATTTAACCATAACCACAAATAATCTACTTACGTTATATTCCATGGAAACGGCCAAAACTTTGGATGATTTGAGTGAAAAATCGCTTGGGGTGAAAAAAATTGTTGTTAATGAATTAGATTGTGAAGAAATTTTGAAAAACGTCAATGAAATTGGTGAGAAATCTATAAAAATTATAAAGCCAAATTTATCAAAATTAAAAGTTAATAGTTCCACAAATTTCAACCAAAATAAAACTGTAGAAACAACAAAATCCATTTTTGATCAAAATTGTGATGTGGATTCTTTATTTGATGATGATTTCAACATCCCAGATAATTTTGAAGAGGTTGCCTTAAGTCAAATTAGCACCAAGTCCACAGAAAAAATTGAAGAAAATAAAAAATCCGATATCATAAAAAATATATTTGAAGGGATAAATACTGATGATATTTTCGACCATTTTTGAGTTTATATTATTTTTTATACTGTTTTTTGTTAATAAAAATATTTTTGTATTTTTTGTTCTTTTTATCCATAAAGAGGTTCTTAAAATAAAAAAAACAATGTGTATAAAAGTTTATTAATTTATTTATTCAAAGAAAATTAAATAATAATAAGTAACAAATAATTAGTACTTTAACTATCACAGAAATATTATTTTTAGCAAGTGGACACCAAAAACAATATTTGAAACATAAAGAAAGGAAAAAACGTACAAAATTTTTTAGTTAAACCTACATATTTATGTTAAATAATAATAATAGCTGAGTTGTTAAAAAAATTGCAATATATAAATAAATTTGCTATATTACAGGGTGACCTTCACAATTTTATGTTTAATTTGAGAAAAAGCAAAAAATAGCGATTAATTTAGGTTGCATTGTGTGAAACCATGATTAAATTGATTGAAGACTCCTTTCACATATATCGAGTTATTTCCAAAACCGTTGATAATACGTAAAAAATGCATTTTATCTTTTTTGTAGAGAATTTTACGAGGTACATTTTTTGTATAATACATTTTGACCTCCGATGTAAAATAAGCAAGATATACGCGAAAGAAGATCAAACAAATTAATGAGGTTAGATTTGAACCCTTAACAATCGGAAGCGTTAAAATCTACCCCGGAATTGTTGGTGCTTGAATTGGGGGTGGTATTTGGGGTGCCCTTTTTGGCCCCCCTTGCCAGTCTATCCAACTCTGCTGCCGCATCTGATCTCATAGAGTTTTTGTCTGTTAAAGACTCGTTTCCGGGTAGTTTTGAGTTGTTTAAGGAGTTTCCGGGTGTACCGGTTTTTTTGTGGAGGAGGGAGTTGAAGAAATTCGCTAATACACCCTCCCCTCCAGGGGAACTTACCACTTTTGACCCGTCCAGCCTCTTAGGGGTACCTTGAATACCTTAAAAGAGAGTTTAACATTTTTCCGTATAAGATACGGAAAAAAACACTTACCCGGTATGGGTGATACCCTAATGGGGCTTTCGCCCATTCTAGCTGTGGGTTGGGGCCCACTTCCGAAAGAAATTTGCTGTAACCTCATTAAAAACGCTTGCTCATCTTCGGCTAATATTTCCGTTTCTTTACCAACAGTTTTTCTCGTAGCCGGTTGAACAATTACATCCCTGAATACGAATGAATAAATTGACAACTAAATACAGTCAATTTTAATAAAAAAAGTCAATGATTTGGTTGAAAACAAATGCTGTTGATAAAAAAATTATTTTACTAAACTTAGAACTGATTTTGGCCAAGATCGGTAATATATAGAAAAAATTGCCTTCTACTAAAATTGTAGAGAATTTTACGTTCTACAAGTTTCATAACAAGGTTAAACGACTTTGACGCATAGGAAACGAGATATTCGCAAAAATGATGTTTTTACTAAACTAAGAACTGATTTTGGCCGAGAACGGTAAATTATAGAAAAAATTGCCAGGGACTAAAATTGTAGAGAATTTTACGTTCTACAAGTTTCATAATAAGGTTAAACGACTTTTGACGCATAGGAAACGAGATATTCGCAAAAATGATGTTTTTACTGAACTAAGAACTGATTTTTGCCAAGAACGGTTAATGATAGAAAAAATTGTCTAATACTGAAATTGTAGAGAATTTCACGTTCTACAAGTTTCATAATAAGGTTAAACGACTTCTGAGGCACAGGAAACGAGATAATCCCAAAAAACGATGTTTATGTTAAAAATTCCTAAATCTTGTGAAAAAATTAAAATTTAAACTCTCTCACCTGTAGTAATCATCTGGTTTGCAGGTTTGCATGTTTTCGTGTAGAATCGATATTTTTTTCATGTTGTCCCAACCAGATGGTATAAAAACAGCATCTTTTTCAACCACCAATGCTGGTGTATGGAAGGGAAAATTGTATATACGGTGGGTTAAATATTTGTAGAGTAAATCGCAATTTTTATCCTCTTTTACCGATATATAGAAGCAAGCAGCCCCATACTGAAGACAGAATCTAAAAAAAATTTTTAATCTGGTAAATTATGAGTACAAAGTGTCAATTGACTAATTGGCCAAAATTTCGTATTTAAAATGCTTTCTATTATTACTTTGACATAAGATTAAATATGTTTTAAATATAAATAAAATCTATAAAAAATACAACCAAAATGCATTTTAAATCCTTTTAAAACGTAATTTATGAGTAAATATATAACTTATGAGTACGGACTGTTAATTGACTAAATTTTTTGGCCAATAGGGCGGCATTATTCAAACTTGCTTCAATTGTTTAAAATCGCCATCTTACATTCGATAATATTGTTATTTATAACACATTATACCGAGTGATTGCTTTAAAAACGCATAAATACGGTTATAAAAATGAGTGTTGTGTTCGAGCAAGTTAGAGATAAATATTTTAGTGACGATGAGTGGGAAAAACTGCCGGATGCAGAGAAAAATCGGCATAAATTGATGTACGAAAATTACACGAACTGCGATGAGGAATACAGTTAGCTTTTTGTCGTTTTTTTACGTTTTTCGGCCCCTAATTGTCGAGTTTTAGGATTTTTAATGCCCGTACCGGAATTTTTGAAGAAAAAAACGTCAGTTGCCGCAAAAAAGAGAAAAGTGGACGATAATGATGTTTTTAGGAAACCCTTGTTTAGTGTTAAAAGTTTTGAAGGTAAGTTGTTTTATGTTGTAATTTATATTATACTTATAACACTTTTATGAGGTTTAAGTCACATAAAAATGCCGCCAAAAACTGATAGGGAATCTTTGGTGACCTAAAAATGATATTCACCAAAATCTTATTTGAAATTTCTAGAATATTCATGATTTTTTCTTCAATTGTTTGTTTATTTCAAAGTCTACTTTGGCATAGTACACATTTGACATTGATTTTTTTCGAAATATTTGAAAAAATACACATTAATTTACATTTTAATCCAAATTCTTTCCTAGTTTTTAAGAATATTAAAAATAATTAAAAAGATGATTTTTATATTTTGTAACCTGTCATCTGTCACCTATCATATGTTAACTTGATACCTGTTAACTGTCATTTGTTACCTGTGTTGCTTTGTTTAAGAAATTTAAACAAGTCTGGCGACACCGCAATTACTTAAATTTACAAAAATTTGGCAATTTCAAATTAATACTGAATATTTTGTTGGGTCAGGGGGTATAAATAACCCCTGTTTTTGGGGATTTTAATTAATAATAGCTTTGTTATCTAGGAATAATTTATAGTACACATTATCGCCAAGCACACATTTTACTGCCGAGGCGATAGCCGAGGCAGTAGATTGTGTGCGAGGCAATTAATAAGCTTTTGTTGCCAGGTTTTATAAACTATTTCTTTTTCAAGCATTTAATTAAATAATTATTTATGTTTTAAGTTTTATAAATGCCATTTTAGTTTTATTAGGCACGAGCGAAGTTTGCAAGCGAGTGTTTAATAAAAACGAGTGTCTAGAGAAGTTTATAAAACGAGTTGCATACTATTCTTTATCTACGACGAACACAAAACAGAATTTAAAGCCCATTTTATTTGCTAAACATTTGACGCTTGTCAAATGTCAACGGATTTAACCACACTTTTTCCCAATTTATAATATATCTAACTTCAGCTCGTTACTAAAATGCTCAAAAGCCACTATTACCAACTTCAGCCCGTGACTAAAACGCCATAAAGTAACAGCTCATTAATGTAGGAGTAGATAAAATTTCTTATGATTCTGTCACATCATTTTTAGGTTAACTAACTAGTTTAGTATTAAAAATATTAAATAAACTAATATTCTAATAATATTATACTAATACATTTAAACAAAAATAATGCAACAAAATACTAGACTAACTAATATTTTCTTAAAGACAATATATTTAAACAAAAATAATGCAACTTTTGTTTTTTTTACAAACACAAATGAAGAGGTAGGGAAATTTTAAATTTGAATGGTTCTCTTAGAATATTTTACCGATTTACTTCGGTATTTTAAACGCCATGAACGCTGCAACCAGTATTACAATCTATACAAATAATTATAATTGAAGACCCTATAGGGTCCTATAGAAGCCAAGGGATACAAGTGACATAAAAATTGGTACATTTTACTTGGTAATCAAAAGATATAATTGAATTCTAGCTTGGACATGTTGAAAGACCAAGTCATAAAACAACAAACAATTTTGACTCCAAATTACAAGTGTTTTTTTACTTTAAAAATGTACTTATACCCATAGAAAAAGTATACCCTTTGACTTCTAGGGTCCTCAATTCTTATATTATTATAAGAACACTTGTATCATTTTATGTATGCGTACGTGTAAAACATGTATACTTGGTTGCATAAGTAATTCAGGTAAAATTATAAAGCATAAACTTTACTTCTGACGTCACTGCAAACTTATCTTTGCCAGACTGCGAAAAAATTCTGTACTTATTAAAAGGAAAAAACGTACGGATTTTAATGAAAAGATTTTGTTAATATTTTGATTATATTGCTTAAGCAAATAATTGTAAGTGAAAATTTATTGTGTTTTAATACAAATTAATATTTTGGAGAAGTAATCAAAGAAAAACAAAGATATACTTTTTGGAAAAATAGTAAGAAAATGTATAGAATGGATTGAATAGAAACAAATTTTATCGACTAGCAGTACCAGTTAAAAACTGTTCTGTTGGTTATCAAAAGTAATATAAATAAATAAAATATATAAAAAAACTATATAGATATGTATATTTTACGTGATTATTTATTTATTTTACTTTTACTTTTACTCAATTGATTAAAAATTTTGACTTAAAATTCGAACAATTTTTTGGTCAAAAACATTTTTTTGCCTGCCACGGTAAATTTTTGTAATAGGTTTCTTAAAATTTCATCTAATAGCGAAATAGTGAAAGCAGCGGGCTGCCAAAAATTTTGCCCACAAATATCTATTAATGAGTAATTAATAATTACTAATTACCTTATAAAAATAATTAAATTTTTTAAAATTTGTCAGCGACCTTTGAAAATTAATTTTTAACTTAGAAAAACTCATTAATTATTTGTGTACAAAAATTTATTGTGGCGAAACAATTATTATTTTAAATTCGAATTTGATTTTTTTGTAATTTTCAAAATTCGAAAGCCACCTAATTTTTGATTATAGATCTTAATTTTTTTAATAAACATGACAAATTAACTTATACGAAAAAAGGTTTTTTTTGCACCACCCTTACATATATGTAGGTACTGATTTAAAGTGTTTTAATATTCGAGTATTCGCAGCTTTATTTTATACCTCTGACCAAAATATATAATGTTTTTATAGAAATTCGTAAAAATCCAATCAGAAGGGCAAAATTGAAGCCGGTCATTTATGAAGAAGTACCGGAACCGAACGATGACAGATACGTTTGTAAGTTGTTTAATTGTTTTTTCATTTTTTTTTAATAACGACGTTGTAGTTTGTGATAAATGTGGCACGGACAATGTAGATTTTTGTAAGAAATGTGGCGTATTAAGGTTAATAACAGATAAGAAAGTGGTAATGGGTGTTGAAGATAGGGCAAAAAAAACTCTGCCGTCATGCCTGGAGATAAGAGATTCGCCTATACATAATTTGGGGGTGTTTGCCAAGGAAGACTTGGAAAACAATCTCCAAATGGGGCCTTACGAGGGTTTGGTTACCGACAAGGATAATGCCGAAGGATATTCGTGGAAATTGAACAACGGGACTTTGGTAAGAAGATAGCTTTATATATTATTTTTTGGTAATATAATGAAACAAACCTATAGGTAAATGCTATGGACGAAAAGAATTCAAATTGGTTGCGTTATGTGAATTGTGCCAGACACGTGAATGAACAAAACATTATAGCCTTCCAATATAGAGGAAAATTGTATTACAGAACTTTCAAAAATATAAAAAAAGGGGAGGAACTTTTGGTCTATTACGGAAATGACTTTGCCAGTGAGTTGGGTATTGAAGAGAATACTTACTTCGACACAAATCAGAATATCGTGGAAAGTAATATCAAGAAGACTATTAAGGAGATTGAAAACAAAATCGATTATTTGATACCCAGAGAAGAGAGAGCAATTTTAGATTATTATAAATGTAAATACTGTTTTTGGTGTTTTACGACAGAAGACTTCAAGTTAATACATATGAAGCGATGTAAATCTAGAAATGATAAAGTTGGGGAGACTTTTTATTGCGTTTATACGTGTAAACATTGTTCGATACAATTTTTTAACAAAGAATTATGTTCAAACCACGAGAGAAAGTGTCTAAACCCGATAGTTAGAGTTGAAAAAGAAAAGTTTTTTGAATGTGAGATTTGTCCCAAGAAATATCAAACAAAGAAAAGTTTGAATGAACATACAGAATATGTTCACAAAAAAGATGAACAGAAACAATTTAAATGCACAAAGTGTAATTATGTAACTGTACGCAAAAGTGACTTTAATAGTCATATGAATAATCATGACAAGAAAAATTATTTTAAATGCAATTTTTGTCAGTACATGACTGCTCAGTTAAGGAATTTAAATGCACACATTTTAAGCAAACACAAATTAGAAAATGAAAGAGAAAATATAATAAAAATATCAAGTAAAATTTATAAGTGCTCTAAATGTTTATATTCAACTGTTAGAAAATCAGATTATGATAAGCATATCAAAGTGTGCTTAAAAATAAAAAATGTCAAAACATATGAATGTCACATTTGCCACTTTACAACTATTCATAAAAGGAATTTAAATGGACATATAAAAATTCATAATAAATTAAAAGAATTGAAATGCTCAATTTGCAAATTTCAAAGTAATAGAAAAAAAAACCTGGACAACCATATTTTAAGAAAACATCCGGAATTGTTGAACAAAAACAATGAACATTTAATCACTTCTAAAGTTCATACCTGCCAACATTGTAATTATAAAACTACACATACCAGTCATTTAAAAAAACATTTAAACCGTAATCATTGATTATACCTACGTTAAAAAATATATACACTGCGCGTCAAAATTAACGCATAATAAGTAAAAAAATTCTAACTCTAAAACACCTTTACCAATCTTTATGAAATTTTCATTAAAAATACTTATATTTCATATATACATATATGTATATCTCGATGGTTTTTCGAAAAAATATTTGTAGAGACCTTTTATTTAATAATAAAAAACGATTAAAAATAATTTGTTACTGTTTGTTTGATTTGTACAAAATTTTCAGGGTATACTAATAAAAATACAATCTTTACCAGCATATTTTTTAATTACTTAAAAAAAATTTCCCTAAAAGTTATTTTTCAAACGTTTTTTTATTATTAAATAAAAAAGGTCTTTACAAATATTTTCTTGAAAAACCATTGAGATATATATGTATATATATGAGATATAAGTTGAATTTCATTAAGATTGGTAAAGGCGTTTAAGAGTTAGAATTTTTTACTTATTATGCGTTAATTTTGACGCGCAGTGAAATTTTTTAAAGAAAAGAAGAAAAATGTTTGTCTTTAAATTTTTAATACATTTGTTAATAAATTATTACCATTTATAAAGTATTATTTTTTCTACTTCTATACGGAATAAGACCATTCCAACATAACTTTTTAATGTGGAATTAAATATATTCCTTAAAGTGTGACAAAATGAATTATTCTATCATCGGATGACGGAATAAACACTGGTGGCGCCATCTCCAATAAGTAGATAATTAAATGATTTTCAAAATTAAATAAATAAAATCTGACATCTGTCAAATGGTTAACCTTACTTTTTACCAATTTTAAATGTTATTATAGTCGCCTTCTTCCAATTTAAAACCCGATTGGTTCAAATCAGTGAATATTGAAATCGGCCAATCACTGTTGCATAACAACGTGAATAATGAATTCATTATTTTCGTTGTTAGGCAGGAAATGATATTCACTTTTTATACTCATTTAACTCAAAAAGTACTTTTTGAACAAATTAATCATATTTTTTATCGAGTGGTTAATAATGCGCCGATTGTATTCGCAATTGTTAATAATTAATGACATTAATTTCTCCTCTCCCACTATACACAGTCTTATTTCTGCCCCTGTATATATTTTTATCTATTTTGCGTTCATAATGACTTCATTGTAAGTTACAATTACAATTTGTAAACTACTAGTAAAATAATATTTTGCATATTGATAATAATATTTTTATGATTTTTCTAGTACTTACAAGACTTTTCTGGCATTAAATATTATTTAACGCCAAAAAAAATCCTTTTTTTCTTCTTTAACATTAACAGTAAATAAGTAAATTAAGGATGGCATGGAGAATCGATTTTGACATTAACTGTCAAACCAATGACTGATACCAACTATCTAAAGTAAAATTCGACCAAATTAAATTTAAGATAAAATTATTTTTAAAAAGAACCCGTTTTTTTCAAAAAAAAAAACAAACCCTTTTTTTTCTAAAAAAAACGTTTTCTGTTTCATCACTACTATTTTTACACTTTCTGGTCTACCAGGGCATTTTTGCTTTAACGCTAAACTTGAACCTAAATTAAAATCTAAAAAATTATCACCCAATCAAGTTTAATAATGACTAAAATAATTTCATATTTTTAATTCGACTTACTTTCTTATACTAGACTGCATAAAATCTAAGTGTTCTTCCCTGTAATCCAGCTCTTTTTCCAAAGTATTAATATAATCAGTCTTGGTGACCACAACTAATATGTCCAAACCCAAATTATTGGTAAGTGTACCTTCAGGCAAAGGAACCCCCTCAAAATCCTCATTATCACCATCCCCCATATTTCTAGAACTCCTCTTCATGGGCGAAGCCGGATCCAAAGGTAATAAAAAAGGTAAACGGAAATACACTTTAACTATTGCAAAGGTTTAAGAATTTCGAATCGTGATTATAAACTAATTTAGCGGATTAACAAACTTTCGGAGCTCGAACTTAACAATTAATGTAGTAAACTAAGGTAGAAAATAAACTGAATTTCTCTAAAGATACAAATTTTTATGATGGTCAGCATGGTAAATCCACAATATTAACTAAAATTTTTCTACCTATATTTACAAAGTTTATGGCTTCAAAACAACCATTATTAATTTAACACGTACTTTTTAACAGACCTTGTTGTGTGGATTGTTGTGTGGATTGTGGCCAATAGAGCATTATTCAAACTTGCTTCAATTGTTTAAAATCGGTAAAATTGTTTATAACAAATTATACCGAGTGATTGATTTAAAAACGCATTATTAAAGTTATAAAAATGAGTGTCGTGTTTGAGCAAGTTAGAGATAAATATTTTAGTGACGATGAGTGGGAAAAAATGCCGGATGCAGAGAAAAATAGGCATAAACTGATGTACGAAAATTACACGAACTGCGATGAGGAATACAGTTAGTTTTTTGTCGTTTTTTTACGTTTTTCGGCCCCTAATGGTAGAGTTTTAGGATTTTTAATGCCCGTACCGGAATTTTTGAAGAATAAAACGCCAGAATTTGCCGCGAAAAAGAGAAGAGAGAGAGAGAAGAGAAGAGTCGACGATAGCGATGTTTTTAGGAAACCCTTGTTCAGTGTTAAAAGTTTTGAAGGTAAGTTGTTTTATGTTGTAATTTATACCTATTATACTTATAACACTTTTATGAGGTTTAGGTCACTTAAAAATGCCGCCATAAACTGATAGGGATTCTTTGGTGACCTAAAAATGATATTCACCAAAATCTTATTTGAAATTTCTAGAAAATTCATGATTTTTTTCAATGTTTGGTTTATTTCAAAGTCTACTTTGTTAGAGTACACATTTGTACACCGATTTTCTTATAATACCTACAAAAAGGGCATTTTTTATATGAAGATCTACAAGGTCGTTTAAATTAGAGAAAAAATAGCGGTTCTCAGAATACCTATTTGAAAAAATTCACATTAATTTACATTTTTATCCAAATTTTTTCCTACCTAACTATATAACTATATTTTGAATAACCATCACCTTCTATTGTTTTTAAAAATATTAAAAATGATTAAAAAGATGATTTTTATTTTTTGTCACCTAGCTGTTATGTCAACTATCAACATTAATTCAAAGATCCACCTGTTAAATGGTTTTTATTGATTAAATTATTTTTTTGTGAAATTTGTACAAAATCTGGCACCACCACAATTAAATTTACACAAATTTGGCAACGTCACATTATTACTGAATATTTTGTATTTGATTTGGTGTTGGGTATTTTAATTAATAATAGTACCTACATTATAGACCAGGCGGAAAAAGATCACTTTATAGCCGGATATACATTTCAATAATAATATCTCTTTTTAAGATTCTGTCATATCATTTTAAGGTTAGGTTTAACTGACATGATGACATTTTAGCTTTATTTTTGTACGGAGGTTTATAATAATTTATATAATTAATTAAAAGCTAAAATGTCATGTCAGTTGAACATAACCAAAAAATTATGTTTTTCAAAAACTGTCATTAAGAGTTATATTCTTATCAAGTGATTAAGTTTTGTCCAAATTTGACCATACCTGTTGTCCATCTTGTACCTATAAAATTTTATTACAAAATTATCGTTTTATTTGTTTTTGAATTTAAAAAATGCCTAATAATTTTGGACGTTTTTGGAGACTCTATTAATCATAGAGGGTCATGGAAATAACATGCCACTTTTTTTTCTTCAAAAGAGCTTTTTGAGTACTACTTTAAATGAATATCGAATTGTCGCCAATTAAAATTAAAAACACTGTTTATTTTTAATGTTATTTGTTTATGGTGGTAAAGGTCTTACTAAGTCTGAGTAACTCTTCCAGAAGACTTCCATATCTTGCTATCAGTCTGATTTACTAACTTTCTAAAAATGACTAATTACTACAGTTATTAGTGGCTGTTTTTTCAATTGTACCATGGATAACCATGGAATACCATGGTATCCCAAAATTTAAGAGTCAATTCTTATGTCAAAATTAAAGTTAAAAAAGTAGAACAGTTTTTGAGATATAGTCAATTTTCCATTTATTATGGAATTGACTATATCTCAAAACCTGCTCTATTTTCATAATTTTTGACGGTATTTTCGGATTCAGGGGACAATTTTACATAAGAATTGGATGTTAAATTTCGGGATACCATGGTATTCCATGGTTAAAAATGGTACTAGTGAAAAAGCAGCCACTAATAACTATAGTAATTAGTCATTTTTGACTAATTCATTTTTAGAGAGAAGGCTTAAGCCTGATTTATAGATTTCTTTCCTTCCTCCCGTAGAAGATGAACAATACAAAAACCTGTTCGGAAATATATAAATTTTCGTATTGTTTATCTTCTACGGGAGGAAGGAAGGAAGGCAATCTATAATTCAGGCTTAATTCTGACTTTTTCCAACTTAGTAAGTAAGTATTTTTATAAGAATTTTTCAAAACTTATTAAATTTTTTTACAAGGGAATGCTTGAAAAACTTTTTTTTTTATTTTATACCTAAATGACAAAAATATGTACATTATACTTTTGTAGAAATTCGTAAAAACCCAATCAGAAGGGCAAAATTGAAGCCGGTCAATTTTGAAGAAGTACCGGAACCGAACGATGACAGATACGTTTGTAAGTTGTTTAAATGTTTTTTCAACTTTTTTTGTTTTAATAACGACGTTGTAGTTTGTGATAAATGTGACACAGACAATGTGGATTTTTGTAAGAAATGTGGCGTATTAAGGTTAATAATAGACAAAAAAGTTGCGATGGGTGTTGAAGATAGGGCGAAAAAAACTCTGCCCTCGTGCATGGAGATACGAGATTCGCCTATACACAACTTGGGGGTGTTTGCCAAGGAAGACTTGGAAAACAATCTCCAAATGGGACCTTATGAAGGTTTAGTTACCGACAAGGATAATGCTGAAGGATATTCGTGGAAATTAAACAAGGGGACTTTGGTAAGAAGCTAGGGGTTGGGTTGGGTATATATTAGACTGGGCCAAAAAAATCAACTACCTATTTTTTTTGAAAAGTATTTTGAAAGTATGGTTTAAGGTGACAAAAAAAATTATTTTGAAAGTTTGATTCCATAATATTAATATTAAGAGGTCTATCATCGCAATTTTAAATTTTTTTCCTTAGCAAGTTTTTGTCTCCCAAACTATTGAGTTTAACAAAATTGACTCAGAAATATTTTTTAAGAAAATTAAATGCTCTACAAAAAAGGTTAAAATGAAATTTTCCGTCAGATGAACCGTTTCCTTAATATCATGCCTTAAAAATTGGTATATTTTATTTACAATTGTAAATTAATTTGATCTTTTAACTTTGGAATTTTGTTATTCATGTACCCAAAAAAAAAAACGATGAATATTCCTATGGGAAATCAAATGCTTTACAAAAAAGCCTCTTAACATTTTTGGCTAAATTCACTCTATCAAAAGTTATTCAAGGTTAAAGTTGAAGTCAAAACGAAATTCTTGTTTTTTCCCCCTGTAGATTTATTTTTTTGTGGGTGATAATTTGATTTTTTTCTTTATAAATGTGTATTATATAACTAATTAACAATTTCCAATAAAAAAACAACATGATTGTTATTATTCAAACGATTAAATAGGTAACAGTGAAAATAATATTTTCTAAAGAAAATAGCTTCTTAAAGCCAAAAAACTCTGAGTTATTTTTTTTTAATTTTCAGTAAATTTATCAATAACATAAAGATTATCATCGATAAAGTTTTTAACTGACCCATAAAAAAATAAATCTGCAGAAGAAAAAACAAGAATTTCGTTTTGACTTCAACTTTAACCTTGAATAACTTTTGATTGAGTGAATTTAGCCAAAAATGTTAAGAGGCTTTTTTTTAAAGCATTTGTTTTCCCATAAGAATATTTATCGGTTTTTTTTCCGGGTACTGATTTTTACATGAATTAAAACATTCCAAAGTTAAGAGATCAAATTGTAGAACTATAAAAAATTTTAAGGCATGATTGTAAGAAACTGGTTACTTAAAAAAAATTGTTGATTTTTTTGGCTCAGTCTAATATATTTATTGAATGTTCTGTTATTTCTAAAATCTTTATATAAATTATTTACTATATTATGGGTTTTAATCCGTTAATAAATATTTATTTTAATTATTATTATTATAACTATAGGTAAATGGTATGGACGAGAAGAATTCAAATTGGTTGCGCTACGTGAATTGCGCTAGACACGTGAATGAACAAAACATTATAGCCTTCCAATATAGAGGAAAATTGTATTACAGAACTTTCAGAAATATAAAAAAAGGGGAGGAACTTTTGGTCTATTACGGACTTAAATTCGCAACTGAGTTAGGTATTAAAGAGAAAAATTACTTCGACGCAAATCAGAATATCGTGGAAAGTAACACCAAGAAGACTATTAAGGAGATTGAAAACAAAATCGATTATTTGATACCCAGAGAAGAGAAAGCAATTTTGGATTTTTATAAATGTAAATACTGTTTTTGGTGTTTTACGACAGAAGACTTCAAGTTAATACATATGAAGAGGTGCAAATCTAGAAATAATAAAGTTGGGGAAAATTTTGATTGCGTCTACAGCTGCAAGCACTGTCTTATTCAGTTTTTCAAAAAAGAATTATGTTCAAGTCACGAAAAAAAATGTTTAAAGCCAAGAGTTAGAGTTGAAAAAGAAAAGTTATTTGAATGTGAGATATGTTCTAAGAAATATCAAACAAAGCACAATTTGTTGCAGCATGAAAATTATGTTCATAAAAAGGATGAACAGGAGCAATTTAAATGCAAAAAATGTGAATTTGTAACTGTACGCAAAGGTGACTTTAATATTCATATGAATATTCACGAAAAGAAAAATTATTTTAAATGCAATTTTTGTCAGTACATGACTGCTCATTTACAGCAATTAAATGCACACATTTTAAGTAAGCATAAATTAGAAAATGAAAGAGAAAATATAATAAAATTATCAAGTAAAATCTATAAGTGCTCTAAATGTTTATATTCAACTGTTAAAAAATCAAGTTATGATAGGCACATCAAAGTGTGCTTAAAAATAAAAAACGTCAAAACATATGAATGTCACATTTGCCACTTTACAACTATTCATAAACGGAATTTAAATACTCATAAAAAAACTCATAATAAAATTAAAGAATTGAAATGTTCAATTTGCACATATCAAAGTAATAAAAAACAAGACCTGGACAACCATATTTTAAGTAAACATTCAGATCTTTTGAACAAAGACAATACAAATTTAATAACTTCCAAAGTGCATGCCTGCCAACATTGTAATTATAAAACTACACATAAAGGTGCTTTAAAAAATCATTTACATTATAAACATTGATTTAAGTAAATAAATCTATATAATTTAAGTTTTTTAAACGAAATGTAAGTCATTTTATACCCCCATCCATTTGTTAATAAATTACCATTTATCAAGTATTTTTATTTTGTATGCATTAACTCGTGGAACTACGAACGAAACAAAAAAAATTGGATCTGCAGAAATAGAGGGAATTTGTTCAATGATGGGAGTCTACATCCATAATTTATAATTTTTAAGACTTTAATTTTACGAGGAAAAGTAATTTTTCATCATTTCTTTTTGCTTGTTAAATAAATACGATTCGCGTTGAGAAACACCCATTTTGTTGTACAAATTTTTAAAATAAAAAAATTTTAAATATTTTTTTGAAGCACTTATATAAAGAGCTAGAAAGGAGAAATCAAAAAGTCAAATGAAGATTTTTCCTATGAGTTTTTGATACTAAGATATTGAAAATTTAAGATATTAGTTTTCAAATTTTAACAAACAATTGTAGACATTGTAGACATGTCAGTTGAAAGCAACAACCTTGATTCATAATCACAAAATAAGATAGCAGTCAATTTCTTCAAAATAATAAGACCACTCAAGTTAAGACCTGAATTGATTTTATTTTTAACAACAAATATCTTACTAACAACAACACACATGAAAAAAACATATTTGGCTTTTTCTCCTTACAAGCTCTTCATATTAGACCTTAAAAAAATATATTGAACAATTGTTAATTTTTCAAAATCTACAATTGTTTTTTTTGCCCACCCTGTATAACAAAATAAAAGTTTCTTATCGTGAATGGTATTTACATAACAAGCAGAAGAAATTATGAGGAGTGACTCTCTTTGAAAAATTGAAAATAAATATTTTTACAAGTATACTTAAGTCCATCCGTAGACACACTGTATATATAAGAAAATAAGAAATAAGAAAAGTGATAATTCACTTGCATTTAAAAAGAAAATCCGCTGCACAAATCGCTGAAACTGTTAATTTGTCACGTTATACAGTGCGAAATATTATTAAACTGCACAAAACTACAGGATCTGTGGCGCAGAAACCAAAAAATGGAAGTCGTCCTCACTATTCTGATAAAAATTTAAGGGCTTTAAGAAGAATTATTGTTCAAAATCGTAGGGCTAATTACGGTGAATTAAAAGTTTTGTGGAATCAGGCAAAGAGTAAATGTTTTTCAAGAGCAACCTGTCATAGAGTTTCCAATTAAAATGTATTTATTTAAACGCTGTGGCTCCCGTCCCGAGGCGGGACTTAAGTTCAGTCCCGATTGACGTCATAATTTTAAGATTTGTTATGTTACAATAAAACTAAAATAAACCAACCAAACCAACCTACACAACTCGACACTTTTTAACGAAGAAACAACAAATTTATAAAATAAAAAAATAAAAAAAGTTTGACAACTTCTAGTAGAATCGAACCCGGTACCGCCCTACCATCTAAGCCATCCAGCTTGACAAAAATTATAAAATCTCGGGGAATAAAAACGGATTTACAGTGTGTGACGTCGGTCGGGATCGAAGTTAAGTCCCGCCTCGGGACGGGAGCCACATCGTAATTTAAAACATTTTTTTTTTCTTAATTTTTGGTCGACGGACAATATAAGAGAATTTTAAATATTTTTTTATTAGGTAGGTACTTAAGAATACAATTTAACGGTAAGAGAATTTTAAATATTTTTTTATTAGGTACCTACTTAAAAACACAATTTAACGGTAGAAAATTTAATAAACGTTATTTATTTAATTAAAACAATGTGTTAATTTTAATTAATTACCGTATAATCTAAATATCTTCAAAAAACTATTTTTGTTAGTTGGGCCAACTTCACTGAGATAGGGCTCTATATATATATGGATTGGATATGTATATATCCAATATATATGTATATTTATTTATATCCAAATGATTTTAACAGTTTTCCATTTAATGGTTATCAGAGAACCTACTCACAAAATTTCAGCCATTTTTATTCATATTTAACTGAAATATGCATATTTGTTTATGATGAAGATATCTTAAGATTAAAATAAATTAAAAAAAAAATTTCAAGTAGTTTTTGAGTTGAATTAAATTTTAAAACTCTTTTAGCTATTTTTTTAATGTACTTTTTGATCCACCAGGGCATTTTTGCTTTTAAGTTTAATATTAATTAAAATAATTTCATATTTTTAATTCAACTTACTTTCTTATTGAAGACTGCATAAAATCCAAGTGTTCTTCCCTGTAATTCAGCTCTTTCTCCAGAGTATTAATATAATCAGTCTTGGTGACCACAACTAATAAACTTAACCCCAAGTTATTAGTAAATGTACCTTCAGGTAAAGGAACCCCCTCAAAATCCTCATTATCACCATCCCCAAAATTTTTTGAACTCCTCTTCATCGGCGAAGCCGGATCCAACTCGTCCCCTGGTTCAACATATTCAACCCAAATTTTAATCAACTCTTGTCTTTTACTCTGCCTAAAAATCATTATTACATTTATTTATTTATTTATTTCTGACCCCAAAACAGTATAGCCATACTGATATAACAGGGCCTACAAAAGTTTTACAATGTAATACAATGTAAGTTATAAAAACACAATATAAAATCACCCCACCTCAAATCGACATCCAACTTTAACTTCTCCACATGATCAGCCAGCACGGAAACCCAATGCTGCAACTGCTCCAAAATCCCCCACGGACTTGTCATCGAAACCGTAAGTATCACCAAAGTCTCCTTGAAAGTCTCCGCATTCAACGCAAACTTCAATAAATCCGTGTGGGCGGGATCCCCATCCAAAACCCACACATTCAAACGAGTATTATCATCTCTGTAATCATCCCTTACGTCTATATACGCGTACTCCAAACCTGAACCTAACAAAACACAACTAAACCATAAATCTACGAACATAACCTCACAAAACAACGCAAACCTTTACTGGAATTCTCGATCCCCTGCAACTTAGCAACCATGGTGGTTTTCCCCGACTTATTGTCCCCCAAAACCAAAATCTGCTTGTGAGATGATAATTTAGGATTCCCATTCTTTTGCACGTCGTTCAATATCTGCGACCACAAATTCACTTTCTCCTCCTCTTTGCCATCTTTGGGAGCCTCCTCGGGGGTACTTTTCTTGCTGCGAAACCATCTTTTCACCGTTATTTTTTGACGTTTACGAATGAATCACCAACTGACATTTGACGGATATTTTCAAGACCAACGTGAAGATAGCAGCATTTAAAAAATTCTAATTGAAAAAAATGTATGTGGAAATTTGACTAGAGGCTAAATGTAGCAAAGTATTCCTCAAGGTTATGACGATTAGCTGTCAATTTGGTTATGCAGGTACACTGCATTGTGCCATACCAAACTAACCAAAACTTAACAACCCAACCCAACCGACCCCGCCCCATTGGGCCCCTTCACATAATAGTTTAAATGTACCAATTTAAAGGTTATGTTTTGATACTATTATGTTCTTCTTCTTCTTCTTCTCTGGTTTGATTGGCCTTTCCCTTCCGGGACTTAATCTCGTTTCTTTTAGGTACTGGAGTAAGCGAGTCTGGGATTACCTATAGCTTCTCCTTTCTTCTTTATTAAATAATATATATAAATTACAGCTTCTCGTTTTCTTCTTGATTATTTGTTTTATTTTTCAAAATTAATGTCCATCAATATAACTTCAGTCTTCATAGTTCATAAATCAATCTTTCTATTTTAGCATTACAGTTCAATCTTAACAAATCTTCTCAGTACACTCATCATTTAGTAAAATAGTTGAAGATATACCAGACAAAAATTTATAATGAGGTAAATGTAGTTTAAACAGGGTTTTTTTAAATAGTATTTTCATAATGTCTTTTTAGGTGATTTTATGCTCACAAGTACCTCAAAATAAGTTTAATGAGGAGCCGTGGGTTAAAATGCTGGAAGATTTTGATGACTATCAGTTTTTACTGGATAAATAAACGATACCTACATTGGATAAAAAGTCAAACATGATGTAAAAAGTTGTATAATCAAAAAGTACCATTTTTTGTTGCTGTTATAGAAAATTTGGAGGTGACAAATGCCAAAATACCCACTATTAACATCACCTTGAAGGATAAATCTGGTATTGTGAAGAAATTGCTTTAAAAATATCATTTAACTTTTTTTTTTTGGTTAGGTTCAATTCAAGGGACAATTTTGAATAATCTCTATGAGGAATATTCAGATTTTCTTACTGTAGGGTCCGTGGTGATTTTAAAACAATTTGGAGTCCTCACAACAGGAGAAAATAACAATTATTTAACCATAACCACAAATAATCTACTTACGTTATATTCCATGGAAACGGCCAAAACTTTGGATGATTTGAGTGAAAAATCGCTTGGGGTGAAAAAAATTGTTGTTAATGAATTAGATTGTGAAGAAATTTTGAAAAACGTCAATGAAATTGGTGAGAAATCTATAAAAATTATAAAGCCAAATTTATCAAAATTAAAAGTTAATAGTTCCACAAATTTCAACCAAAATAAAACTGTAGAAACAACAAAATCCATTTTTGATCAAAATTGTGATGTGGATTCTTTATTTGATGATGATTTCAACATCCCAGATAATTTTGAAGAGGTTGCCTTAAGTCAAATTAGCACCAAGTCCACAGAAAAAATTGAAGAAAATAAAAAATCCGATATCATAAAAAATATATTTGAAGGGATAAATACTGATGATATTTTCGACCATTTTTGAGTTTATATTATTTTTTATACTGTTTTTTGTTAATAAAAATATTTTTGTATTTTTTGTTCTTTTTATCCATAAAGAGGTTCTTAAAATAAAAAAAACAATGTGTATAAAAGTTTATTAATTTATTTATTCAAAGAAAATTAAATAATAATAAGTAACAAATAATTAGTACTTTAACTATCACAGAAATATTATTTTTAGCAAGTGGACACCAAAAACAATATTTGAAACATAAAGAAAGGAAAAAACGTACAAAATTTTTTAGTTAAACCTACATATTTATGTTAAATAATAATAATAGCTGAGTTGTTAAAAAAATTGCAATATATAAATAAATTTGCTATATTACAGGGTGACCTTCACAATTTTATGTTTAATTTGAGAAAAAGCAAAAAATAGCGATTAATTTAGGTTGCATTGTGTGAAACCATGATTAAATTGATTGAAGACTCCTTTCACATATATCGAGTTATTTCCAAAACCGTTGATAATACGTAAAAAATGCATTTTATCTTTTTTGTAGAGAATTTTACGAGGTACATTTTTTGTATAATACATTTTGACCTCCGATGTAAAATAAGCAAGATATACGCGAAAGAAGATCAAACAAATTAATGAGGTTAGATTTGAACCCTTAACAATCGGAAGCGTTAAAATCTACCCCGGAATTGTTGGTGCTTGAATTGGGGGTGGTATTTGGGGTGCCCTTTTTGGCCCCCCTTGCCAGTCTATCCAACTCTGCTGCCGCATCTGATCTCATAGAGTTTTTGTCTGTTAAAGACTCGTTTCCGGGTAGTTTTGAGTTGTTTAAGGAGTTTCCGGGTGTACCGGTTTTTTTGTGGAGGAGGGAGTTGAAGAAATTCGCTAATACACCCTCCCCTCCAGGGGAACTTACCACTTTTGACCCGTCCAGCCTCTTAGGGGTACCTTGAATACCTTAAAAGAGAGTTTAACATTTTTCCGTATAAGATACGGAAAAAAACACTTACCCGGTATGGGTGATACCCTAATGGGGCTTTCGCCCATTCTAGCTGTGGGTTGGGGCCCACTTCCGAAAGAAATTTGCTGTAACCTCATTAAAAACGCTTGCTCATCTTCGGCTAATATTTCCGTTTCTTTACCAACAGTTTTTCTCGTAGCCGGTTGAACAATTACATCCCTGAATACGAATGAATAAATTGACAACTAAATACAGTCAATTTTAATAAAAAAAGTCAATGATTTGGTTGAAAACAAATGCTGTTGATAAAAAAATTATTTTACTAAACTTAGAACTGATTTTGGCCAAGATCGGTAATATATAGAAAAAATTGCCTTCTACTAAAATTGTAGAGAATTTTACGTTCTACAAGTTTCATAACAAGGTTAAACGACTTTGACGCATAGGAAACGAGATATTCGCAAAAATGATGTTTTTACTAAACTAAGAACTGATTTTGGCCGAGAACGGTAAATTATAGAAAAAATTGCCAGGGACTAAAATTGTAGAGAATTTTACGTTCTACAAGTTTCATAATAAGGTTAAACGACTTTTGACGCATAGGAAACGAGATATTCGCAAAAATGATGTTTTTACTGAACTAAGAACTGATTTTTGCCAAGAACGGTTAATGATAGAAAAAATTGTCTAATACTGAAATTGTAGAGAATTTCACGTTCTACAAGTTTCATAATAAGGTTAAACGACTTCTGAGGCACAGGAAACGAGATAATCCCAAAAAACGATGTTTATGTTAAAAATTCCTAAATCTTGTGAAAAAATTAAAATTTAAACTCTCTCACCTGTAGTAATCATCTGGTTTGCAGGTTTGCATGTTTTCGTGTAGAATCGATATTTTTTTCATGTTGTCCCAACCAGATGGTATAAAAACAGCATCTTTTTCAACCACCAATGCTGGTGTATGGAAGGGAAAATTGTATATACGGTGGGTTAAATATTTGTAGAGTAAATCGCAATTTTTATCCTCTTTTACCGATATATAGAAGCAAGCAGCCCCATACTGAAGACAGAATCTAAAAAAAATTTTTAATCTGGTAAATTATGAGTACAAAGTGTCAATTGACTAATTGGCCAAAATTTCGTATTTAAAATGCTTTCTATTATTACTTTGACATAAGATTAAATATGTTTTAAATATAAATAAAATCTATAAAAAATACAACCAAAATGCATTTTAAATCCTTTTAAAACGTAATTTATGAGTAAATATATAACTTATGAGTACGGACTGTTAATTGACTAAATTTTTTGGCCAATAGGGCGGCATTATTCAAACTTGCTTCAATTGTTTAAAATCGCCATCTTACATTCGATAATATTGTTATTTATAACACATTATACCGAGTGATTGCTTTAAAAACGCATAAATACGGTTATAAAAATGAGTGTTGTGTTCGAGCAAGTTAGAGATAAATATTTTAGTGACGATGAGTGGGAAAAACTGCCGGATGCAGAGAAAAATCGGCATAAATTGATGTACGAAAATTACACGAACTGCGATGAGGAATACAGTTAGCTTTTTGTCGTTTTTTTACGTTTTTCGGCCCCTAATTGTCGAGTTTTAGGATTTTTAATGCCCGTACCGGAATTTTTGAAGAAAAAAACGTCAGTTGCCGCAAAAAAGAGAAAAGTCGACGATAACGATGTTTTTAGGAAACCCTTGTTCAGTGTTAAAAGTTTTGAAGGTAAGTTGTTTTATGTTGTAATTTATATTATATAGGTAACACTTTTATGAGGTTTAAGTCACTTAAAAATGCCGCCAAAAACTGATAGGGAATCTTTGGTGACCTAAAAATGATATTTACCAAAATCCTATTTGAAATTTCTATTTTTATTTCAAAGTCTACTTTGGCATAGTACATAGGTATTTGACATTGATTTTTTTCGAAATATTTGAAATTTGGATTAATTTACATTTTAATCCAAATTCTTTCCTTGTTTTTAAAAATATTAAAAATAATTAGAAAGATGATTTTTATATTTGTAACCTGTCATCTGTCACTTATTATCTGTTAACTTGATACCTGTCATTTGTCACCAGTGTTGCTTTGTTTAAGAAATTTAAACAAGTTTTGCGACACCGCAATTAAATTTACACAAATTTGGCAATTTCAAATTATTACTGAATATTTTGTTGGGTCAGGGGGTATAAATAACACCTGTTTTTGGGGATTTTAATTAATAATAGCTTTGTTATCTAGGAATAATTTATCGCCAAGCACACATTTTACTGCCGAGGCGATAGCCGAGGCAGTAGATTGTGTGCGAGGCAATTAATAAGCTTTTGTTGCCAGGTTTTATAAACTATTTCTTTTTCAAGCATTTAATTAAATAATTATTTATGTTTTAAGTTTTATAAATGCCATTTTAGTTTTATTAGGCACGAGCGAAGTTTGCAAGCGAGTGTTTAATAAAAACGAGTGTCTAGAGAAGTTTATAAAACGAGTTGCATACTATTCTTTATCTACGACGAACACAAAGAAGCATTTAAAGTCAATTTTATTTGCTAAATATTTGACGTCTGTCAAATGTCAACGGATTTAACCACACTTTTTCTCAATTTATAATATATCTAACTTCAGCTCGTTACTAAAATGCTCAAAAGCCACTATTACCAACTTCAGCCCGTGACTAAAACGCCATAAAGTAACAGCTCATTAATGTAGGAGTAGATAAAATTTCTTATGATTCTGTCACATAATTTTTAGGTTAACTAACTAGTTTAGTATTAAAAATATATAAGAAACTAATATTCTAATAATATTATACTAATACATTTAAACAAAAATAATGCAACAAAATACTAGACTAACTAATATTAATATTTTCTTAAAGACAATATATTTAAAAAAAATAATGCAACTTTTGTTTTTTTTACAAACACAAATGAAGAGGTAGGGAAATTTTAAAATTGAATGGTTCTCTTAGAATATTTTACCGATTTACTTCGGTATTTTAAACGCCATGAACGCTGCAACCAGTATTACAATCTATACAAATAATTATAATTGAAGACCCTATAGGGTCCTATAGAAGCCAAGGGATACAAGTGACATAAAAATTGGTACATTTTACTTGGTAATCAAAAGATATAATTGAATTCTAGCTTGGACATGTTTAAAGACCAAGTCATAAAACAACAAACAATTTTGACTCCAAATTACAAGTGTTTTTTTACTTTAAAAATGTACTTATACCCATAGAAAAAGTAGACTTCTAGGGTCCTCAATTCTTATATTATTATAAGAACACTTGTATCATTTTATGTATGCGTACGTGTAAAACATGTATACTTGGTTGCATAAGTAATTCAAATAAAATTATAAAGCGTAAACTTTACTTCTGACGTCACTGCAAACTTATCTTTGCCAGACCGCGAAAAAATTCTGTACTTATTGGAAGGAAAAAACGTACTAATTTTAATGAAAAGATTTTGTTAATATTTTGATTACCTATATTGCTTAAGCAAATAGTTGTCGGTGAAAATTTATTGTGTTTTAATACAAATTAATATTTTGGAGAAGTAATCAAAGAAAAACAAAGATATACTTTTTGGAAAAATAGTAAGAAACTGTATAGAATAGATTGGATGTATATTTTACGTGCTTATTTCTTTATTTTACTTTTACTCAATTGATTAAAAATTTTGATTTAAAATTCGAACAATTTTTTGGTCAAAAACATTTTTTTGCCTGCCACAGTAAATTTTTGTAATAGGTTTCTTAAAATTTCAGCTCTGATTCAAAATCTACTTATACCCTAGATAATATCTAATAGCGAAATAGTGAAAGCAGGCTGCCAAAAATTTTGCCCACAAATACCTATTAATGAGTAATTAATAATTACTGATTACTTTTCGCAAGTGTCCAAAACGAAGCGACCATATTAAAATAAATAAATTTTTAAAATTTGTGAGCGACCTTTGAAAATTAATTTTTAACTTAGAAAAACTCATTAATTATTTGTGTACAAACATTTATTGTGGCGAAACAATTATTATTATAAATTCGAATTTGATTTTTTTGTAAATTTCAAAATTCGAAAGCCACCTAATTTTTGATGAGAGCTCTTAATTTTTTTAATAAAAATGACAAACTAACTTGTTCGAAAAAAGGTTTTTTTGCACCACCCTTACATATAGGTACTGATTTAAAGTGTTTTAATATTCGAGTATTCGAATACTCGAATATTCGAATTATTCGTAATCGATTCCCAGCTTTATTTTATAACTCTGATCAAAATATATAATGTTTTTATAGAAATTCGTAAAAATCCAATCAGAAGGGCAAAATTGAAGCCGGTCATTTACGAAGAAGTACCGGAACCGAACGATGACAGATACGTTTGTAAGTTGTTTGTATATTTTTCTACTTTTTTTTTAATAACGCTGCGGAGACTTTTTTTGTAGTTTGCGATAAATGTGGAACGGACAACGTAGACTTCTGCAAGAAATGTGGCGTATTAAGGTTAATAACAGATAAAAAAGTGGTAATGGGTGTTGAAGATAGGGCAAAAAAAACTCTACCGTCGTGCCTGGAAATACACGATTCGCCTATACACAATTTGGGGGTGTTTGCCAAGGAAGACTTGGAAAACAATCTCCAAATGGGCCCATACGAGGGTTTAGTTACCGACAAGGATAATGCTGAAGGATATTCGTGGAAATTAAACAACGGGACTTTGGTAAGAAGATAGCGTTATATATTATTTTTTGGTAATATAATGAAACAAACCTATAGGTAAATGCTATGGACGAAAAGAATTCAAATTGGTTGCGTTATGTGAATTGTGCCAGACACGTGAATGAACAAAACATTATAGCCTTCCAATATAGAGGAAAGTTGTACTACAGAACGTTCAAAAATATAAAAAAAGGGGAGGAACTCTTGGTTTATTACGGAAATGACTTTGCCAGTGAGTTGGGTATTGAAGAGAAGACATACTTTGACACAAATCTGAATATCGTGGGAAGTAACACCAAGAAGGCAGATAAGGAGATTGAAAACAAAATCGAGTATTTGGTACCCAGAGAAGAGAAAGCAATTTTGGATTTTTATAAATGTGAATACTGTTTTTGGTGTTTTACGACAGAAGACTTCAAGTTAATACATATGAAGAGGTGCAAATCTAGAAATGATAAAGTTGGAGAAACTTTCGATTGCGTTTATGAGTGTAAACATTGTTCAATACAATTTTTCAACAAAGAATTATGTTCAAACCACGAGATAAAGTGTCTAAACCCGAGAGTTACAGTTGAAATGGAAAAGTTATTTGAATGTGAGATTTGTTCTAAGAAATATAAAACAAAGGACATTTTGAATAAACATACAAAATATGTTCACAAAAAAGATGAACAGAATCAATTTAAATGCAAAAAGTGTGGTTATGTAACAGTATACAAAAGTAGCTTTAATAGTCATATGAATAATCATGACAAGAAAAATTATTTAAAATGCAATTTTTGTCAGTACATGACTCCTCAGTTAAGGCAATTAAATGCACACATTTTAAGTAAGCATAAATTAGAAAATGAAAGAGAAAATATAATAAAAATATCAAGTAAAATCCACAAGTGCTCTAAATGTTTATATTCAACTGTTATGAAATCAAGTTATGATAGCCACATCAAAGTGTGCTTAAAATTAAAAAATGTCAAAACATATGAATGTCACACTTGCCACTATACAACTATTCGAAAAAGTGATTTAAATACACATATAAAAATCCATAAAAAAATAAAAGAATTGAAATGTTCAATTTGTAAATATCAAAGTAATAGTAAAAAAAACCTGGACAACCATATTTTAAGAAAACATCCGGAATTATTGAACAAAAACAATGAACATTTAATCACTTCCAAGGTGCATGAGTGCCAACACTGTAATTATAAAAGTACATGTACCAGTGATTTAAAAAAACATTTAAATCATCATGATTGATAATATAAATATGTATATATATATATATATATACAGGGTGTCCGGGAAAAGGAGGTCAATCCGTTAACCATATATTCCTTGAGTTAAAATAATAAGACCATTTAGAGCTTCATGTTCGGTATACAGGGCGACAAAGTTTGAAATTTAAAACTGATTTTTTTTTAATAATTCGATTAATTGATAAGATATTAAGTTTAAATTCGGTACACTACTTCAACATAAATAGTTACATTTTTTGAGACCAACAAAACAAAAAACAATTGTCAAATAATCAAAATAGGGGGGTCCAGTACTCACTGACTCCCCCTATTTTTTAGTACGTGCGCCAATGACTTCCAAACGGTATTTTTTCAGGTAATCATTTATTGTTCAAAAAAATTTGTCTCTTATAAAATTTTGATAAAATGATTTGTTTTAGAGATAATTTGATTATTTGACAATTGTTTTTTGTTTTGTTAGTCTTAAAAAATGTAACTATTTATGTTGAAGTAGTGTACCGAATTTGAACTTAATATCTTATCAATTACTCGAATTATTAAAAAAAATCAGTTTTAAATTTCAAACTTTGTCGCCCTGTATACCGAACATGAAGCTCTAAATGGTCTTATTATTTTAACTCAAGGAATATATGATTAACGGATTGACCTCCTTTTCCCGGACACCCTGTATATATATATATATATATATATATAAATATATAATTTAAGTCTTTTAAAAGAAATTCCAATGTTTGTCATTTAGTTTTTAATCCCTTTGTAAATACATTATTACCATTTATAAAGTATTATTTTTATTTACCCACTTTCTTATTTATCATATATTATATCACGAGAACTATGAATTTAATCGGTTAAACTAGTTTTTTGTTTGGTTTTTGTTGGAAAATGTTGAATGCAAAATAATTTAATAAAATCACGAGACCGCGTAGCGGTCGAGGGGTTTTATTTTTAATTATTTTGCATTCAACATTTTCCAAAAAGAAAAATCAAATAAGAAACTTACTGAGCATAGTTTGACAGATTAAATTTATAGGTTGAGTGATATACGTCTAGATTATTTATCGAATTAAAGGAAATTATTTGACAATTCATAAAATCTGACGTATGTGTCAAAATTTATAAATATTTTTTTAAAGAAAATTTCATTAATTTAAGGTATGTAATAAGTAATAATTGATATTTCGTAAACTAGATAACTTATGTTTTATTGTTTTTTAAAAAATGTTTGTAGAAACTTGTAAATAACACCATAAAATCGTAAACAAAAATCCAATATGGAGGCTAAAATTTAATCGCTGTTAAATAGGTGATTTAATCGCTTATTTAAACGAAATTTATTCGAAAATTCAAGGCTTTTGATTGGTTCATATTATAATGAGGGAAATAATCACTTTTAAAACTGAGCCTAATGATCATGATTGGGCTCAATTTTAAAAGTGATAAATAAAAGAGTGGGCCCTAATCTTTAAGTCTAGTGTGCGGTATCGGTCATTAGGAACCGATATGGTTGAAAAAGAAAAAGGTACATCAATCAAAATATATGATTGACATCAGTATTTTCTGTACAGAATTCTGTTCACCAATTAAAATAATGAATTAAACTTTATTTAAGCAAGCATGGTGACATCATACATGAGGAGAAGATGACATAGTGATTCCCGACCACTGTGGTTCCGGCCACAGCAAAGCGCGCAAAATTGTGCTAAGACACTTAAAGCTCGCTTAAGCTGCTTAGAGAACCTTAATAAAGAGCTTTGTTTAAAATATAGTATAGTATAATCCCGCATGGTCTACTGGTTAGGATATGTGGCTCTCACCCACGAGACTAGGGTTCAATTACCGGTACCAAAATATTTCTTTATTTAATTTTTGTCATCTCAAAATACTCCATTTTGGAAAAAAAATATATTGTAGTCAGATTAACTTAAAACATTTTTTTTCCATTGGCCATTTTTCCCATTGGCACTTATCCAATTTTTCCGGAAATTTTAAAAACCCTAATCCCTAAACTCACATATTTGTTGTGTGCCGATGTTGCCGAATTTATATCTTTGTTAAATAGTGGATTTTCTACCCTACTGCGTATAATTTTGTGATTTTCATTGACAGAGAATAAAAGTTTTCTGCATAACTACCATTCTCATCAGACAAATTAGAAATCATAGCATAGCCGAGATTATTTTTAAAACGCCTTTGGAAAACTGTTTTTTAATAAATAAATGGTCTGAAATGTAAATTCACTTTTTAAACACTTAAAAAGTACTTGAAGAAAAAAATTTACTTATTTTTTTTATCCTCTACTTAAATTAAAAATCTATATCTATCTATAGTAATAGAAAAATAAGCTTGGACAACCATATTTTAAGAAAACATCCGGAATTGTTGAACGAATCAAATAAAAATTTAATCACTGCCAAGGTGCACTCTTGCCAACATTGTAATTATAAAACTACAAGTACATATGCTTTAAAAGAACATTTAAATCATAATCATTGATTATAAGTAAATATACAGGGTGTCCGGAAATAACGTTACCGGGGGTTATTCTAAACGTAAAATAACTAGAATTTATGTTTTTTTGTGGCGAGACATTTTTAATAGCGTTTTTCTCGATTTAAACGATTTGACACCACCAGATGATTTCTATCCCAAAAAATACCCCAAAAATAGAGCATTTATTTTCGAACCAACCTGATTTTGCAAAACACTTTAAAATGCCTATAGTGCCCCCTGGAGGCATTTTCGGACATCTATTTATAGCAATTTTTATTTTTACGTTTAGAATCACCCCCCTGAAATATATTAACGTTATTTTCGCACACCCTGTATCTATATAATTTAAGTTGTTTAAACTAAATTTTAAAGTTTGTCATTATAGTTTGTTAATAAATTATTACCATTTATGAAGTACTATTTTATTTATTCACTTAATTATATAATAATTTTTTGTTTCAGAGATATTGACATTATATTCTGAAAAAAATTACATTGTATAATATCGATGACTTTCTGCCAAAGTATCGCAAGCAACATAACTCAAATTTCGGGAATTGAAAACATTGTTTGTTTTAAAGTCTGTTTTAAACCGTATATAACCTATAGGTTTTATACCAAGTAAATAGCTATAATTATAAGCTATTTACTTGTTATATAACCTTTAGGCTATATTTAAAGTTATGTTGCTTGCGATACTTTGGCAGTCATCAATATGATATAAATCTTTTATCCGAAATCGGCAGTAAAGTAGTCAACAATCGGCAGTAAAGTAGAATTTTACTGCCGATTTAATGCGAGTATTGTATGTAGGGATGTAAGCAAATTTTTATGACTATGTTATGTCACGGTCATAATGAAAATGACTGTTTTGTCATTTATTTTTATGACACCCTTGTCATTAATTTTTTTAAATAACTTTAATAACTTTGATGTCGATGACTATAAATCTAAAAAATTTTAACTTTATAACTGGTTTTAAACTAGTTAGATATCTTTATATTCTACTAGGATTTTTATTCAATTTTTTGATTTTGTTTCAATTTTGGGTTTTTTTTCAAATACATTTATTTTTAAGTTTATGTCTATTAATGTTTTAGTCACTTGCCACTTGTCTGATGCTTCTATATCTATAGATATACATTAAAGATAAGAAAATAAAAATGACATGTCACGTGTCACATAAATAAATGACCGTCATCTTACATCTCTAATTGTATGCAACTCATTATACATTTTAAGATGTGTCTACTGCTCCTCAGCAGCAACTAAATAATATTTAAAAAAAAGCACCGTCGCGGAGGTCGATTGGATCCTTTCATTTTTTGACAAATTCCAAAATCAGGTCAAGTTTGGAACAAAAAAAAAAGAATATACCCTAATTGTTTTTCTTTTTTTTGTTACATTTTTTTATCTCATAAGATGACACACTCCTTACTATTATCCCCACGTTTTTCGTTTTAAATCTTACAATTATTTTATACCTTTTAGGGCGTTTAAACGTCTTTTTTACTTTTTTAAAACAGTATTGCTAAATATTGATTAAAATAATAAATAACGAAAAGAATTCAAATTGGTTGCGCTACGTGAATTGCGCCAGACACGTGAACGATATATAAAAGCTAGCAGCCCCGTACTGAAGACAGAATCTAAAAAAAATTTTTAATCTTGTAAATTATGAGTACAAAGTGTCAATTGACTAATTGGCCAAAATTTCGTATTTAAAATGCTTTCTACTATTACTTTGACATAAAAAAATTAAATATGTTTTAAATATAAATAAAAAATATAAAAATTACAACCGAAATGCATTTTAAATGCTTTTAATATGTAATTTATGAGTAAATATATAACTTATGAGTACAGACTGTCAATTGACTAAATTTTTTGGCCAATAGAGCGGCATTATTCAAACTTGCTTCAATTGTTTAAAATCGCCATCTTACATTCGATAATATTGTTATTTATAACACATTATACCGAGTGATTGCTTTAAAAACAGCATTATTACAGTTATAAAAATGAGTGTCGTGTTTGAGCAAGTGAGAGATAAATATTTCAGTGACGATGAGTGGGAAAAACTGCCGGATGCAGAGAAAAATAGGCATAAACTGATGTACGAAAATTATACGAACTGCGATGAGGAATACAGTTAGTTTTTTGTCGTTTTTTTACGTTTTTCGGCCCCTAATTGTCGGGTTTTAGGATTTTTAATGCCCGTACCAGAGTTCTTGAAGAAAAAAACGCCAGATGTTGCAGCGAAAAAGAGAAAATTCGACGATAATGATGTTTTTAGGAAACCCTTGTTTAGTGTTAAAAGTTTTGAAGGTAAGTTTTGTTGTAAATTATATTATATAACACTTTTATGAGGTTTAAGTCACATAAAAATGCCGCCAAAAACTGATAGGGATTCTTTGGTGACCTAAAAATGATATTCACCAAAATCTTATTTGAAACTTCTAGAAAATTCATGATTTTTTCTTCAATTGTTTGTTTATTTCAAAGTCTACTTTGACATACCTAGTACACATTTGACATTGATTTTTTTTGAAATATTTGGAAAAATACAAATTAATTTACATTTTAATCCAAATTCTTGCCTACCTAACTAAATTACTGTATTTTGAGTAACCATTACCTCTCTTGTTTTTAAAAATATTAAAAATAATTATCTGTCACCTATCATCTGTTAACTTGATACCTGTCACCTGTCATTTGTCACCAGTGTTGCTTTGTTTAAGAAATTTAAACAAGTCTGGCAACACCGCAATTAAATTTACACAAATTTGGCAATTTCAAATTATTACTGAATATTTTGTTGGATCAGGGGGTATAAGGATTATAATTAATAATAGCTTTGTTATCTATGAATAATTTATAGTACACTTTATTATCGCCGAATATACATTTTACTGCCGAGGCGATAGCCAGTAGATTGTGTGCGAGGCATTTAATAAGCTTTTGTCGCCAGGTTTTATGTATTATTTCTTTTTCAAGCATTTGATTGAATACATATTTAATTAGGTAAATGCCTATTATTAATTAAAATTTCTTATGATTCTGTCACATTATTTTTAAGTTAACTAATTAACTAGTTTAGTATTTAAAATATTAAATAAATTAATATTATTATCGTAATATATTTAAACAAAAATAATGAAACAAAATATTAAACTAAGTAAGATTTACTAAAATAAAATATGCTTAACTAAAATAATGTAACAAGATACTAAACTGATCAATATTTACATAAAGAAAATGTATTTAAACAAAAATAATGCAACTTTTGTATTTTTGTACAAACAGGTAAAAAACCTAAAACTTAAAAAAATTAAATTTTGATTGGTTCCCAAGGCGTACTTCCTACATTAGAATATTTTACCGAAACTGTTTGGTATTTTAAACGCCATGAACGCTGCAACCAGTATTACAATCTATACAAATAATTATAATTGAAGACACTATAGGGTCCTATAGAAGCCAAGGGATACAAGTGACATTAAAAAAATGTAGTTATGTACAGAAAAAGATAGTAATTGGTACATTTTACTTGGTAATCAAAAGATATAATTGAATTCTAGCTAAGACATGTTGAAAAATCAAGTCATAAAACAAGAAATAATTTTGACTCCAAATTATAAGTGTTTTTTTTACTTTAAACATGATTATCTCAAAATGTGCTCGTACCTTTTGACTTCTAGGGTCCTCAATTCTTATATTATTATAAGAACACTTGTATCATTTTATGTATGAGTACGTGTAAAACATGTATACTTGGTTGCATAAGTAATTCAAATAAAATTATAAAGCGTAAACTTTACTTCTGACGTCACTGCAAACTTATCTTTGCCAGACCGCGAAAAAATTCTGTACTTATTGGAAGGAAAAAACGTACTAATTTTAATGAAAAGATTTTGTTAATATTTTGATTATATTGCTTAAGCAAATAGTTGTCGGTGAAAATTTATTTTGTTTTAATACAAATTAATATTTTGGAGAAGTAGGTAATCAAAGAAAAATAAAGATATACTTTTTGTAAAAATAGTAAGAAAATGTATAGAATAGATTGGATGGAAACAAATTTTATCGACTAGCAGTACCAGTTAAAAACTGTTCTGTTGGTTATCAAAAGTAATATAAATAAATAAAATATATAAAAAAACTATATAGATATGTATATTTTACGTGATTATTTATTTATTTTACTTTTACTTTTACTCAATTGATTACAAATTTTGACTTAAAATTCGAACAATTTTTTGGTCAAAAAAATTTTTTTGCCTGCCACGGTAAATTTTTGTAATAGGTTTCTTAAAATTTCATCTAATAGCGAAATAGTGAAAGCAGCGGGCTGCCAAAAATTTTGCTCACAAATACCTATTAATGAGTAATTAATAATTACTGATTACTTTTCGTAAGTGTCCTAAACGAAGCGACCTTATAAAAATAATTAATTTTTTTAAAATTTGTCAGCGACCTTTGAAAATTAATTTTTAACTAAGAAAAACTCATTAATTATTTGTGTAAAAAAATTTACTGTGGCGAAACAATTAATATTTTAAATTCGAATTTGATTTTTTTGTAATTTTCAAAATTCGAAAGCCACCTAATTTTTGATGAGAGCTCTTAATTTTTTTAATAAAAATGACAAACTAACTTGTTCAAAAAAAGGTTTTTTTTTGCACCACCCTTACATATAGGTAGGGGAGCGAGGGGCTTGTTGTAACAGGGGTAAGTAGTAACACGGCTTTTTCATAAAGAATTTAAATGTTATACATTTACTTTTTTGACTTAATATGATCTTTATATCGCACCACGTTATGTCGTGATAGCCAGTGTTCCGCCAGGTGGCGTAGGTAGTGGACTTGTGCACACGCTTTATTTTGGCTAGGTAACGTAAAAATTTACTTTTGTAAAATGTTGGTTATCGTTATTGTTTTGAACTTATCTGAAACTTTTTGTGTTCTATTTTTTTTTTAATTTACGTATATTTGATGTCTTATAATTTTTTTTACGATTTTTAAATTAATACTATAGTTATCTTAATAAATGTAAAAAAATGTAATAAGGGGTTAGTTGTAACAAAATGTTGGGGCTTGTTGTAACATGTTACAACTTGCCCCTGAACTTTAAAATACCTTACTCCTACTTGTGTTTTACTAAGAAGAAAATACTAAGAGCAGACGCAAAAGAAAATCATGACAGATAAACTCGAAAAGGAAGCTTTAAGAATGTAACATGAGGAAAAAATGAAAAAGAAACAGAAAAAAATATATAGAGATGGAAAAAAAGAAAGAAACAAAGGGAAAGGAAAAGGCAATGGTAAATCAACAAAAAACAAAGTTGAACTAAAAAAAGTTAAAAAAAAAGGATTTTGAGTAATTCAGAATCTGAGCCTAAGGAGTGGTATTGTCTATTTTGTAGTGAAGCTTATAGTGATTCAAACAAAGGCCCATTCGCCTTATTTAATTATTAAGGAACATACTTGCTTAAAGGCTGATAATTGTATTAATTTTATAGAAGTATTTTTTAGTTTTTAATTTAAAATAAAATAAAATTAATGTCTTAATTGCTGTGATTTGAAGTGTCACGTTAATTATTAACTAAGAAAAATATTTTAAAAGTTACATTTTGTAGGTTCGTTATTTTTAAGAAGAATATTTTAGTTGATTTATTGATAAAAAATTAAAGTTATATAAAAAGTTTTATAATATTGTTAAAAAACTAAAGAAATAAAGTTTAAATATGTTGGAATTTCTATTTTTTTATTGTTACTACCTGCCCCAAGTGATGTTACAACTAGCCCCAAACACGGGGTTAGTTGTACCATTGTACTTTTTTTGGTAAAATGTTAGCTGTACAATTAATATCAATATTTTTAGTATTTTTTCTATTGGGTTTCATACAGGACAAGTTAAAGTATCGTTAAAATTTAATTAGTGATAATCCAGAAGAACCATGTTAAGATATCTTCGTTTGTCTGAAAATTGTTACAACAAGCCCCTAGCTCCCCTACTGATTTAAAATGTTTTAATATTCGAGTATTCAAATACTCGAATATTTGAATTATTCGTAATCGATTCCCAGATTTATTTTATACCTCTGACCAAAATATATAATGTTTTTATAGAAATTCGTAAAAATCCAATCAGAAGGGCAAAATTGAAGCCGGTCATTTACGAAGAAGTGCCGGAACCTAACGATGACAGATACGTTTGTAAGTTGTTTGTATATATTTTCAAATTTTTTTGTTTTAATAACGACGTTGTAGTTTGTGATAAATGTGGCACGGACAACGTAGACTTCTGCAAGAAATGTGGCGTATTAAGGTTAATAACAGACAAAAAAGTTCCGATGGGTGTTGAAGATAGGGCGAAAAAAACTCTGCCCTCGTGCATGGAGATACGAGATTCGCCAATACACAATTTGGGGGTGTTTGCCAAGGAAGACTTGGAAAACAATCTCCAAATGGGGCCTTACGAAGGTTTGGTTACCGACAAGGATAATGCCGAAGGATATTCGTGGAAATTAAACAACGGGACTTTGGTAAAAAGCTAGGGGTATATACATATATTAGACTGGGCCAAAAAAACTATTTTTTTTTTTAAGTATATTGAAAATGTGGTTTGGGGTGACAAAAAAAATTATTGTGAAAGTTTGAGTAAGAGGTCTATCATCGCAATTTTAAATTTTTTTTCTTCAGCAAGTTTTTGTCTCCCAAACTAATGAGTTTAACGAAATTGACTCGGAAATTTTTTTTTAAGAAAATTAAATGAAATTTTCCTTCAGATGAACCGTTTCCTTAAAATCATGCCTTAAAAATTGGTATAGTTTTAAATTTTGATCTTTTAACTTTTCCATAAATCTACAGCGGAAAAAAACAAGAATTTCGTTTTGACTTCAACTTTAACCTTGAATACCTTTCGATGGAGTGAATTTAGCCAAAAATGTTAGGAGACTTTTTTTGTAGAGCATTTGATTTCCCATAAGAATATTTATCGGTTTTTTTCCGGGTACTGATTTTAACATGAATTACAAAATTCCAGTTAAAATATCAAATTGTAAAACTATACCAATTTTTAAGGCATGATTGTAAGAAACTGGTTACTTAAAAAAATAGTTGATTTTTTTGGTCCAGTCTAATATATCTATTGAATGTTCTGTTATTTCTAAAATCTTTATATAAATTATTTACTGTATTATGGATTTTAATCCGTTAATAAATATTTATTTTAATTATTATTATTATAACTATAGGTAAATGGTATGGACGAGAAGAATTCAAATTGGTTGCGTTATGTGAATTGTGCCAGACACGTGAATGAACAAAACATTATAGCCTTCCAGTACAGAGGAAAGTTATATTACAGAACGTTCAAAAATATAAAAAAAGGGGAGGAACTTTTGGTTTATTACGGAACTGAATTTGCAAAAGAATTGGGTATTAAAGAGAAAAATTACTTCGACGCAAATCAGAATATCGTGGAAAGTACAATCAAGAAGGCTGTTAAGGAGATTGAAAACAAAATCGATTATTTGGTACCCAGAAAAGAGAAAGCAATTTTGGATTATTATAAATGTGAATACTGTTTTTGGTGTTTTACAACAGAAGACTTCAAGTTAATACATATGAGGCGATGCAAATCTAGAAATGATAAAGTTGGGGAAAATTTTGATTGCGTTTATGAGTGTAAACATTGTTCAATACAATTTTTTAACAAAGAATTATGTTCAAACCACGAGAGAAAGTGTCTAAACCCGATAGTTAGAGTTGAAAAAGAAAAGTTATTTGAATGTGAGATTTGTTCTAAGAAATATAAAACAAAGGACAGTTTGAATAAACATACAAAATATGTTCACAAAAAAGATGAACTGAAACAATTTAAATGCAACAAGTGTAATTATGCAACTGTACGTAACAGTGACTTTAATGTTCATATGAATATTCACGAAAAGAAAAATTATTTAAAATGCAATTTTTGTCAGTACATGGCTGCTCAGTTAGTTCATTTAAATGGCCACCTTTTAAGCAAACATAAATTAGAAAATGAAAGAGAAAATATAATAAAAATATCAAGTAAAATTTATAAGTGCTCTAAATGTTTATATTCAACTGTTAGAAAATCAGATTATGATAGGCATATCAAAGTGTGCTTAAAAATAAAAAATGTCAAAACATATGAATGTCACATTTGCCACTATACAACTATTCAAAAAAGTGATCTAAATAGACATATAAAAATCCATAAAAAAATAAAAGAATTGAAATGTTCAATTTGCAAATTTCAAAGTAATAGTAAAAAAAGCCTGGACAACCATATTTTAAGAAAACATCCAGAATTGTTGAACAAAGACAATACAAATTTAATCACTTCCAAAGTTCACTGCTGCCAACATTGTAATTATAAAACTACACAGGCCAGTAATTTAAAAAGACATTTACATTGCAATCATTGATTAAAGTAAATAAATATATATAAATAAGTTTTTTAAACGAAATTTCAAAGTTTGTCATTCAATATTCCCATCCATTTGTTAATAAATTATTACTATTTTTGAAGTATTATTTTTGTCTACTCTTATGCGGAATATAACCGTACTACCCTAGGTCTAGGCGTACTACCATCAATTTTTAATGTGAAATGACATACAGGGTGTTTCACATTCGTGATCCAAGTTTTAATATTTCAACACGTCGAAGTTTGGTTATGTGTTAGGTCATTAAACTGACAAGCTTTGTCAAAAACAAATATTACCTGTTTAGAAACTGGGTTTTTACTTTTTTAAAATAACTAATTCAATTCCACCTGTGTTAATTGGTCCTAGATATACTTCGTCCTTTACATGATCCCATACAAAAAAATTGAGCGGTGTCAAATCTGGAGACCGAGCAGACCACTTTCATGGGCCACCTCGTCCAATGCTTAGGAAATTGCTCAAGTGACAAATAGTTTTTTTTGAGAAATATACACATTTGAAAAAAAGTGAAAATCAACCATTTAACATTATTTTAATTTAAAAAAATATCCTTGCAGAAAAAAAACTAAACATTGAATTAAATTATATTGATTTAGGGCCAGTTAAATTAAATGGCAGTTCAGTTAGTTATCTGATAGATAATTTCCATATGGAATTTAACTGTCAGATAGACTAACTGGAACTTAACCAGAGATTAATAATTTGGCCCTAAAGGAAGTAAACGTAAACGTTAAATATACTGTCGGTTGGGTCTTTTTTGCAAAAAAGAGTCCATTGAAAATGTCCATTTACAAAATAATGAATGATTTATAAAGTTAAATTACAAAATTATAATTTTATTAATCGAAGTGTCAAATAAAACAAAAGTTATGTATTAAGAGCACCGAATATGTTTTTTTTGCGGCCCGTTAGAATATTCTTACTGAATTAAAATAAAAGCAATAATTATTATAATCATAGTATTATGATTACAATCAGCGTCGTAAATTTGTAAATATTCAGAAAAAATTTCACAATTTTTCCGTTTTTTTTCTAGAAAAAAACGGGTTTTTTTCCGCCGGCTCATTTTCCGCAAATTTTAAAACCCTATTATGCTGAGGTACTGTCTGTTTTTTTTTCATGAATTAATAGGGGCTTATTTAAAAAGCATAAAACCAAATTTGTCTAATTAAGCTTAATATTGAGCAAAACAATTTCATATTTATAATTCCACTTACTTTCGTACACTGGATTGAATAAAATCCAAATGCTCATCTCTATAATCATGCTCTTTTTCCAAAGTATTAATATAATCAGTCTTGGTGACCACAACCAATAAATCCAAACCCAAATTATTACTTAGAGTCCCTTCAGGGAGAGGAACCCCCTCAAAATCCTCATTATCCCCATCCCCCAAATTTCTAGAACTCCTCTTCATAGGCGAAGCAGGATCCAACTCGTCCCCTGGTTCAACATAGTCACTCCAAATTTTAATCAACTCTTGTCTTTTACTCTGCCTAAAAATCATTATTACATTTATTTATTTATTTATTTCTGACCCCAAAACAGTAAACCTAGCCATACTAACAACAGGGCCTACAAAAGTTTTACAATGTAATACAGTTAGAGATGCGACTTGAAAAAAAAACGGTCCGTTTTCTTTGTTTTTTTTCATTGTTTTTTTTCAAATGGTTTTTTTTACATTTTAGGTTTTTTTTCAAGATTAGTCCCATTTGCCAAATTTTTTATGCAAAAGCAAAAAGCAAAAAAAAATCGATTTTTTTTTTTTACGGTATTCGTTATGATTGAGCGTTGCACGTTTTTCATCTAAAAATCTCAAAACTATAAACTTCAAGCTTCAAATTGCTTTTTTTACGGCTCCAATACGACCATTTTTATTAACAAAGATACAGCTATCCGAAAAATCGCAAAAAAAAAATTTTATCTTTTAATTTTTTGTATTAGTGTAGAAGTTTTACATTGCTATTGGTTTTTAATGTGGAAACTACCAAATAATAAGAAATCAGATTTTTTAGTCCAAATTTTCAATAAAAAATGTAATATATTTTACATTTTACTCAAAATTTCATTTTGAAAAAAAAACAAGAAAACCGTTTTTTTACATCTCTAAATACAGTTAAGTTATGTAAGTTATAAAAACACAATATAAAATCACCCCACCTCAAATCAACATCCAATTTCAACTTCTCCACATGATCAGCCAGCACAGACACCCAATGCTGCAGCTGCTCTAAAATCCCCCACGGACTCGTCATCGAAACCGTAAGTATCACCAAAGTCTCCTTGAAAGTCTCCGCATTCAACGCAAACTTCAACAAATCCGTATGTGCCGGATCCCCATCCAAAACCCACACATTCAAACGAGTATTATCATCTCTGTAGTCATCTCGAACATCTATATATGCATATTCCAAACCTGAACCTAACAAAACACAAAAAAGCATAAATCTACGAACATAACCTCACAAAACAACAACAACCTTTACTGGAATTCTCGATCCCCTGCAACTTAGCAACCATGGTGGTTTTACCCGACTCATTGTCCCCCAAAACCAAAATCTGCTTGTGAGAGGACAATTTGGGATTGCCATTTTTTTGCACGTCGTTCAATATCTGCGACCACAAATTCACTTTCTCCTCCTCTTTGCCATCTTTGGGAGCCTCCTCGGAGGTACTTTTGCTGTTTTCTTGCGGCGAAACCATCTTTCACCGTTATTTTTTGACGTCTCGGAATGAATCACCCACTGACATTTGACAGGTCTTTTCAAGACCAACGTGAAGATAGCCGCAGTTTAAATGTTTTAACTACCATAAATTATGACTTAAAAAACAAAAATAACGTTCTCGTATGGATTTTAGATCTTCCTTGGATGATTTAAGGCTTTAAAACGTTATTTTAAGCAAATTTCGTGCCTGTTTTATATTTCATAGTTGTCACTTTACAGAACACTATTTTACCGACATGTAAGATACGAACAGTGTTGCCAACCCTACCGAATTTTCGGTAGATCTACCGATTTCTGACTACAATTTTATTATTTTTGTTACATTTCTTTTTATAAATATTTAACTTATATGTAAACATTATTGTTTTTATTAATTTTTTTCTCTTCCGTATTTTTTTTACTAAAAATTTCCCGTATCATCTACCGAAAATTTCCAAGGAATCTACCGATAAAATGTTCAAGGTTGGCAACACTGGATGCAAAGCAAAGTTCTTCGAATTTTGTTATATTTTATTAATTTAATAATTAAAATGCATTATATTATTAAATAAAACCATAAATAAAACAATATTAATAAAAAATAATTAAATTTCATTAAAAAAACATTTTTTATAGACCCAATACATTAAATCATAAAAATAAGGCAAAAATATGCAGTCATATATTATTCTGTCCATCTATGGGCACAATCTGGATTTGTGCACACATAATACAATCTCATTTCTTCTTCTGCCCTTCTTGTTTGTGCTTGGAAAAATACCGTCTCCCTACAAACAAAAATGTTGCAACATCATAACAACAAATAACAAAAATGTATTTTACCTGTGGTTGCACTCAGGGCAAGGGTGGTTTTCAGTTCTGGGTAAAGTTGGGTCGGAAATTACATCAGGAACAATATGAGTTAACTCACTGTAAAAAAACAACTTAGTAATGTTTTTTGAAGTTAAATTATTTAACTTACTCAATTTCGTGCATAATTTTGTTGACGTAAATACATTTGGAATCAGCGTGTTGCTTATAATCGCAATTCCTACAAGCGTACAGCAATATTTTGTTCTCTTTGTCTTCTTTTGGATACAACATATTATTACTACAAAAAAGATTCAATAAGTATATTTTTTATGTTTTATTTTACATATTTACCACTCCTGACAAAATCTTATACCCACAAATCCCGGGCCTTCACTGTGAGAATCATATCCAGTTAATTTTTGCGACATGTCAAAAATAGTCAACAATATTTTTAGGTTAAGTCAAACACTATGCTGCCAACCAAATAACACTAAAAAGCACCTCTGCCAACTTAAAGGCACTGTTTTGTAGGTTATAAAAATGTCAAATTGCGATATTTGATTGAAAAACTGTGAAAATTTAACGGCAGTGAGTCTAAATGACGAAAAAAAGGATGTTTACGATAAATTGATTAAAATTGTCCCTGATATAGTAATATGAATAAACAAAATTACATAGTATATTAATTTGTTGTTTTATAGGAGATAAAACATTTTTTATTTTGTTTTGCATGTATTGAGGAAATAAACAGGATTAATGAGTTTAGAGATTTGTGTATAAAAAATTTTGAGTTAAAAAATAATAAACAGAATGCACTTGATGAAGATTATATTGATAACGAAAGTTCAAAAGAAGAAGAAATTTGTGTAAACAAAGCAAAAAAGTCCAAAAAAACGTGTGAATACTGTGGTAACACATTTTTATTCCTAAAAAATCATAAGGATGCTTGTAAAAAGAGATTTGCAAAAATCGAAGAACATGGTAAAGAAGTTTTGAAGAATGAAACATTTCTTTGTAGCATATGCGGTACCTGTTGTAAAGATAAATATTTATTGAAAAGACACATAAAAAATGTGCATGCAGCAGAAAAAAACTTTAAATGCACAATTTGTGAACGCGTTTTTGCCTCGTCAAAATATTTGAGAGCACATGAAAAGTAAGCAGTAAAAATATTTATAATAAGTATTTTACAAAATAATTGTTATAGGTACCATACGGGAGACAGAACCCATATTTGCACTTATTGTGGTAAAGGTTATATAACAGCAGCTGATCTTTGTAACCACGAAAAAATTCACACCAATAAAAGAGCATATAAGTGTGAAATTTGCCCCAAAGCTTTTAATACATCTTCAGACTTATATAAACACAAAATTTGTGTGCACGGAGATAAAAGTTTGTGGAAATATGTTTGTAGTTACTGCACTAAAAGATTCCCTTTGAAAATAAATTTGCAAACACACATACGAACTCACACGGGTGAGAGAAACTTCGAATGCCATCTATGCCAGCGTAAATTCACTTCGAAATCATCTCTTAACCGACACATTGAAACCCACACAAATTTTAACTCTTTCAAGTGTGATATATGCCTTCAAACCTACAAATACCAAAAATCCTTACAAGCTCATCTGTTTAAAGTCCATAATATAGGCACGGAAAGTGAGGTTAAAGTGACAAAATTCATCTGTCACATTTGTCCCAAATCATACACAGAAAATAATAAGTTGGAAAAACACATTCGCACGCATACTGGAGAACGCCCTTTTAGTTGCACCCAGTGCAATAAAACCTTCATTGATAAGAGTTATGTAAGACAGCATGTGAAAATAGCGCATAAAAATACAGAAAATACGATATAAAAAAATGTTTTATTTACCTCTATCTATTTTTTATTAGTCTATGGTAGTAGTTCAAATATCACAATCAGTCGGTATAGTAGAACCCTTTATGACATACTTTGACGTTTATCGTTGATTTTACCCTTATTTTGACACATTTTTAATTAATTTTCAATAAAAACAACATTCCAAGCGATATTTGTTTTATTTTCCATCCCAGCAAGCAAAAATAAACAATCTCACCGATATGGCAACCTTTTTTACCGGCCCGAACGCGGTTTAACCTTCAAATGACTTTGATTTCATTTGCAAAATTTCCAGTGCCGTTAACAGTTCGTTGTAAGTTTCTCGAGGGTGTTTTAAGATTTTCCGCCATGGCTTTCAACAAGTTATCCATAGATAAGGTCGACTTGAAGGATAAAAGAGTTTTGATGCGGTAAGTGGCTTTTATAAATGATCTTAAAAGTAATTTAAATTGTGTACCTAATTTATGGGGTAGTAGTGGATTATTAGGGGGGTTATAAGTGTTAACTCGCGTAAATACTTTGTTTTTATGTTGTGGTAGTTGCTATAGTGGTTAATATTCATAATATAGGGTGTTTTTTTAAGCCAATTTTATCGGTTTAACCTCACTTTTTCTCAATGTGACATCTGTCAAGCGGTTTTAACCTCACTTTTTCCCAAATTTAACGAATTTCAGACATAAAAAAATGAATTTTCAGTGTGGATTTCAATGTTCCATTAAAAGACGGCAAAATAACAAACAACCAGCGTATTGTCGCTGCGTTGGATTCTGTAAAATACGCCTTAGAGAAACAAGCGCGTAGTGTTGTATTATGCTCGCATTTGGGGCGTCCTGATGGTAGACCAAACCCAAAATACACCCTTAAACCAGTAGCTGAAGAATTGGAAAAACTATTGGCTAGGTATGAAGTTTTGAAGGTTATATAAATATATATAGGGTGTGCATTTGGTTAATGTTTTAGACCCATTGTTTTTCTACCTGATGCAGTTGGGCCTGAAACTTTAGAAGCATGTTGCTCTCCTAAACCAGGAACTGTTATTTTGTTGGAGAATCTCAGATTTCATTTGGAGGAAGAAGGTATTGTTGGGGCTAAATTATTTTTAATAAAAATCGTAAAATGAGTTTTTTTTTGCGTAAAAATCTAGGTAAAGGGGAGAATGAAAACAAAGAAAAAATCAAGGCCTCAAAAGAAGATATTCAAAAATTTCGCGAAAATTTAAGAAAATTAGGGGATGTTTACATAAACGACGCTTTTGGAACCGCCCATAGGCCTCACGCGTCAATGTTGGGAGAAGGTTTTGACATCAGAGCATCAGGATTTTTGCTGCAAAAAGAGTTGAAATATTTCTCGAAAGCTTTGGACAATCCGGAAAAGTAAGGAAAAAAAAACAAAAAAAAAAACCTACAACTTTTTTTTCAGGCCATTTTTGGCGATTCTAGGTGGAGCCAAAGTGGCAGACAAAATCCAATTGATTGAAAATTTATTGGACAAAGTAAATGAGATGATTATTGGTGGTGGAATGGCCTATACATTCCTGAAAGAAAGTCAAAATATGGCGGTAAGTACTTGAAAAAAAAAACACTCATAAACAGACACAGTAATTTATTAACACATATAATTATTTATCCTTCTTCTTCTTCTTGTTCAACTAAACACAGTTGTAGTGTAAAGTCATGGCAGCAAACATGAAAATGTAAAAAAGCGCGTAAAAACTTTGCAGAAGTTTCGAATGAAAATCGTCCAAGTTTTCCTTATCCTTCTTCAGTTTTAATTTCTCTCTCAAAACCTCTAACTTTACAGCTCTTGAGTCGAAAATTTCGTCTATGCAATCGTTCTGTATAAGATCTTCAAGAAAAGTCTCAAATTCTGGCTTCTGTGTTGCAATTTTCGGCTCACAGATGGCGTTAATGTTGCTCGCGCATGCCACCTTCAAAAATAGTCCTAAAAACCCGAAAAAACCGTTCTAAAACTCACCTTTTCATCTATTTTCGGAAACACCAATTTGTTTAACAGTTCTTCATCCAAATCTATAATTTTTTTCGTATCGAAATAGTCGACAATCGGCTTGCATAGAGGTGCTGGAATATTATAATTAAAACAGTAACTACAAAGTAAAACCTTACCTATGTAGTTGGTAAAAGAATATTCGGCTAAATTCTTTATAAAGGCGTATTGAAACAATTTAGGTCTGTAGTATACTTGAGTAAAATAAACTTGTTGTGCTGTGTATACTTCTTCAGGTCCCTCCTCAACAATATCATTTATATTCTCTATGAAATTGATTATTTCGCTTAGAGATTTATCTGTGGAGTTGCAACTTTCCTCAGCATTTATTCTGTATTTGTTTTCCTGATCCTGAGTCGGTGTTAGAATTTTTTCATCAGAATCAGTGTTCAACATTTTCTCTTTCTCCTAAAAAAAAAACGTCAATGTGACATCCCATAGACATAGCGTTGTAGTTGTTAAGTCTACCTCATTTTCTTCTAATTTTTTGTAGACCAGTTCCATTTTTTTGAACATTTCCTGTACAGTTTCAACAAACTCGTCTTTTTCGTTTGTCTCTTCTTCTTTCAAAATTTGACTGCTTGTAGCGGAAGGTTCGTTATTGTCTACTTCTTGAAGTAAATCTATCATGTTCTCTATGAATTTCATGTCTCTTTTCGGCAATCCAGAAGATTTAGTTTCGTCGGTAAAATCGTTTTCTGATTCTGTTGATTTGGGTTGAGAATCAGTGCTTGTATTGAAATCGGCTGGGATGGGTATGTTTTGATCTTCTTTCGTTAGAACATCATCTTGGTTATCTTTTATGGAACCCCTGCTAATTTTTTCGTTGAGGATGTTGTCTTTGATTTTCTCCAAATGATCTTCAACTGAGGAAGATTTTAATTGGTCTGTAACCTTAATTTCTTCTTCGGGTTTTGTTTCTTCAATAGCTTCTTCAACGCCTCTAGCGTCTTCAAAAATATCTTTCAGAGATTGTTCAGTGTTTTCAAGTAGATCAACCGTTTCTTTTTGTGGGTTTTCGTCATGATTTTTGTCGGGTTTACGTCGCCTTTTTAGTTTTTTCCTTGGAGTTTCTTTATCGTCATTATCATCGCTGTCTCCCTTATCTTGTACTCTAAATATGACGACCTTTTGATTTTTTCCCTCCAAGGGCATTTTTTTAATCACCCTTTGCTTATAAGTCGGCGCTATAACACTAAATTCCTCCTCGCATATTTTTTCAATATGACTGTGCGCTTTCTCTATGGATTGCGAGATTTGCTTTAACTGTTTTTTTTTGCTCTTTTTTGGCGTCATATCGCCTTCTGATGCTGATGTTGACGAAATATTGCGCACTTTCTTTGGAGTTTTGGGTTTCGTATCACCATTTTCCTTTAAGGTGTTTTGCGTTTGATTTACATTCGTCGTAGAATCAATAATGTTCTGCAATTTTTTGTACAACTCGTCGGTTAAACTGTTTGTGTCTGTGCTCGTGTTTGACGATTTTTTTCCTGCAAATTTTCGTAGAAAATTTGCCTCAACAATCGTATACTACTTACCGTTGTTTTCCGATATGGAGACTCCACTTTTCATCATACTCAAAACGTTGGTTATCTCCTTTTCCATAGCATCAAAAGCATCCAAATTTTCGTTATTATCCTTGGATAACACATCCACCATTTTGCTTTCTATAACATGCACAGCCTTCTGAATGTTATCCCTTATGTTATTGTTTTTCATCTTTAAAGATTTCAGTCTCTCCAGAAACTCTCTCCTTCTGTTGGTTAGTTCTTTAGATGCCATGGCATCTATGGAATCTATAAAAAGATTCATTAAGTAGTGGAAAGTTATCAATCTGTCATTGGAAGGTTTGTTTTATTTGTTGACTACTAGTTTTGTATGGTCGGAAAAAAAACTGTTTTTCTTCCAATTCTTGTAAATTTATTATTTTTTTTTGGGAAAATTTACACATTTGGAAAATAGCGATAAACAAACTTCCCAGAAATTATAAAACCCTTTGTTTTCAAATTAGATTATTAAAAAAACACAATTGTATCAATATATTTATTATTTTTTTACTGGTTTAGACTTTGTTTCACTTTTAGATTTTAAATAACACTGCATATAGAACTGTCACTGCCACTGATAAAAATAAAAACTAAGTATAAAATCAGTTGTAAAAAAAATTTATTTATCATTGATAATTCTGAAAAACAAAATCGTCGCGAATCGTACAACGTTCAAGCAATTGAACATGGGTGGAGAATCTGGGGGAATATTTTTGTAAAAAAAAAAAAAAAAAAAGTCGTATAACTAACCTCCTTTCGATTTTTCCCTGTCCAGTTTTGACACGATTATTTTTTTATTGGCCAGGATTTCCTTTCTATTCAGTTGGCTCTGACTTTCCTTGATAACGTACGGTTTATTAGCTTGCATTTTAACCTTTTTGTCTTCGGTTTTTTTCACATTACGAGTCAGCTTTAATTTATTCAAAGGCGGTAGTTTCTTGTAGTTAAGGTCTGTAAAGAGTACTGAAGCGTTTTTCTGAGTTGGGGGTTTTACGTCTGAAAAGTATCGTTGGTAGACCTGTTGGGCGTTCAATTTTTTTTTTTGTTACCTATTTTTGGCCTACAGAACTTTCTAACCATTGCTAATAATTCTTCAGCTGTGGCATCGGTGTTATTTTTTTTGGGAGTCGACTTTTGACTCCTTTGTGAAATAGCGGGTGAGTTTTTTGTGGGGGAACCTATGGGAATGAAAATTTTACATCTGGCAACGTTGCCAAACGAAAACAACACTTACATTTAGAGTATATGGTCTTTGGAGCAATCTTTTGTTTTGCCATGGATTTCGTAGCATGTACTTCCTCATTGGATAATTTTTTTATTTCCACCTTTGGCGGGTTGGTATAAAACACGTTGACAGGCATTACAATGAGAGACTGCGTCCTATGATTTTGATTCGGCGGGAAAATATACGGCGACAGTTTTCTAACCACACTCTTTTTAGACATGCTCGAAACTGCCTGTTTGTTTTGTTTTGGCGCTAATTTGGTCGTCTTTTTAGTTTTAATTTCCTTATTGTTCGTCGCGATAGTTTGTGCTACAGGCTTCAGCAAAATATTAAACATAGGCTGCCACTTCTTTTCCTTTGTTAGGTTGTTTAAGAATGTAAAGTCTACTTGTGGCAACAAAACTTTATATTTTCGGTGTTTCTGGTATTCCGATCGTAACGGTCTCAAATCTGATGGTTTTAATTTATCCAGAACATCACAACACCTACAAGAAAACATTGAAATGTTATAGTGTGTCTACAAAACAGCAGTACTTTGGTTTCGGCCTGTACGCTCGTTTTATGTTGGCCAGTGCCCATTGGGCTTTAGTTGCAAAGTTTTTTTTAGCTGGTACATCATTAAACACCTGTGGCTTCCATTTAAACTTGTTAGTTTCCTCTGAAACCATTAGTTAAAAAGTTATATGCATTTTAAGGTAACTCATACAAACCATTGATGTGTTTTTCAATATTTTTATTTGGCACACCCTTTTTATTTTGTTGTTTCGTTTTGCCCACGTTCTGATTCGATTTTTTTACGCCAGGTCTTTTCTTTAAACCTTTTTTAACACCCTGTTTCGGCCTAAACAAAAATCGATTTAATAAAAAACCCAACACCATGTTTATTAGTTAATACTTTGGGTTGTAATTTTCTCTACGAGTTTTGCTAACCCTCCAAGGTTTCTTTTCTTCCGCTTGTTTCTGTTTTTGTTGCTCTAACTCGAGTTGTTCTTTTTTCAATCTCTTTTCGGTACTTTCCATCAACTTTTTAAAGCACAATAAACTATCGCTACCTTCAATCTGTAACATAAGTTTCTCATGTAAGTTTACTATGGCTTTAGATCGAAACACATTCGGTACAATTTTAGGATATAATTCCTAGAAGAAAAAAAAACAATATTTAATCTGTAAGATATATAATATAATATATACCATTACAAGATTTTCTTCTGACTTCACTTTGGTTGTTTGACTTGACAAATCCAAATCGTTATCATTCAAAGTATCTATTTTCCAGTTAATATTATTGACGTGTTTACTTATATCAGAAGCAACGTTTTCCAAATTTTTAATGAAAGAACTACATCAGAAAAAAAATTATCTTCGTTAATATATGGTGAGAACAAAAAAATTACCTGAATACCCCCATAAAGTTTTTTTGTTTTTCCAGCCATAGTTTCTTTTCTTCGTTTGTTATTTCACCATATTCTTTTTTGTTTTCTGCATCTTCATTATCATTCGAAATAGTATTTAAATTTTCGAATGCTTCGCGATTGTTTTTTTCTACATTCTGTTCTTGTATTATATCTTTATCGTAATTTTCGACACGAATTTCTTTTTCTTCGACGTCAATTACTTGCATTAAATCTTTATCATTTTCATTCTTTTCTTCTTTGACAGTTTCTTGAGAATATTTGCTTTCCTGTCGGCCATAGGTTAAAACATTGTATATGAAATATGTAGGCCATAAAATTCTCCACAAAAAAGCTAAATACGTTTTTTGCGTATGACTCACCGTTAAAAAATCCTGGTCACGGCACCAATATGTACGCAAAAATGCTTATAAACTTTTTTGTAAAGAATTGATTGGCCTATCTTTTTTATTAATGACTTTTTGACGCCCCGTTAACAGAAATCGTAATATTTAAAAATATGTGTAACATTTCTACAAACTCAGATTTTATGCTTACTTGAATCAAATCTTTATTACTTTCTTCTTCAAGTTTTTTATCGAAATTTTCGTCGTTTTTAATTTCATCAAAATCAAGACTTTTTGATGCCTCAAGAATCGGATCTTTATTATTTTTAGCACTGAAAACAAATATATTATTTAGTATTAAAATAAGGATTATGCCCCATAATACCTATTGTCGATTTCACTAGAGTATTCTCTAACTTTTTTGCATATATTATCAATCGATTCAAAGCTGTTGAGAATGTTTTTTTTAACTTCAACTTGTGGCGGGTTCGTATAAACCACAGTAACCGGCATAACAACGAGAGATTGAGTCACGAGATTTTGATTTGATGGGAATATATACGTAGATAATTTTCTTGCTACGCTCTTCTTAGACATCGTCGAAATTCTTAGTCTGCTTTGTTTGGTCCTGGTTTTCGTTTTACTGGTTTGATTTTCTTTGTTTTCGTTCGCGTTGATATGCGTTACAGGCTTCAACAAATTATTCAACATGGGTTGGTACTTCCTTTCATTCGTGAGATTGTTTAAAAACATGTTGCTTGCTTCAGGCGATAAAATGTGGTCTTTTCTAGGGTACTCGGATTTTAAAGGTTGTAAATCTGACGGTTTTAAAACGTCCAGAACATCGTAATACCTAAAGAAAACATTAATAAACCTTTATAGTGTGTTTAAAACAACAATACTTTGGTTTTGGTCTGTATGCGCTTCTTATATTGGCATGGACCCATTGTACTTTTGTTTTAAAGTTTTCCTTGGCTGGAACGTCATTAAACACCTGTGGTTTCCATTTAAACTTGCTGGTTGCTTCTAAAACTATGTTTAAATGTATGTCATATGTATGTCATATGTATGTTATATGTATTTTTGCGTACCACTGGCAAGTTTGTCCTTATTTTCGTGCACCGTAGGCTTTTTATTTTGCTTGGGCTTAACCACATTTTGGGTCTTACCCACATTCAGGGTGTTACCCACACTTTGCTTTGGTTTTTCCTCTTCGATGTTTATCGGTCGTTTTTTGAAACCTTTTTTGCTAAACCACAAGCTGTTGTTGAACATTTTTCTGACGTCTCCGTTACCTTGTTTGGAGCTAAAAATGAAGTGTAAAGAAAAACCATACTACTCAGTAATACTCTCAACTGTTTTTTTTTGTTCAATTTTTTATCCACCTCCATTTGTCGTTCTCTTTTCAATCTTTGCTCTGTGCTTTCCATTAAACGTTTGAAACACAAGAAACTGTCATTAGCTTCTAGCTGTATTGTGAGCTTCTCATGTAAATTTGGTATGGCTCTAGAATGCGATACATCAGGAACAATATCGGGATTTTTTTCCATATTTAGACTATTTTTCGACTTGACTTTAATTATTTTGGCCTTTGATTCAACGTTGTTGGCAGTGGCCAAATCTTCAATTTTTTCTATTAAAGTTTGCGATATTTCCCCAATCTTCATGAGACTTTTATAGGTATCGTTTTTGACATTTTCAAGCGCTTTTTTCTTTTGTTTTTTTCGTTTCAATATTTTTTTGTTGCCCACGTATGATTCTTCGGGTTTTAATTCTTTTTGTTCGGTTTTTAAGGGTTTGTCGTCCGTTTTCCTAGTTGTTAACCACAAATCACTGTCTTTCAAAGTCTCTATTCTCCAGTTAATGTTATTCACGTGTTTGTTCATGTCGGTTACGAAATTTTCCACGTTTTTTATGGAAGATCTGCATTACGAAAAAGTTGTATCATCTGTAATTTTTGATTGGTAAAAAATATTACCTGAATACCCCCATAAAGTTTTTTTGCTTTTCCAGCCACTTCTTCTTTAATTCGTTGCTGTTTTGATTATCTTCGTTCGTTGTTTCAGCTGTTTCTTTTTTTGTTTCTTCAGTATCATTTGTATTTTGCTCCAATTCGATATCATCATTATTTTCTTCTTTAACATCTTCTTTGGCCTCACTTACTTGTATCAAATCTTCATCATTTTCAGTTTTTTGAGAATATTTGCTTTCCTATCGTTTATAAGTTAAACATTGTATATACAAATTATAGACCATGAAATTCTCTACAAAAAGCGTTTTTTTGCGTATGACAAAAGGTACTGGACGTATTGTACGCAAAATATGCTTATAAACTATTCTGTAGAGAATTGATTGGTCTATGTTTTTTATTAACCTGGGTAACTTCATCATTCGCATTCTTTGTTACTTGAGTCAAATCTATATCATTACTTTCTTCATTCTCATTATTTTCTTCTTCAATAGTTTTTTGAGTATATTTGTTTTCCTATCAATCATAAAAAACATTGTATCCTTAATTAAAAAAACAATTGGACAAACCTTGATAACTTCATCTATGTTAATCGCATCTTTTCTTACTTGAGTCAAATCTTCATTATGATTACTTTCTTCATTTTCTTCTTCAACGGTTTTTTGAGTATATTTGCTCTCCTGTTGGTCATAAAAACATTGTGTATCATAAAATTTTTTACAAAAAAAAGTAAATATATTTTAACATTTTTTTTTGTTGACCTTACTTGTAGTACACCTTTTTCGTCAATAGTTTCTTCCTTTTCTTCGTAATTTTCGACGCGTATTTCTTGTTCGTTGGGATCTTCATTTATAATTTGGTCAAAATTTGAATTAATTTCTTCAAAAATGAGGCAACAACTTTTGGAGGTCTTCATAGCCATATCGTTATTTTTACTACTAAAAACAAATTTATTGTTGGGGATTATATATATATATATATGTAATATAATACCTATTATCCATTTCAGTAATGTATTCTCTAACTTTTTCGCATATATTATCAATGGACTCGAAACTGTCCCGAATCATAGTCGACATATTATTGCTCAAGTCTATTAAATTGGAGTTAACTTTTTTTCTGTAGTCCAGATATCTTTTCGTGGTGGTACTAGCTTCGTAAAATTTTTTGGAGGGTGTCAACTGATTTTCTTTTTCCGATGGTGTAATGTTTACCGCTTGGGATAGAATTTGCTCAACGAACTCATTAAGATCGTTGGAATTCAGTTCCTCTTTATCTGAATGTTGCGTGTTAGTTTGCGATAAAATTTGTTCCACGTATTCATTCAGATCATTCGAGTTTAGTTCCTCTTTATCTTCTTCCAAATGTTTGATGTTAGCTGATTGCGAGAAAATTTGTTCGACATATTCGTTGAGACCATTAGAATTTGTTTTCAATACCAAGGAGTGTGGAATTTCGGTATACATTGCCATTTTTTTAATTTATTTTCACAACTTTACACTAAACCAGCATTTTTATTCCCCTTTATTACATATTTTTCTTTTTGACATTTAACGGATTGACATTTAAATAATTATTGAATAATCAACAATAAGACTAGACTTTGTGATGTTTTCTTGCAGATTGGGTCGTCTTTGTACGATGCTGAAGGTGCCAAAATTGTCAACAAATTGTTGGAAAAAGCGAAGGCAAAAAATGTGCAAATCCATCTGCCAGTTGACTTTGTAACAGCAGACAAATTTGATGAGAACGCCCAGGTAAATATTATTAAAAGTTGTATCGACAATTTTTGAAACCCCCTGTATATTATTTGGAAAATATTACACTGTTACGTGATAGTCCATCAATTTGCGCAACTTTTAAAAAAAAATCAATAAAATCGTTCCCGTAACAAAAAAGTTATTAACAAAATAAAAATTTCAATTTTTTTTTTTAATTTTTTTTTTAGTCCAGTTGCGCTACTGTTGAATCGGGCGTACCCGAAGGGTGGATGGGGTTGGACATCGGTCAAAAAACAGTCGAACTTTTCAGGGAGCCAATCAAAAGAGCGAAAGTTATCGTTTGGAACGGGTATAAGAGCAAACATCAAAATAACATAAATTTGACATTTTTCGGCGTTTTTCTTTTGTTTTAGACCGGCCGGCGTGTTTGAGTTCGAAAAATTCGCTCACGGAACTAAAGCTATAATGGATGAAGTTGTCGAAGCCACCACAAGAGGCGCCATCACCATTATTGGTGAGTACAAATACTATACATTGCCATATCTTCGTTAATATAGATTTTACAAAAAAAATTTATGGGTGAAAAATACGGGGACTTTGACTGTCTACAAAAAAGTTAAAATGAGTTTTGTCGAAAAATTTACAGCTAATTAGATATTTAACAAAAAGTACTACCGCGCCAGTGGTCTTTCAAAAAATTGTAATTATCTCGTTTTCTGTCAAATTTTTGACAAAATTCGTTACGATGTTTTTTGTAGATTATAAAATTTCCTAAACTTTTCATCTAAAACTTTTTTTTTAATTGTGTAGTTTTAACGGTTTAGGAGATATTTAGTTAAATGTGTTGTTTTGAGTCGGAAATTTTGAAGTTATTTTCAATGAGTTGTAATTTTTTTGTTATTCATTTGTTTTTAACTTAATGTACATCATATTAAAGCCCATTTTATCTAATTTAAGACAGTCGGAGAATAATAAGTATAACTGCTTTACTTTTCAAGATATTCAAGAAAAAACGCAACATTGCCTAAAAATAATACCTCATTTTTAAAGTCTGATAACTTTTTTACCTTTAGTCGGATTTTACTTTGTGATACATCAAATTATTCCGTATTTTATCACCTTCAAAACGATAGCAAAAAAATATTTCACCCGAATTTTTTTCACGGTTTAAATGTTCTTTTTAGGCGGGGGTGATACTGCCACATGCGCCGCCAAATGGAACACCGAAGACAAAGTTTCCCACGTTTCTACAGGCGGTGGTGCCAGTTTGGAACTTTTGGAGGGAAAAGTCCTTCCCGGTGTTGCCGCTTTGAGCGATGCCTAATTGTTTAATATTTTAACTTAGAAACTTGAATGTTTAAATGATTTAATAAATTATTCCAAAAAAATGTTGTGATTCAATTAATATATGTAAATAAAAAAAAAATGTTTTGTTTTATTTTTTTTATTAGTGTTTTATGGTATTGGACATGCAATTTGCTTCTCACAATTCGGACATAAACCGTGAAGTTCCGAAAAAACTCTTCTAACGTTTCCTGTAATCAACCACTAAAATATATCATTTTAGTTGTTTTTTTGTGCAAAAATTAATAAAATTACCTCATATAAACATTGGGAGTGATAACAACTTTCACAATGCTCATTTCTGCAGATAATATCGGGGTTTTTTTCGTTTAAATTAAAAGTAAAACATATGGAACATTCCGTGTTATTTATTAGTAATTCCGCACTTTCCACGTCATCTGCAGGCTTTTCCGGAAAATTTTCCATACCTGTGTAACACATTTTAAATTATTTTATCACATAAGAAACCCCACAATAATTTTCACCCAAGATTTTTAAGAGTTGAGTATACGGATCTCCATTTTCATCCCATGTGTCTAAATTACTATTTAAATTATCCCTGTATATTTCTACAATCCTTTCAGGGCCCAAAAACAATATTTCAGGCCTTAATTTTATATTATAAGCATCTACTCTTACAGTAACTGACGTATTTTCCCCTAAAAACAGTTTTTTGATTTTCTTATTCCTGGTCATGGCACCAATATACGCAAAAACACTAATAAACAATTTTGTAGACAACTAAATGACCTACAATTTTTATTAATGACTTTTTGACCCCCCATTAGCAATAATCGCGATAATGAAATATAAGTAACAACTTTACAAACCCAGGTAAATTCTTCTATAGTTATGGCATTTTTTTGGTTCTACTGGGTCTAAAATCCAAGCTGTGTTGTCCAAGTGTTCCATAAAGTCAAAGTAGGGTTTTAGAACTTCAACAGTGGCCAAAAATTGGTCAAAAAGGACTGTCAAGTTAGAGTTGTTTTTGATTGGTTTAATAGGTAAATCGTATTTTTCCAATTTAAAAATGTTATTTACTTCACTATCATCGATACTTATTACTATACTGTGTTCTCTTTTGTTCTCATCTTGCATGGATATGAATATTTTCATAAAATCATCCGATAGTTGACATTTTGTTAAATTTAAGTAAAACTTGGTAAATTCAATGTATTCCATCAAAACCTTACGATATAAATAACTTTTATTAATTAAAATACCCCCATTATTAGCCAAACTTTTCACATAATCCCTAAAATAATCCAAAACTTTTAATTCAGACAAATCCTTTTTTTCACCTATTTCTTTATTTAATTCATTTTTAATACTATTCAGCTTATCTAAATCATGAAAAATAAACTTGTTTTTCCTATATTTAAGCTTAACTTTATAGTCCACATTCTAAAATAAACACTTTGTATATAAACAATAATATAACCCTACTTTTTACTTACATTAACTTCTACGACCCCTGTATAAGAAAAACCTTCTGTGGTGCGTTGTTTTTTAATTAGGGGGTAATTTAACAGCAAATCCAAGTCAATTTCAGTCATTATTTTGCCAATATTTGTGAAATAATTTTTGACGAATTTGAACGATAAAAGTTTGGTTAGGTTTATAGACGTTTCAAAGTGTAGAAAATTTTTTGTTTAAAAATAATGATTATTGTTATTTTAGGATTTATTTTGATAAACTTTGGTAAATTGTTGTTGCAAAAACAATAAAAATCAATATTTTATTAGAAATTCGAAACAGAAAAGTACGTAAAGTTTCTGTATTTGTTATGTCTATAGTTATAAATGCTCATAGTTTCACCCTGTATGAGTAAGTGGAATGTGTGCATTGAGATTTACACTACTTTGGTAATTAATTCAAATGGCATAATTAAAAGTAAATTTAAACACAATATAAAATAAAATTAATTAGGGAATACATGTGTTTTAAAGTAAGTCTACATAGAGTAAAATCCTCAACAAGTAGAGAAAAATAAGTGTACTCTAGTGTAGACCCTGTATCTAAGCTACGACATCCCTTTTTCAGCTGGTTTCATGAATAGCGTACGTCCTGACTTAAATAATTATGTATTTCAGTAGAGGTGACCTTTAAATGTATTTAAAATTTATTTTCTTTACATGCGTGTATGCTTTTAACATTGTATTAAAATTGTGCATCTTTTTCGGTAGTACGTAAATAAAATTTTTGTATAAACAGTGCGTTAAGGGTTTGGACCTGTGAGGAAATATAAGTTTTTGATTTTTTGACTTAAATTTTATGTAAGTAATTTTTATTTTTATTTTTTTGTGATTTTTACTTGTTTTTTGTATGAAAATTGTATGAAAACTTATTTAATATTGTGTCAGTTAGTATGATTAAAATCATATGCGTTTTTTTTCGTTATTTAACAAAAAATTAGCGTTAAATGCATAAAAATAGTTCTATAAATAAATGTAATAAACCAATTTAAATTTTGATTATTTGTTTATTTTTAGAAAATTCTACACGTGGATTCCTGCTAAAAATATAACTTTTTTCAATAAATGCAATAATTATTTTTTAATTAATCTAATATTATTTCTAATATTTTTTGGTTGTGTAATGAATATTGAGTTATAAAGATAAATTTAATTTTATCTCAATGATTGTTATTTGTTTATATGGAAATATTATAATTATTTTGCAATTTGAATTACAAGAGATAACATAGATCATAGTTACACTTCTATTGGTTTTTATTTGGGTTTTTCTAAGTGTTTTGTACGTTAAAAATCTCTTAAAATTAGGACCAACTTTGACAGTCTGTAGTTTTGTTATTTTTTACCCAATTTAAAAAATTAATATGTCATTTGATAGATAATTTTGTTAACTTTAATAATATGTAAATATCTTTACATGCCCCATACAAAATTTTCGAGATAATTCGCAAAATACAAAGTCGTGTTAATGATAATTTTTTTTCAGTTATTTTCCAAAATGTCTTCCAAAAGATTTTACAGGGGTGAATCTTACAGCAATTTATTGGCTTGTTTGGATAAAGGTCAACTGGCTGAGGAACAAAATAGATGGACATTCGAAATAGCATGGGAGGCAGCCAATAAAGGTTGAAAAATATGTTTAAGTCTATCCATCTACAATTTCTTTGGTCTAGGGTTATCAACCATAGACCAAAGAAGATGTAGATGGATGCAACCGTAGACCATGAAAGTATTAGATGGATACATTTTTGTTTTGTTTTTTGTAGTTGGTGGAATTTATACAGTGATTAGATCAAAAGCGTACGTATCCACTGAAGAAATGGGGGACCAGTATTGCTTGATAGGGCCCTACAAGGAAGCATGCGCGAGAGGGGAAGTAGAAGAGGGGCCGCTTGGATCTGAAAGTCTTAACAGGGCTGTAGAAACAATGAGAAATAGGGGGTACAAAGTCCATACTGGTCGATGGTTGGTAGATGGTAACCCACAACTTATTCTGATGGATATTGGGTCAGCTTCATGGAAATTAGATGAATTTAAAAATAATCTATGGGATACCACGAACATTGGTGTACCGCATTTAGATGTTGAAACCAACGACGCAATTCTGTTAGGTTATATGGTTTCAGAATTTATTGAAGAGGTTAGTATTCCATCTATCTACAGTTTATTTACTCTATGGTTATAACCATAGACTAAACAATCTATAGATAGAAAATAGACCAAAAAAACATTTTTTCAGTTCAAAAACTGTGCCTGGGCTGATACAGATAAACAACCAAAAATTGTAACTCATTTTCACGAATGGCAGGCTGGTGTAGGTTTAATTGTTCTACGTACACGAAAAGTAGAGGTCGCTACTGTATTTACCACGCATGCCACCTTACTGGGAAGATATTTATGCGCCGGTAATACAGATTTCTACAACAACCTTGATAAAGTACGTATAAATAAAATAATAACCAAATAACTACAAATTAATATTTCTATAGTTTGCAGTTGATGAAGAGGCAGGAAAAAGACAGATTTATCACAGGTACTGTATTGAGAGAGCTGCCACCCATCTATGCCACACATTCACTACAGTTTCTGATATCACAGGTAAATTGCATTGTATCTATCTATGTTTTATTTAGTCTAAGGTTGTCTACCATAGACTAAACAATTTATAGATAGATAATTTTTTCGGAAATCTTTACTAATAAAATATATTGTAGGTTATGAAGCCGAACATTTGTTGAAAAGGAAAGCGGATGTAATAACACCAAACGGTTTAAACGTTAAAAAATTTTCCGCCTTGCACGAATTTCAAAATTTGCATGCTTTATCGAAAGACAAAATACACGAATTTGTACGAGGTCACTTTTATGGGTAAACATTTTTTAAGATATAACAAAAAAAAATTACATATTTTTTTAGACATTTTAACTTTGATCTGGATAAAACCCTATATTTCTTCATTGCTGGCCGATACGAGTTTGGAAATAAAGGCGCAGACATTTTTATTGAAGCTCTAGCAAGGTTAAATCATTATTTAAAGGTAATAACATTTATGTAACATTAATTTTTGTATTATAATTATTTTTTTGTAGTCCACGCATCCAGATGTCACAGTGGTAGCATTTTTAATTTTTCCCGCCAAAACTAACAATTTTAATGTCGAATCCTTAAGGGGTCATGCCGTCACAAAAAGTTTAAGGGATACCATCAGCGATATACAGGATAAAATAGGGAAGAGATTGTATGATGTGTGTTTAAGGTAATCTAGAAATTTTGTAAAATATAGGTAACATCTAAGTAATATATCAAATATCTTGCTTACCGTGTAATTTTCGACAAAAACTGATAAAACATGTTTTGTAGAGAATCAAATCCTCTATATTTTTCCTTTGGAACTTTTTTCTCTAAAACGCATATTTACGAAGTTACGTAAAAGTGACTTAAAACTAACATCTTATTATCTCGGTTTAGGGCAATTTTTCGACAAAAAGTCTTATAATGATTATTGTAGAGAATCAAATCCTCTACATTTTTTGTCTGAAACTTTTTCTTCTAAAATGCTTATTTAACTAGGTAACATATAGGTAACATACTAATATCTCGCTTACCGCGACTTTTTCGACAAAACTGTTATAACCTTTATTGTAGAGAATTAAATTCTCTATATTTTTTGTCTTAAACTTTTTCCTGTAAAATGCATGTTTAACTAAGTTAGATATAGGTAACATTTAAGTAACATGTGAATATCTCGCTTACAACTACTTTTTCGACAAAAACTGTTACCAGATGTTTTGTAGAGAATTAAATCCTCTATATTTTTCATTATAAACTTTTTCTGTACAACGCATATTTTCGTATTGTAGTGGTAAATTACCTGAAGGTGCAGAGCTTTTACAAAAAGAAGACATGGTTAGAATGAAGAGATGTATCTATTCCTTGCAAAGAGATGGTTTACCTCCAGTAACCACTCATAATGTCGTAGACGATTGGAACGATCCTGTGTTAAACTCAGTGCGTAGATGTAACATGTTTAACACTACACATGACAGAGTAAAGGTAGTGAAAAAACATCACCTCATTTCAAGACTTTTAGTAAAAAAAATTTTTAGATTGTGTTTCATCCCGAATTTTTAAGCTCAACTAACCCCCTATTTGGATTGGATTACGAAGAGTTTGTCAGGGGTTGCCATTTAGGGGTTTTCCCGAGTTACTATGAACCCTGGGGGTATACACCTGCAGAATGCACTGTACTGGGCATTCCTTCTATAACAACGAATTTATCAGGTTAGAGAATTTGGCTTTTAATTTTTACCATACTAAAATTACTCTTTTGACAGGTTTTGGATGTTTTATGCAAGAACACATAGCCGATCCACAATCGTATGGTATATACGTTGTAGACAGGCGATTCATATCTTTGGAAGACTCTGTACAACAATTAGCACAATTTATGTACGATTTTGCACGACTTAATAGAAGACAACGTATCATACAGAGAAACAGAACTGAAAGGCTCAGTGATATGTTGGACTGGAGAAATTTGGGAGTTGTAAGTTATGTACTTTGTAGGAAATTACATTCTCTACATTTTTTATTACAATGTTTTTTCTGCAAAACCAATATTAACGAAGTTACGTAAAAGTGACATAAAATTAACATCTCGGTTTTTGCCTTAAACTGCTAATTTAACCAAGTAGAATATAGGTAACATCTACGTAACATGTCAATAACTCGCTTACCATGATTTTTTCGACAAAAACTGTTATTAGATGTTTTGTAAAGAATTATATCCTCTATATTTTTCATTATAAACTTTTTGTGATAAATCTATATTTACGAAGTAACAAAACCGTTAAGTCAAAACTACGTATATCTCGGTTTAGGGCAATTTTTCAAAAAAAGTGTAATAATGTTTATTGTAGAGAATCGAATTCTTTATATTTTTTGTTTTAAACTTTTTTCTGTAAAACGCATATTAAACTAAGTAAGATATAGGTAACATTTAAGTAACATGTCAATATCTCGCTTATAATGACTTTTTCGACAAAAACTGTTATAATTTGTTTTGTAGAGAATTAAATCCTCTATATTTTGTATATAAACTTTTTACTGTAAAATGCATACATATCCAACAAAGTAATTATTTTGTTTTATTAGTACTATAGACAGGCCAGGGTGAAGGCTCTACGTGCAGTTTATTCAGACTTCAGGGACGAGGTAGAATCAGGTATTGGGTCTCTAAATTATCCAAAACCTTTTTCTGAGCCTCCATCACCAAGCAACAGCAGATTTACAACCCCTACAGGCTCCAGACATGCTTCTGATGATGAAAGCGACTCTGTAGATGAAGAAGGCGAGGTAATACAACAATTTTCCAAAAAAAGTTGTATCTATCTAAGTTTTCTTAGTCTATGGTTGTAAGCCATAGACTAAACTATTCTTAGATGAATTATTCTTTTAATTTATTTTTTTTGTTTTAGCTTGCTGAACTGAGGATAAAATAATGATTGTGTACTAAATTATCTCTAAGCAACTTTTTTATTTACAATTCTTGCCGTACCTATAAAATTTTATTTAAAAAAAATGTTATATTTTTTAAATTTTGTCTGTTATTGTAAAAAACTACAAATAAACTATTAAATGCACAAAAAATATCATTGTTATAAATAAAATTGTTAGATTAATAATAAATATTAAATATTAACGCATTGTTTTATTTTTTTAAAATGGATAATAAAAATATTTAAATTCGTTGAGGAAAATAAAGTCATTTTAAATGCACCTCGTATCTTTGGCCATGTGTGTTGTTTTTTGTAATAAAACACATGTTGAATATATCTGTTGATACACTTTTGTATGTGTTATAATTTTTACTGTAAGTGTTTGGTGAATATCCTTGTCTAATTCACTATTTTTTAATTGAATTAAAATCCAGACGTATGTAAAAATTAATTTTTATAAATATTTCTCAAATTTCATTAAACCTATGAGCATGGTACGATTTTAGTCTAACTTATAAAGTCATGGTTATTGTTAATATTAAAAAATGGTATGAAAATTTTAATTATGTATTTATAATAAAATATTAATTTTAAAAACAATTTATTATTACTTAAATAGTTATATAATTTATACGTTTATATTTTTATCTTTTTTTTAATGCGGTAAAACGCTAGATAATGGTTTTTAGATTATTTTTATCTTTGTACTAACAGTCATTTAATTTAATATTTTACATAAATTGCAAAATACTTTTTAATATAAAAAATCATGGCATTATAAAATTTTGAGGCTAAATATGTTTTTTCTAAATTGTATAACTCTCCAACAAATAGATTTACAGCAATTCTCAATGTAAATTATTGTAGAAAATTTGCTGCTCTACAAAAAAGATCTCTTGTGATTTTTACATAAATTTAACCGTTTAAATGATATATGATTATTAACGTAAATAAATATGTAATTTAAAAAGTCAAAATATAAAAATTTAAGTTTTGTTAACTTTAACTAAATTCAGAAAGTTTTTCCTCAAAACAAATTTGTTAGTAATATTTTATGCCTTAAAACTTTTTTTCTACAACCAATAGGAAAAGAGATAAAAATATTAGAGAACATTGCAGCAAAATTATATAAATTCATATTATATTAATTTCTTAGATTTACGAATTCTGTGCGGCATGATAATTTTTATCAGCAAAACCACACTTCCTGTTCCACCCCATAATCATTTCTATAAAAGGAACTTGCACTATATATTAACATTTTAGTTCTCCTTAATGTATTATATGGTGTAAGACATAATTTGGTAAGTTTAATAATTTTAATTTTAAATTAAATACGTAGTATTAGTAATTCGGCTCTTTAAGGGAAGCTACCGTATTTTTAACAGTTAGCTGCCTTCTGAAGGGCAAAATTTTCTAGTACAAAAACATCAAAAAATATCTACTTTGTAGTACCTAATAATAGGTAGGTATACCTGTTGTAAATGACCGATTAATTCCTGTAGAAACCAATTGAAGTATTGGTTGGTATCAATGGGTCTGAATTGGACTTACTGGATTTAATTGGGCGCGATATAAAACAGAAATTGGTTTTTACTGGTATTTTCCATGATGGAAAATACCAGTTAGGATTCTAATGGTTTTTATTGGTTTCGATTGGATAAAGCTACCTATAGGTAATTTCCAATTGAATTCAATTGGGCATTCCCAGTGTAAGATTCGAAAAATCTGCTAATTGGTTATTCCCAATACAATACAAATATCGCAAGAGGGCTCTCGTGTAGCTGCGCAAAATCAACGAGGTTGAGACGCCATCATAAAGAAAAAACGTCTTTGGACGCCATTTATTAGCGGTTTATTTTATTAGTCGATTTCAGTGTTAAGTGCCTAGTGTTAGTAGTCTACTTATATATTAAAAAAATGTTTATATGTGTAACATTACATTTCAGTGTTAAGTGCCTAGTGTTAGTAGTCTACTTATATATTAAAAAAATGTTTATATGTGTAACATTACATTGTGTAAGATTTAGGGATTTAGGCGATAGTAAGTTATATGTATTAATACATACATATATCACAAAAAAAATAATAAATAAATAAAATTACTTAGTAACAATAAATTTTTTGTCTCTTCTGTAAAAAATGAATTCTGGTTTTTACCCGGTTATCCTTCTGGGATCTAAAATTATTTTTGAATGAAAAATAAACTGGTAGGTATTTTCTAATCCAAATTTTAAAAAATTAATTGGTTTAAATTGGTTGGAATGGGTTTGGTGCTATGAATTACCAATTCATTCCATGTGCATTTTTATTGTATTTAGCCAATAGAGACAAGCGTAGGCATGAATTGGTATTTTCCAATTCAAGCCGCTGACTTCATTGGAAATTACCAATAGGAATTCAACTGGAATGAATTGGTGATTCATAGCGCCAAAACACATTTCAAACCAATTCAAACCAATTCAAACCAATTGCTTATTTTTTATTGGATTCTATTGGTATTTCCCAATTTAAGCCGCTGACTTCATTGGAAATTACCAATAGGAATTCAACTGGAATGAATTGGTGATTCATAGCGCCAAAACACATTTCAAACCATTTAAAACCAATTCAAACCAATTACTTATTTTTTATTGGTTTCTATTGGTCATTTACAATAGGGTAGGTACATATATTTTTGTAACTTTTGTTTCTTGAATATATACAATGTTTTTAAGCATTAAAATGCTATGGTTAAATAATAAGTATACATAAAAAATACTCGCCTTTTCCTTCTTTTATTTCTTTATTTACAACAAAAATTATATTCCACTATACACAAGAATCAAAATTGTTGAGCTGTTTAGAGGTTATAACTGTCACAATTCAATGTTTTAACATGTCAATTGTTTAACAACTGTTGCCATGGAGATAATGCATTAAATGGCAACAACGCTTACACTCGGTAAAGAAATAATTCCTTACTCGAAAGTTAATTTACTTTTAAATTGGTCGTCAAATTTTATATGGGATACAAATGTTTGATATTTAATATCGTAATAAATGAATTTATAATATTTTTATGTCTGACTTTTTCCTTATTTTAATTACATAATTCACCACCAGGCGGCGTGATCATATTTGACAGATGTCAATATATTTCAAAATGAAACACTTAAATTATTATTATTTTTATAGTTCTTTACCCACACAACACAAAAATATTTTAAAAATATTGCCAGTATATTAATGTTCATTGATATGATTATTGGATAAACATTGTTTACCCAATGCCGAATGTTGTTTCAATATTCCTACAACATTCAGATGTCCCAAAACCTCTATTGTAGAAATGTTATGATATAATATTAATAAAACATTGAGGAAATTGGTTTGCAAATATTTATGCATATTTTAGTAATATTACCAAAATATTTATTAAATAGTAAAAGATATTACTAATGTTTATTAAATATTGGAATTAATTCACATAAAAATTAAAATTTTCTAAAAATAATTTATTTATATAAAAATATAAATGTAGGTAACAAAAATACATTACATGTTTAACAAAAAAAAACACTTTTTTTGGAACAGTGCTTCCTATTCATTCTAATTTTCTATATAATTATTTTTCATTTTTCCTGAACGGAGCTTGAGCCAACCATTGCCTTAGCTCCTTTAATATATCAGCAGTTGTTGCCTCCTTTGTTTTGATATTTGCTCTTACAGAATCTGAAAATTTACTGTACTTTAGATAAAGTTTTATTATAACTTTTAAAATTACCTAACAGTAACTGGAACAGTTTTAAATATTATTATCTTCCTCCATCAAAACTGTACTGTGCGGCCAATTTGTTGGTAACCATTAGGTACAGAACTGACCTTGTTACTTCTTTCGGTGCCTCACCACCAACCATGGAGAATCTTTTGGCCTAGAATGTTAAATTGAAATGTCAAGTTTTAATGATTTATTTTTCTTACCAATTTCGTTCGCAAATTTGCATCCTCAAGAGACTCTTCAATGACCTGCAACTTTTCAGGAGAGTCAATTTGAAACAGTTCACAAATTGTATAATAATTCGATTATTTAGCAACAAGTAGGCACGCTAACTCTATTTTCCCCTCTTATTTTCTTAAAAAAAAAAATATGTGTAGGTACATACCTTTTTGTGAAGATACAGCCACTATATATAGTTTTATAGACTTACAATCGTTTTGCACCTTTTATTATTCACCTCTTATGTTCTGTAATTCACCTTAAATGGTCTAAGAATTAGTCTTAAAATTCACCAATATGCAAAATGGATGCTCAATGATGCAGAGATAAAGAAGGGAATGATGATTTCCCGCGTTTTTTTTCGTCATATTTCGTAACTCATCGGATACTACATTTGAATATTTCCAAATGATTAATAAATCATTTATACAATATTTAGAAAACAACAAGCTATAGCAATCTGATAAATATTAATGTAATATTTGTCAAATATTATATTACCAATATTGGCGTTTAAACGGCTTTTCAATATATTAGCAATATTAGGTGTTGTGTGGGTAGTGATAAAAAACAATTTAAAAAGTGGTAAGATATCTCAAATTATGTCATATGTTTTAATTTTAGGTTTTATAAGCTATATTACTTGTAGTTATTATTAGTCTTAATATATTCTGATTTTGGTTCAAGTATTTATTTAGGTAGCTATGTGCATTATTAAAAAAAATAGTAAAAAACAAGGTTTTAGGAAGATATTAAAAAAAAAGAAAACGTATTAAATTAAAAAAGAAAGTTTATTAAGGAAAACATTCAATAAAATCATTTTTGGTTAGTTTTTGTTTATATGTCATTTTATTTACAATAATCATTAAGTGAGTGAATAACATTCATTTAAATGAATGTTATTCACTCACTTAATGATTATTCTTTAAATGTAGTTTAAAAGTACTGATTTTTGTAGTTTTATAGTTACATTTTTGACAGTTGTGTATTTTGGATGTAATGATATTTTTATTGGATTCATCCAACATATCTAAATGTTTTGTTAACATGTGGTTGTCAAAACTTATTTTTCTACTTGCTTCATATTGGCAAAATAAACATTTCAACTCTTTTATTATGCTATGAGTTTTTAAATGGGTGTTTAAATGATTTTTTTTTGTAGTTTTGTAATGACAAACCTCACATTGGTACCAATTGATATTTTTCAATTTTAAACAAACCTTTACGTGGTTATCATAATGTGACTTGTGAAAAGTTGAGTATGTACATTTTGTGCATTGATAAGTTTTACTGGTTATTTTAATTTCATTTTTAATTTTATTTTTTAAATTATTTTTACCCAAAACCTGTAATTTAATTTTTAATTTTGTTTTGTCATGAATTTTGAAATGTCTTTTTAAATGACTTTTGTTTACAGTGACATAACCACAAATGTTGCATTCAAATTTTTTCTGTTTGTCTTTTTTATGAATATGGTTTGTGTGCCTTATTAAAATATCATTCCTTCTATATTTCTTTGGGCAAAACTCACATTTAAATGAACCTTCTCTGATAACTCTATCTCTTTGTTTAAAACATTTTTCCTCAAGAATTTTTAATAGTTCTTCAGAAAAGCCATCTTCCCGAATATTGCAAGAGAAATCTTGATCCCTATCATTGATTTCAGATCTAAAATATAAAAAATTGTCCTGTCAACTGTCAAACAATTGTTGCCATGGTGATAATGCATTAAACGTCAAATATGCTCACCCTAGGTCGAGAAACATTTCTTCTTCACATTCAAATTTCATTACTTCAATGGATTTGTCACCATCATCAAAGTCTTCTTTAATATTTTGTTTTATCGCTGTCCCAGAGGTTGAAGACATTTCTTGGTCACTTAAGTCATCGAAATAACACACCAGACAACGAATTAAACGTATATTTACACCGAAAACTTTTAGACGTCGTTTACAAGAGCTTTTTGTTTGTTTTTTCCTGTATTTAGTCTTCTTGGTTGGTGACAAACAAAACCAGAACTACCAACTCACTAAATCTTGTTTGTCTCGACAAAATATAAGATGAATTTACTAATTTTTCGCTGAAAAAACAGTCAGATTTTCCACCAACGATTTGTTAATTAATTCAGTGTTTTCACTTTCCTCTAAATGTCTATTTTCAACCACTAATGTGGAAGATGTAGCGCGAAGTTGGTAACACTGGTTGGAAAACTTCGCACAGTGGAGTAAAATTAAAAATTTGTAGGACAAATGCACAGTGGGGTAAACTTTAAAAATTCAAAATTTTTAAGATTTTTAAATTATTTTTTTTTATTATTATTGTTTTTTTTGTGTTTAATGGTTTGCTTTTTTAACTGGAATTTATTATGAAAATACACATTTTAGAATTATAAAATACATTTTTTTTATAAAATATTATCGGTATGCAACCCAAATTACCAAAAACTAATGTTTGGATAATCTACTTTGAAGGTAGTAGAATAAAAAAAATAACTCTATGTGGTGACTATTTTTATTGTATATTATACAATATATCACATTATGAGCATATTAATTTAATATAATTAAAATATATCACAAGATTTTATACTATATATATATTAATAGTATACAGAAAAAAAATACGTCGAAAATAAATAATATTTGTTTTAGACCAAACACGTAAATTTTAAAAGCGCGATATCTCAGTAACGCTTGGTGTAATTAAAAAAATGTATAGTATGTTTTTTATAGTCCATTAAATTTGCTACAATTTTCCTATATGATTTGTTGGTCCATAAATAAAATTAACGAAGATATGGTGTTTGGTATACACAATACAACTTATGTACCTTCCACTAATTGTTTGGCTGCCTCAGGGTCGTCTATGGGGTCTGTAGTGTTAACCCCACCATTAGCCATGTTGTCGGTTGTATGCGCAGGAAGGTTGCCGCTGTTTGCGTCTTCAATAGCTTTTCTAAGCTCTTTCAAACCAACTACCCCAACCAGTCTACCAATGGCTGTCACATAGGCATGGTTCACTCCTACCATGGAAAATAACGAGTGGACTTTGAGTAGGGATGTTCGTTCCACCAATTGAAACGGAGCTGGGTCTATGTGACAAGCCGCAAAGTCCACAGGTAAGGTCATTTGTTCATCCTCCCATATTCTTTGATCTTCTGGTGACATATCGCAGACTCGTTCTTTGGGCTAAAACAAAAAATCAGTTGTGATGTCTTTAAAGTGCTTTCTTATTTACCAATTGGACTTTTTTGGATGTGGTTGGACTCATCGGTATAATTTGACTCTGATTTAGACTATCCACCCCCAAAATTGACTGGCTCTGGCTTGTTTCTACGTCTTGTAGTTGGGAAGATTTTCTAGAAAAAAATTCTTTTAATTTATATAAATGTACATAGCTACAAATCGTTAATCTCACCTGAATATAGCTTCAAAGGCGAGTCTAAGTCTACTCTCAGCCCCTGTCACTGTTGTATAAGGTGTTGAACCTGGACTGGTAGATAAAAATGGAGAAAATCCTTTCAGTGTAAAGGAGTTGGTTTTTTTCAGTATAGATTTTTTGGGTTGGCTCCCAAAGACTGGGTTATAACACGGCTAGAAATAATGATACTAAAACAATGATCCAACAAGGGTATAACTTACTTGATCCAGTTGGTTTTCAGATAACTGCTTCTGTAACATATCTGGTGCTGGTACCACTTGAAATCTAGAAGGACGTCTTTTTCGTTCTTCAGCCTTTCTTAGGGCTTCTTCTTTTGCCTTTTCTTCTGCTTCTCTGCGCCGTATCAGGGCAACTTCTAATCTTCGTTCTTTCCCTATCTGTTTCTCTATCTGCTGTATCAATTGCATTCTGGGTATGGAACCTAGAAGAACCATACTTTCGGGTTTATCAGTCAAAGGGAAACTTTGTAGTCGTCTATTTTCTCTCAACAATTGCTTCAGTTGTTCATGCGTCATTCCATAGAATATATACTTTATTTCCCTTATCATAAAGTCTTCAACGTAAACATCGTACATTCCGCTGCTACTAGGCAACAAATCGGGCAAGTATGGTAACTTCTTTATCAAAATAATACTATCGTAGATGCTGGGCGCCAATAGGCTTGCTATAGCGTTACTAATCAGAACTGATATCATTATAGGGATTATGTGAGTTATTTGGCCCGTCATTTCAAAAACGATAACGGAAACTGATATGGTGTGAGTAACGGAACCGGAAAACGCCGCTGCACCCACGGTTGCATACCCTCCAGGTATGATTTTGGCTATCTTACCTCCATATCTCATACCTAAAAACAACCCCGAAAATCGTTGATATATAACGGAGTTATAAGACCTGTTACCTGTGGGAAACCATAGATGCATCAATTCCCCAACAATTCTACCAATTCCAGCTCCAATTTTAAACACCGGTGTGAAGCTACCGCTTGGTACTGGAACGGTACTGCATATAATCGAAAATATAAACTGAAACCAATAAAACAATTATCAAACGAAATCAAAATTTGAAACTCACTCACCGTAAATACTACATAACAAACCAGATTAACGTACACCCCAGCGTATGGTGTTGTCCAATGGTTAATAATCTCTTGTTCCTCAACTGTTAAGTTTGAGTTGGTCCAAGTGAAGTTACTGAACAAGCTGACGACTTGTTCGTGTGTTGTCAAATCTCCAGCTATGAATTGACCAGTTCCCAGTGGGAACGATATGGTGGATACAATCAAAGCTACGATCCCAGGGTATAAAAACCGACTGAAATATTAGACTATTTTTTATTTATATACTTTTGTAGGCAATGTAAAATGATAACTTACTTCTTTTGCAGGAACGAGTTTATCATTTTACTACGTCTCATGAACATCACATATTGTCTGTGAGTCCAGACGTAGAAGGCTCCGCCAAGACCACAGATGGCTCTGAAACCAAAATAAATTGAACCACAGTCTTGTTGATACTTGAAATATTAGAAATATTCCCAACACTAGTGCAGGAAAAAGATTTACAGCTACCAATTTTAGATATCCTAGCAATTAGATACTGATACAAATGAAAGCTAGCTTATATAGTTGGATAGTTAGGTAGAATAAATAATATTCATCAGCACGAGATTTCAACACTTGACTCAGGTATAGAAATCAGAACATACATCAACTGACTGTGAATACTTCAGAGAGGTATTGAGAAAGTCAATCAATTGAGAAGTATTCAGCACCTTGAATGACCTATTCATCACAAAATATTCAATGAACTTACCCCATAAGAGCAAACACAAACAACTCCTGTGGATCAAACGGGAAGTCCATGTAAAAGTTGGTTCTAAAAACTGCCGTTACAGTGTCCGCTTTTTCGAACCAAACTGCCAGTAGTCTGAAAGTTGTTGCCCCGCAAACTGCAGCAAAAAATCCTCTCCAGTAGTTTCTGACAGCAAAGTACACTGTCGTTACTTCAATACTGAACAATACACCTAAAATTCTTTTTTGAAATATTAGTTATCAGTGGACTAATAATTACCTCCGACTGGAGCAGCAAAACAACTTGCTACACCCACTGCGCATGCTGCTGCTAACATCTCGGTGGTACGGCTTTCGTTTTCGTAAATTCCTTGGAATCCCGTCACTAACTTACTTAGTAAGGTGGCCGATATACTTGCAATATGGACAAAAGGACCTGAAATTATAATAAAAAAAGTTATATACAAAGGACAAAGGAACCAAAGAAAGGAACTGTTTTCAACAAAATCATATGCAGAAATGAGAATATTCAAAAAACTACATCAAAAGATCAAAACTTCTTGCAATATGGAATTAAAAAAAAAAAAAAAAAAATGACTGCACCATTTGACAGGATTAAGTTGAATATGTTTGCTGTGTTTGTAGAATAACAAAAAATATTAAAAGTATGTACCTTCTTTTCCCAATGGCATGCCACTTCCCAAAGTGGCAGTAAGACCTATAACTTTGGCTAATAAAGTCTTAAAAGTGAGGTATTCTTTTAGAGCTACCCCACGCAGTATGGTCTTCATTTCGGGTATACCAGACCCTAAAATAAAAATTAAATACAAAAATATTACACCCGAAATGTTTACCTATAGACTGAGGCGCCACCAAGTGAACAAACCCAGCACTAAACAGTATAAGACAAACTGGTAAGGAAACCCAAGCTGAGTATTGAGCAGCAGGATGATTTGTAAGATCTCTGAACAGCCATATTCGCGCTAAAAAGGTAATAGTAATCAACAACGTAAAGTGTATAAATTTGTATACCTTTGTTGCATATAGATATTCCCCTGTCCATTATAAAACTCAGTATTGCCATAATCAAACCCAGTAAGGCCAAGAACACCCAATCTTCCCCTAACCTAGCAAACGTATGTCTCCACAGAAACGCTATACCCTTTGCTACTTTACCTAAGATAAAAAAATTATTAAATATTTTTTTAATGGTGAAAAAAAAAATAAACCTTGATATCCTCTAAGTTCTTTTTTTCTAGCTTTTTCTTCTTTTATTCGCCTTTTTTCAGCTGACTTTAAACCTTCTAATTTTGCGAATTCTCCCAATTGTCTGGAGTATCTACCATACATCTAAGAAAATTGTAATATGATTTATAATGTTTTTTTTTTTTAACAGTATATTGGTTTGTTTCATATTTTGTTTCTTGATCAACAATTTTCCCTATATCTCTGTAACGATCAGTTTTAGGTAGAATAAGTATAAAACCTTTTTTGTACAAAATTAAAAAAACTACATACATACCAAGGTATTAACATACTCATCTTCTTCTTGAGGGGGGGGACAAGGATAGAACGATTGCTCCTGTCTCTTCCTTTTTTTACTCAACAAATATTCAAACTCTTCCCACTCCTTATCAGTGGCGTCCGGATCATCCTCCCCAAATTGTGCAGATTCAAATTCTTTATCCATTTTTCAATATGTATGTACCCTGGTTTCAAAAATCCTTGGTAGTGCAATAATAATGTCATTATCATCAAATGATGATAATATTTACTTTAACATTGTTTGCATAAATTATTATCATAATTATCATGAAATGAATTATCATATTTTATATAATGTATATGACATTTCTATGTTCTTGATATTTTAATTAAAAAAAACCGGATTGAATAATAAAATTATATACGTATACACCAAAATCAAGGTTTTAAAAATACAAAATTTCAACCTTACCAATTGTAATATGTAGGTATTTAAACTTGTCTCAAAGACTTTACGGCACTAACTAAATAAAATTCGTTCCGTAATTTTCAAAGAAACTGTATGTTATAATCTAAGACGTACTATTTTAATGCAAAACCCTTTACCAACTTAAAAATCGCAAAACAAAATGCACATAGGATGTCCAAAATAAAACAATTTATTCATTTAAGTGATATTATTCTATTAAGATACTTACGAGTACTTTAAATTGAATATATAGATATATGAGGCATACTTATTAATATAGGGTGTCCAAAATATTAAATGATTCTATTACATAAAAATTACCCTATATATCAATTAACGTGTATATTTATTGCAAAATAAATTGGTGAGTCATTATTTTATGAATAAATTTTCTTAATTTCAAATTAAGAGTAAAAATATTGGTTTTGGACTTCACCCAAACTGTTTGAGTATATCAAAAACAAAACAATATTATTGTAGTACTGTGTTATGTTGACCCATATTAGGTTTTTTCGAATTTTTTTTTGAAAAAAGCATTTTTAGTTTTATTTAGTTTTAGAAGGTCAACATTTAAAAAAACTAATTTTGAAAAAAGTACTTGGATAAAGATAACCGCTGTAACTCGGAAAGGGTTCACCAAATGTCAAAAAACTTGTTATATTTTTTATAGATAATTTTATTTTCTACAACTTTTTTATTTAGCATTTTTTGTTTTAATTAGTGTTAAATGGTCAAAATTTAAAAAACTAATCTGTCACCCTTTTTGAAAAAATCTACTTGGAAAACGATAACTTTAAGCCTCTGTAACTCAAAAACGGTTCACCTAATGACAAAAAACTTTTTTATTTGACATTTTTAGTTTTAATCAGTTTTAGAGGGTCAAAATTAAAAAAAACTAATAGGAAAAGGATAAAAAACTATTGTATTAAAAGTTGGTACAAATTTCGTTAAAACAGCCATAAATTTCCATTGCTTTATTATTTAATGATATCCTCACTTTAATGCTACTGATAAATTTGATATACTGTTGTAAAGTAATAAACAGATTTATTCGTTTAAGATAATAAAATCTTTCCAATTTCTACTAGATTTTTAAATTACATACATGTTTTTTAATCTTTATTCAAGGTCAAAACACAATAATTATTACGAAAAATATTTATACATCACAATGTTTTATAGTTTATTTTTCCAATTAATACAAAATCAATTGTTATGTTACTGGATTTACCCTGTATAATCATAACCACTACCGTCTTTGTAAACAGATATGTTTGTTATTGATGAATAATAATTTATGTTATTAGAATTGAGATAAGCGTAATATAGGTCATTCCTTCATAAAATAGTTTTTTTTAATAATAAATAAAATATATACATAATTTTTAATTAAATGTTTTTTAAAACAAAATAATAATACGAAACGTAAAAACCTTGACAATGACTTTAAAAAATTAATATTACAATACCATAGATAATCAGTAATCAACTCCTGTTTTAGTAAAGAAAACCTTCAAATTCGCTAAATTCTTGCTTTTCTTTTAAACTATTTTAAAATTATTTATGTCAAGTACCTACCAATTATAATTATTTGCTAATAGCCACACATATATGAGTAATTCTTTTATAAACCGAACACCTTTTGACCGACACATCTCAGATTTGCTTGAAACTTTTTTTACGGATTCTATGTCGAAAAATAAGAGATACGTATCCGAGGAATTTTTTTTCTCTCGCATATTTTCGATAATACAAGCTATCGGAAATTTGAGAATAACGAGTTTTTTGGCTTGGAGACTCATTTTCAAAAATTTATAACTCTGGTTCTATTTGAGCTACTAACTTCTTTTTTTTTTCATTTTAAAGCTAAATGGACTGAATTTTCATAAAAAAATACTTTTAATAAATATTAATAACAAATTCATATTGTTATTAACAATTTCATTGTTTAAATCAATTTTTAACAATGGCCCCCACCTCGTATTAAGTTTTTAGTATTTTTATCGTATTCTCCGTCAAATTTTACATAAAAAACATGTTTTCAAAATATGGTACCTTTATTATTACTATTGTTAAAACATTAATTTGTATTGCGCGACACATAAAAAAACGGTTTTTTGTTAATAAAAAGAAAACTATAGCTCGGATCAAAAAAAGTCAAATATAAAAGTTGTAGATAATAAAAAGATATACAATTTTTATTTTAACTATTTTTTGACATAACCTCACTTTTCAAATAAATTGAAAAATTTCATTTTATTTGAAAAGTGAGGTTATGTCAAAAAATAGTTAAAATAAAAATTGTATATCTTTTTATTATCTACAACTTTTATATTTGACTTTTTTTGATCCGAGCTATAGTTTTCTTTTTATTAACAAAAAACCGTTTTTTTATGTGTCGCGCAATACAAATTAATGTTTTAACAATAGTAATAATAAAGGTACCATATTTTAAAAACATGTTTTTTATGTAAAATTTAACGGAGAATACGATAAAAATACTAAAAACTTAATACGAGGTGGGGGCCATTGTTAAAAATTGATTTAAACAATGAAATTGTTAATAACAATATGAATTTGTTGTTAATATTTATTAAAAATATTTTTTTATGAAAATTCAGTCCTTTAGCTTTAAAATTAAAAAAAAAAGAAGTTTGTAGCTCAAATAGAACCAGAGTTATAAATTTTTGAAAATGAGTCTATAAGCCAAATAACTCGTTATTCTCAAATTTTCGATAGCTTGTATTATCGAAAATATGCGAGAGAAAAAAAATTCCTCGGACACGTATCTCTTATTTTTCGACATAGAATCCGTAAAAAAAGTTTCAGCCAAATCTGAGATGTGTCGGTCAAAAGGTGTTCGGTTTATAAAAGAATTACTCATATAGATATACATAGTAGATAGTTATTTACTTTTAGTTTATCGCCAAAAATACATTTTGCTTTTGTTTTTATTTTATTTTTAAAATAAGAACAACATTTCCAAAGATGTGGAATATTTTTATACCTACAAAAAATATTCCACATCAAAGTGTAATTATTTATCAGGATTAAATATGTATGTGTAAAATAATTTATTAAGATTTATATCAAATTATATATTACATTAAAAAAATATGTAAACAAACCAATGTACCTACATGTAACAATAAATCACAATAATGTTTAACTACTTACCAAGGTATTTTGGTACCCCAGTCCATATTTTTCATTGGGTCTTTCATCTAGTTCGTCAATTTTTTCCATTATAAAACTGTTTTTAAAATTAATTTAATACACTGTTTTGTCACTTTTTGATTACTTTTCTTGTGAATTAAACATTTTTATCTAAAATAGAAAATACATAATTTTAATATTATTATTAAACACTTAATATGACTAGTGGATAGGTACTTATAAAAGTTTATAAAATTATATCAAAAGTTAAGTCTGTCAAATATTTTGGCATAAAATCAAGACACAACAATACGGTCTATTTTTGTTTTTTGTTTTGCTGGCTAACTAAAACAGTTTGTATAAAGGAAATCCACATAAAAATATTGCTAGACGTTGTGTAAAATTAGATTTTTACTAGGAAGAATAATTAATAATAGAATATAGAATATTTTCTATAATAGGTAAGGAAATAAATTGTGTAGATAAAATTTAGACACGTGGTTTCCACTTTTATAACCTTGACAAAAATTTTAAATTTCATGCATATAAAATTTCTCGTTAAAATATTAAATGGCAAAAACAAAGTATCTCTCAATTTGGCTTTATATAGGGTGATTAAAACGCCATTAGAGACCAAATTAAAAATAATTTGTATTATTATTAATATTGTCAATAAATTTTGTAGACATGATATTTTCAAATTAATTATGTTTTTCTCAGAAGTGAACAGAATTTAATTGTTTAAAAAACAAGGTTTTAATATTTTTCAGCATTTGTGTAAAACAATATGTTAAAAATTAAATCCTCTATATTTTTTATTTAGACCAATAGATAACGAGATAAAAAATTTAAAACTAAAAAAAATATAATTTAATTATATTTATTTAAACATTTTATTTTGTTTCACCAAAGTTGACTGACCTCACTACTAACTATACATATATGGTCAAATAATTAATAATAATTGATGAATATTTTAAATATTTTCAATGAAAAAATTTGATAAATAAACACGAAGATAACAAAAAATTAAAATAATATTGCAGTGCTACTTATTTTAATGATAAATTTTAAAGATTGTTATCATAAAATAAATAGAACTATGCTATAAGGTTATAAAAATCAGAACATATACATACCTATATGATTTATAGGTATTTTTTGTAATAGTTGTTGAATATATAAGTAAATAACTATAAAATATAACAAAACCTTTTCAACATTTTAACAATTATTAAAAAAAATTGATAAAACAACTATTTACTTACCTAATAAAAGTTAAAAAAAATTACAAATCTATTACATAAACTATAAAAAACCACTAACTCGTCACAAATATTTTTTATTTATACAGGTACTCAAACATGTTTACAAAACCGCAAAATAATCGCGGATATCGTCTCCGTTCTTTCCAAAGATATATCACTACTACCGATATATGATTTCAAAACTGATTTTAAATACTTTAACGTAAAAATAGTAAGGAATATTTAAATATAAATATAAACTTTTACAGCGCCACCTATCAGACAGTGTACCAAGTTCAATTGTATAACTTAAACAATCGCTAAAGAAATCTGTTTTAAGTCTTTTTTCGTTAAAAATATTTATAAATTCAATTATAATGTCTGATTGAATGTTTATTTTCCAAATTAATTATTGTTTAACTAAAAATTCTCACTATAGTTTTACGGTTAATTTTAGAATTAAAAACAATAGAAAAAGAGTTCAAGGGTTTTTTTATTTAACTTAATAATTTTCAGACAAATACCAAAACACATATGTGAATATATGGGTCATTTTCAAGAAACACCCGCTTTCAGGAAAATGAAGGTCAAAATATTTTTTTTGCTTAAATTGACTTTTGGTTGGATTTTTATAAAGGTTTAGAGTTTTGTTTACTTACATTTAAGACAGGCAGTGTACTTTTTAATTTTTTTACGTTTTTTTTCAGAAAAATGTGTTTAGCTAGCTATATCTCCACTGTGTTACCAATTTGAAATCCAAAATTTAATTCAATAAAAAAGTTGTTATAAAAATAATTTGAAATAAAATGTACTTAGTTCACAAACTTTTGACTCCAATTTTTTATTTTATTTTTTATTAAAAATTGTATCCTTTTTTTTAAATATGTATGTTCGTTAAGTTACTTTTTAAAAGAAACCATTTCGATTCTTTGTTAAAAAACAATACCATTAATATTTTCTTTTAGTCACTGTATTAATGAATTAAACTCTAATTTATAAACACGTATTACCAAGTGATAGTGTATAGTATACACTGTATACAAATCATTTTAAGTATTTTTTTTAACAAAAACTAAAAAAAGTAACGAAATAGACATTGGTATCACAACGGACACAAAGGACTTAATCAGATAACGTAAAAAAGAAACTATATAGGGTGGTACGATTTTAGAGTAATGCATAAACAAAATCCCTTGTAGTGGTGCTCACTTGCAGAATAACAACTTAGATTTCTAAATTGTAGACACCCTTTTCTTTGACTATAAGCTGGTGAAGGTCCCTTTTAGTACTTTTATATTGCGTGGAATTTTTCCTTGTATGTAATCTATATCATGAGTTGTAATTACAAATAATTTTAAATTGGTTAATCATAAACTACTTTTAATAAAAGCGACGGTAAATATCCACTTTGTTGTCGAAAAATTCTATTGCGTTACCCTAAATTCCATTGCGTTACCATAAGGTAACATAGTGGACTCGGTAACGCAGTGTATACAAAGTTTTCTAAAACCATATTTAAAAAATAATAATAAGACATTATAGTCATTAATTACTCTCAATGAGCTTTAGTGCCCTAAAATAAACATAAACATGAAAAATAGTATTTTTTCTTACCTTATTTTTATTATTTTTTTGAGTAACTTAGCGGACAAACAATTATTACATTCGCGTTACCCGCACCTGTTTCAACCGATATCTTCTTCCTGATTGAATAAATAAATTCAGCTGGGTAACGTCCGAACATCATTTGTTGATCACGTGAGTGCCAAAAAAGTTGCCATATATATGTTTTTTTTAATATTCTATCGGTAACGCGACGGACGTAACGCAATGGAAAAAATGTCTGGGACATGATTCAAATTTAAAAAAAGTAGATTAAAATTAATTATTTTATATATAAATTGTTTACTGTATTAACTAAGGATGTTATGGATTGTTATAAAGTTCTGGTTATTCAATATTAAAAAAACATGTATGTAAGTTTTTTAAAACGCTAATGGGACATGCGAAAATGTGTGTTTCACAAGTTTCAAAATTAAAAAAAAACTATTCTGAAATAGCTAAACAAAAATTTTCTGAAAGAGTTTACTAAGGGCTTGTTAGGCTTTCACTTGGTTTTTAAATCAATAAGATCCGATAATTTTTATATATTCAAAAATATTAATGTTTATAGATACAACAATTATTAATTAGCAGAGTATACAGTATACTATCTTTTATATAGGTTAATTAGTTGGTACCTATAAAGTTGGCTAATATTTGCTATTTACAATGAATTTTCACAAATTTAGTTCACCATTGAAATTTGTAATGTTAAAATATGCCTCAAAGAAAAAGCTTACCGACCAGTCAATTGTACGATTCAAGATTTAAAACAGTACATGTATGATTAAAAAAAAAGTATTATATTTTTTATTTTTACTGCAAATATTACTTTAAGGTAAACTATAACGTCTCTCTGGATGAGTTGTATAATACCGTAAAAGAGGTTAGAAAAGAAGAAAAAAAACGTCGAAAAAACGATGAAACACAAAAAAGAAAAAAATCGAAAAATTGCGACAGATTCTGTGGACAAATTTGGTCCAAAACTTTTGGACTTTTCAATGAAGACTGGGTATTTTTAGCTTTATTAGGAATACTAATAGCCATAGTCAGCTATATACTGGATAAAGGTGTGGCGACTGGGTTAGCGGGTAAGAATTTATTCTGAAAATGGTTCCAATAGATATTTGTCGTGTTTTAGCTAGAAATTGGTTGTATTTAGAGTTAGCAACCAATGGTTTCAGTAAATGGGTTGCTTTCATATGTTTACCAGTTTGTTTTATATTGTTTGACGTTGGGTTTGTTCATTTGGTGTGTCCTCAATCTATTGGTATGTCGATTTATAAGTAAACCTCAGATATGCATCACTGTATTATTTAAGGCTCTGGGATTCCCCAAATAAAAACTATGTTGAGAGGAGTATGCTTAAAGGAATTCTTGACATTTAGATGTTTTATTGCCAAATGGGTTGGTATTACTTCAACACTGGCCAGTGGTATGCCTTTAGGTAAAGAGGGACCCCTAATCCACATGTCATCTATACTTGTAACAAAAATGGGTAACTTCATAAGAAGTCTTAACAAATCAGAAGAAAACATTAACAAAACCATTGAGTTGCTTGGTGCAGCATGGGCTGTAGGAGTCGCCTGTACATTTAACTCCCCCATAGGAGGAGTTTTGTTTAGTATAGAGATATCAACGTCATACTACGCTGTCAGAAACTATTGGAGAGGTTTCTTTGCAGCTGTATGGGCTGCCACCACATACAGGTATATAAAATGGGTTTACAGCCCTGCTGAAAAAAACTGATCGAAACTCGATCTTTTTTTATCATATATGATCATGGTCCAGAAAATTCTCGATCCTTTTTTATCATATTTAATGAGGTTCTAGAAATTCTCGATCCTTTTTTATCATTTTCGATCAGATTTCGCAGTCGATCCTATTTGATCATAAAAACACGATCGAGTTTCGATCCTTTTTTATCATATTTGATCAGATTTCGAAGTCGATCCTATTTGATCATGAAAACACGATTGAGTTTTGATAACATATTATCGAAACTCGATCGTGTTTTCATGATCAAATATGATCGACTACTAGGTTCTTGAAATTCTCGATCCTTTTTTATCATTCTCGATCAGATTTCGAAGTCGATCCTATTTGATCATAAAAACACGATCGAGTTTCGATCCTTTTTCGAACATTTTTGATAAGGTTTTCGTGGTCAAAAAGGATCGTTTCGATCCTGTTTTCATGATCAAATAGGATCGAGTTTCGATCATTTTTGATAACGAAAACAGGATCGAAACTCGATCCTTTTTCGATCATTTTCCATAATGTTTCCATAATTAATTCTAAAATAAAAGATACAATTTTCAAAACATGAAAACTTTATTGGGCACTTTCAAAAAGATCGGATGACAACGATGATGATGATGAAATTCGTAATTATAATTACATTTCCTTATTATAATTAATTATGCGCTACCTTATGATGATTAATTAATGATACGAGGTATTGCGCCTAGGCCATCGATATATTTAAATTAAAAAAAGTTCCAATAAAATAAATTCTTGACATACTTGTCTAGGGAAATCTAGGGATTTTTTTGTAAAAAATCTGGGGAAATAAAAAAATATCATCTGGCAACCCTGTCTGTAATGTGTCTATAATCTGTGCACGTGCTTGTCATGTTGGTTAGTGTTTTTTGTTATCGATTTTACGGTTTTACTGTGGGTTTTTCTTTACTATAATAATTAAAAATTCGATGAAAAGTACTGATTGCCATCAAACAAAAAAAACTTATGATTCCCGAGTTGCGGCAATTTTTTATGAATTTTGTTTTTTCGGCCCCTGAAAAGTAAGGTTATGTATACAAATTTTACTATGAATTTATTTGTTATAGGTAAATTTAAAGACAGCAAGATAGCAAGATGTCAATTAATTTAACCGCTGATGGACCATGTGCTTTTGTTAAATTTTGCGACACGGGGCACAAAAAAAGGGTGTTGCTGTCGGAAATTTCAAATTTCGATGCAAAAACTTTCTCTCGAAACAAGAAATACTTTATTGAAAGTGAGGGAGCAACTGCGCAATGCGTTGTTTCTTTTTTTGCAAGGAAATAATTAATTTTTAGTCTTGATTATTGCAAATTGTATATAGTTATACAGGGTGATTCAGTTTTAACCTACCAGGGGAAAATGTTCCTCCCATTATCCTGATTCAGAAAAATATCACACATAAGTTGACAAAGAAAAAACGTTTTTTCGTCATATCTTCTATGAAAATGATAAAAATTAATCATAATTTTGTATACATACCTTTCATATGAAAGCCCTATTTTTGAAAAATAAAATTGTTAAAATTTGATACAACATGGGCGTGCAATGGGGCCACATCAAAATATAAAGAAAAAGAAAAAAGGTATGAATGAAAATTTGCAAGATTATTTTGCGAAAGTTAAAAAGACAATATTAAAATAGTAATATAAATATATTCCCTAAAGGGACACTTTTTTTTGTTTTAAAAAAAGGATAAAAATTTCATCACCATCGTCATCCGATATTTTTGAAAACGAAAATGTCCAATAAATTTTTCATGTTTTGTAAATTGTATCTTTTATTTTAGAATTAATAATGGAAACCTTATGAAAAATGATCGAAAAAGGATCGAGTTTCAATCCTGTTTTCGTGATCAAAAACGATATCGAACCTCGATCCTATTTAATCATAAAAACAGGATCGAAACTCGATCCTTTTTGATCACGAAAACAGGATCGAAACTCGATCCTTTTTCGATCATTTTTCATAAGGTTTCCATAATAAGTAAAAGTAGTACTATATACAACTTTTCATAGTCTTACCTTATGACAGTAGTCTGAAAAGAGAGACCCAAAAATGACTTATCCCCTTATTCCCCGAAACCACGGAATTATTGTTGTGAATATTATTTTATAAAATATATGACTGTTATTATTATAATTACGAATTTCATCATCATCGTCGTCGTCATCCGATTTTTTTGAAATACAAAGTGCCTAATAAAGTTTTCAAGTTTTGTAAATTGTATCTTTTATTTTAGAATTAATTATGGAAACCTTATGAAAAATGATCGAAAAAGGATCGAAACTCGATCCTATTTGATCCAGAAAACAGGATCGAAACTCGATCCTTTTTGATCACGAAAACAGGAGACAAAATCCTTATCAAAAATGATCGAAAAAGGATCGAGTTTCGATCCTGTTTTCGTGATCAAAAAGGATCGAGTTTCGATCCTGTTTTGCTGATCAAAAAGGATCGAAACTCGATCCTATTTGATCCAGAAAACAGGATCGAAACTCGATCCTTTTTGATCACGAAAACAGGAGACAAAATCCTTATCAAAAATGATCAAAAAGGATCGAGATTTAAACTCGATCCATTTTCGATCAGTTTTTTTCAGCAGGGAGCAACGTAAAATATTTACGAAGTTTCTAGGTTACTTTCAGTATGGGTTGACGGCGCTGGTACTATAACACCAGTATTTAAAACCAGTTTATATGTAGACTTCCCATATGATCCTCAGGAGTTATTCGCGTTTGCAATCTTAGGGGTTATATGTGGAATTTTGGGGTCTTTATACGTTTGGTTTAGGCAAAAATATGGGGCTTGGTTGAAAACAAACAAATTCATCAAAAAGTTGAAAGGTTTCAGCATTTTCGCTTATCCTTTTATCGTTGTTATAGTTATTTCAACAATACAGTTTCCCTGGGGTGTGGGCCAGTTTTTGGCTGGACCTTTACCACCTAGGACGCAAGTTGTGGATTTGTTTAGCAATTTTACGTGGACCAAACATAACCTAAACGTTTTGGAACAGGATGTTGTTACTCGTTGGTCTACCAAATGGACTGGGATATACGCTAATTTAATTATATACTATGCCTTCCAGGTGTGTTCATTAGATATATAACTCTACTTAAGTCTCCTAAAGTTCTCTGGGTAATTTCAAGATATGTTTTAGTTTATTGCAAGCATAGTAGCATCAAGCATGGCCATACCAAATGGGGCTTTTATCCCGAATTTTCGTTCAGGAGCTGCTATCGGTAGAATAGCTGGAGAACTAATGCACACTTGGTTCCCATTTGGGGTGAACTATAAAGGCAAGCAATCCCAAATAATGCCCGGGGCTTACGCAATGGTAGGGGCTGCTGCTTTGAGTGGGGCTGTAACTCACACGTTATCCACTAGTGTTATATTGTTTGAAATGACGTCTCAAATAACTCATGTAATACCAGTTTTAATATCAGTTCTTATATCAAATGGTATAGCTAGGTTACTCACACCAAGTGTGTATGATATAGTCATCATAAGTAACAACCTACCATATCTACCAGACCTGTTACCATCTAAGAGTGGTGAGTGTACCTAAACATTGCTTCACATGGGATAAAACTTTTTTTAGCAATTTATAAAACTTACGTGGAGGACTTTATGATATCAGATACAAAATATCTATACCTTGGGATGTCTTATAGAGAGTTGAAGCATTTGTTGAAAGACTGCCGAAAAATAAAACATTTCCCCATAGTTGATAACTCACACAACATGATTCTGTTGGGGTCCATATCAAGAAATCAACTGATAGCTCTTTTGGAAAACCAAATAGGTCGTAAAAGGAGAATGGAGATTCTACCATATGGTCTTGATGAAGATGGCGGAGTTATAGATAATCCCAATGAATATGAAAAGGAGATACAACTTCGCAAAAAGGTTGGTAAATTAAAACTTCCCACCATCAAACACAAAGTTTCACATTGTTTTAGAAACTTGAGAGGGAAAGAATTTTTGAAAAATACATCGTAGATATCAAAAAGGAAGATATTGTGGAAGAAAAACCCAAAAAAGTAATCATGGTCAGTACCTATATAGTATATACACATAGGTATTAAAGAATTACTTGTGAACATTTTAGCCCATACGACGTGTGGTGGATATGTCTAAACAACAACAACTAGAATGGGAAACAAACCAGTTAAATGAAACAGTGGATTTTTCCAGGTCTATTGTGGATCCAGCTCCTTTCCAGTTGGTTGAAAGAACATCTTTGCTAAAAGTTCACACACTTTTTTCCATGTTAGCTATAAATGTAGCATACGTTACATCTATAGGTAAATTGGTAGGAGTGGTTGGGTTAAAAGAACTTAGGCAAGCCATAGAAAATGCAAATAATAATAAGTTACCTTCAAGAGATTTTGTTTTGAAACCTTTGTTACCAAAGTAATTTACTATTATACGCTATACATTAGTTGATAGGTATACCTAATTAAAATATAATACCTATAGGTATTATATTTTAATTATTAATAAAAAAAATGTACTTGTCATGAAAGATTTTTTGAAATGTCATTTTATGAAAAACATGGTTGGAACATTTTTTGTAGAGAATTCAATTTTCTACAAAACCATTTTTTTTGATTTTTTTTAATAGAGATATTTAAAAAATGTGCAAAGAAAGATAATATAATAATGATATAATAATGATATCTATAATAATGAAAGATAATATAATAAATGCAATTTTTAATGATTCGACTAAAACTTTTGGAAAATTTGGAAAATTTTAGAAATTTTTGAATTTTTTTACCATTTTTGAATTAATGTCACTTTTGGAAATTTAAAAAATTTTCAAAATTTAATTTTTTTTTAAATTATGGAAAATGTAAAAATTTAAGGATTTTTTAAATTTTTTATTTTTTCTTAGCATTTTTTTTAAATCCATTCCATTGTGCGAATTTAGAAAATTTTAGAAATTGAAAATGTTAGAATATTCAAATACATAAGAAAATCTAAAAATTTAAGGAATTTTTATTTCATATACATTGGAAAATCTGGAAAATCTAAAAATTTAAGGAATTTTATATTTTTGTATCATTTTTTTTTAAATTCATTCCACTAAAAATTTGCACTGGCATTTTTTAAATTTTTGTAAAATTTGGAATTTTTGTAAAATTTGGAATTTTTTTAAAATTTTGAAAACTTTACAATGGTAGGTATTCGAATACCTAATCTAAAAACTTTTGAAATTTCAATTTATTTTCACCAATATCACTGCAAATTTGTGCTTTCATTCATTTAAATTTCGAAAATTTCAATTTATTTAAATTTTTAGAAAATTACGGAAAATGTAAAAATTTAAGGATTTTTTTATTTTTTCTTAGCATTTTTTTAAATGCATTCCACTAAAAGTTGTACTGGCATTTGTTAAATTTTTGTAAAATTTGGAAAATTTTTGAAATTTTGAAAACTTTAGAATGGTATTTGAAAAATCTGAAAACTTTTGAAATATCATTATTTTTTTCACCAATATCACTGCAAATTTGTCCTTTCATTCATTTAAATTTCGAAATTTTAAATTTTTAAAAATTTCGGAAATTTATGGAAAATGTAAAAATTAAACGAATATTTTACTTTTTTAACGCTTGCCACCGTGCATAATTGTCCAGGCATTCTTTAAATTTTTCCCACTGTGCAAATATTTTCCTCCAATTTTTTATATTCACTGCATTGTGCAATTTTCCCCACCATTCTTTGAATTTGTGCTACTGTGTAATTTTTTTAACTTTGCGGATGTTTCGTACCTATTTTTTATAAAAGCGCAAATAAAACCAGAAAACTCTAATAATCATATAATTTATAACATTTTTACAGTAAAAATAATAATGAACATTTATAATATTTATATTAACATATTTAAAAATTAAGCATATTTTAGTCTATCTAACATTTAAAATTTAAATAAGGTAGACACACAACATTTTTATTTATTTAGGTAAAGCTTTTTTTATCATAATGATGATATATCTACATTTTGTGGTTTTGAGTATTAGCAAAACATTTAATTTAATACAGGATGTTTCAGAAAAAACAAACCCTAAAAATTCGATGTTATAGCATGTATCAAATAATAAACAAATTATGTGTTTTTTTGGATTTTTTTTGACATAACCTATAATTTTAAACTATTTTCTAATAATTGTTATTGTTTTTTTTTCATATAGAAAATTTGTTTACATGTACACACATTTCACATAATTATTGTTTATATAGTTTATTATGGTGTTTTTAATGAAATGTTTTTTTGAGAAAATGGCAGCCCTATAGTATACTAATAACAAAAGAAACAAAAATCTGCCACAACAAAAATGTTCTTTTAATTCCAAATTTTTTTAACCCCCAACTTGGGCAGCTGGAGCTGGAGCCGCCCCTGCGGCAGGGGCAGGGGCGGGTGGCGGCAACATTTGGGGTGGCATTGGGGCATACTGCATGGGAGGCTTCTCATCCGGCATGAATTTCACTATAAAATACACATTCTAAAATTCTGCATTTATTTTACCCTGTATATATTGTATAATAATAAATTTGTTTTGAGTAAAGATGTTATCATTATTTAAATTCGGTGTATTTTGTCCGTCTATAAGTATAACTTCGTAAGTTAAACCAGGGATGAGTTATTGCGGAACTTCCGCATTAATTCAAGCATCTGAATTACAACTGCTTATATTTGAGGATGTGGTGGATGCCTTAAATGTTTTCACCCACTTTCGCATCAACTTCCGCATCAATGTCAAAAATTCCGCAACCACATCTCTGGTTTAACCTTGTGAAATGACAGTTTTTGATGTTATGAATGAAGCAAGCATAACTGTAAATGTAGAATGTATAAAAAGTGTAAAAAAGTACAATAAAATTACTATAAAATGTCATTATTTGGTGAATATTGTAAAAATTGTAAAAAACATGCAAAACTTAATATATTACCTTAAAATCCATTGCTAACCTAAAATTATTATTAATAAAAAATAAAAGTTACAGAAGTAAGTACCACATTTTATTTATTGATCTTAATAATTATTTGTCAAATTAATAATCTACCAAAAAAATTGCATTTTTATATTAGTATATAGATAAAGCAAAATTATTTCTTCTATATACATTTAACAAGTTTTCAATACTAAGTAATTCTGTTTTATGTGCTTATAAAAGCAAAATTACAAAGTTATAAAGCAATTTTTTAACAACCAAAACTTAAATTATTAACATACAATGATATATTCACTATACAATTCGTTATATTTTATTTTAATATGATATTAATAAAAGAAGGTATTTATTTTATGTACATTTGCGCTGATGAATATTGGAAGATTATGAAACCCTGAATAACACAAAATAAAATTCCAAAAATCGGTTTAAAAACAATTTTTTTTCAAACAATACACCACACACAATTTCATATACAGGGCGAACTAAAAACACCTTCTTTCAGAAATTATTTTTTACAATCTATGTCTATCCATTTCCTATTCCCATCGTGTGCAATTTTTTTTGTTTATATAATAATTTTAATGAATAAGTTTGCCAATCTTTTGAAACTGAAAAAAATGTTTTTATATGCATTAGTAGTTTTTGTATAACATTTAAAACATGCAGTATTATGTTTTTTCTGTTTGTATCAAAATCCGCCATATTGTGACGTCATTCACGATGCATTTTAAACGTCAAAATCGACTGATGACGTCACAATATGGCGGATTTTGACAGATACAGAAAAATAACAACTTGCTAGACATTCAACATGCTACGTGCATAACAAATGAAGATTTAAATGATTCTTTTATAGAGATACAATAGATATAGTATTGATAGAGGGGGGGTTGAAGATTTTTTATGTCAAAAGAATTTTAGAGGTATTTTTTCTTCTAAAAAATACAAACAGACAGACATAAGCTTTTTTACACCATTTATAACATCGATTACTTTTATAATATTTACCCATGTTTTATTGGCCATATTACATGAAATTCACTGGAGTTAAAAAACAAATTTATTATTATAATTTTGATTTTTTTTATATTTATTTTTTCTAAATTATTATATTAAAAAATCACTTACTGACTATGATGATAAGAATAACCAATCCAATGACACCCATGATTATCATCATCTAAAAATAAAAATTGCAATTTTTTTTTACAACGAAAAACGAAAAAATAACCTTCAAATTTTGCAGCCAAAATTTTCTTTTTAATTTTCCAGCCTGCTGCTCGAATTGTGAAGCCCCTTGCTGTAGAGCATCTAAAAATAACAACGTTACGTAAAAGTTACATCCATGTTACATCTATGTGACATCCATGTTACGTCAAAGTTACCTGCTCTATCGTCAAGTTCCGATAATTTTGTGTCTCTCTCCAAAACCTTTTCAACGTTTGTCTTCATGATATCAACAACTTCGTCAACCTGGGCCTGGGTTTGTTGCAATCTTTTCTGGGCGGCTATTTGCTGTGGGGTCCGGGGACCACCAACAATACCATCTTCCCCACCATTGGTTGCCCCTGCACCTGGTGCCAAGCTATCTCCTGCAGACCTTATTTAAAAAAAAATATTTTAAAATTAAACAAATCATTTATGAGATAAAATATAAACATTGTATGTATTTTTTTAAGCAAAAAATAATACATTAAATGGTCTTAACCGACATTTTTAACATATAGCGCATGCGCCTATAGAAAAATCAATTTTCTGAGGGAATGGTGTTAGTGTAACTTTATTTTTTAAGAAGAAATTAATTATTACTTTAAAACACCAATTTTACACATACAAAAAATGTTGTATTATGTTTTTGGAAATTATTCGGGAAATTTTGAGTTTTCTTCCGAAAATTTTAAATATTTTTTTCACTATTTAAACGTATTTTAAAGTTATTCAACATAACCCAAACGTTTTATACATACAATCAACATGAAAACGCCATTTTAAGTATTAAAACATTTCAACAAAAAAAATACACCCCAAAATTTCCATTCAACTTTCCCACCCCCACTAAAACCCCTACAAACTACCAAAAAACACCCCTTAACATTCCTAGACAACAATACTCACATTTTCTATTAATTTTTCGCAAGTTTTCCTTGATTTTTCACCCAAAGAAAATCGCCTTCAAAAATTATCACTGTATTGATATTTTGTGACGTTTCTCTGCAATAGGAAAGCGCGCGCACACAGGGAAAATCGGGTAGGTCGGGCTTTCCATTAATAAATGAACGTCGGCCTGAAAATTGGCGCCAAATTCAAACTTTAAATACCAGAGATCGCGAATCAAGTTAGCTATGACATTTTTACGTCACAATATGGAGGATTAAACATATTAGTAGTAAAATGCAATTTTCGATAAAAATAATAGTTTATTCACCAAAAAAACAAAAAATATACGTTGAATATGATACATTTTAACAATTTTACACCTAAAAATAATTATATGACTCAAAATTTAAACATAGGTAAGCCTTGACGTTTTAAATGTCAAAATCGACGTGTGACGTCACAAAATGGCGGATTTTGACAGATAAATGCACTTTTCAACGTAAATTTGACATATTTAACGCAAAAATGTTGATTATTTATTGAGTGGGAGAAAAATCAAGTTAGCTATGACATTTTTACGTCACAATATGGCGGATTAAACATATTAGTAGTAAAATGCAATTTTCGATAAAAATAATAATTTATTCACCAAAAAAACAAAAAATATACGTTTAATATGATACATTTTAACAATTTTACACCTAAACATGATTATATGACTCAAAAATTAAACATAGTAAGCTTTGACGTTTTAAATGTCAAAAACGACGTATGACGTCACAAAATGGCGGATTTTTGACAGATTAATGCACTTTTTAACGTAAATTTGACAAATTTAACGCAAAAATGTTGATTATTTATTGAGTGGGAGAAAAATCAAGTTAGCTATGACATTTTTACGTCACAATATGGCTGATTAAAACATATTAGTAGTAAAATGCAATTTTCGATAAAAATAATAGTTTATTCACCAAAAAAACAAAAAATATACGTTTAATATGATACATTTTAACAATTTTACACCTAAACATGATTATATGACTCAAAAATTAAACATAGTAAGCTTTGACGTTTTAAATGTCAAAATCGACGTATGACGTCACAAAATGGCGAATTTTGACAGATAAATGCACTTTTGACAAATTTAACGCAAAAAAGTCAATTATTTATTGAGTGGGGGAAAATTCGGTAGGGACCATTATCCTGCAATGCATCTCCCTAATCAGGGGCACCGTATAGGCAACACACTCGTCCCATCCGGGCGACCTCCAAGCACTCTCTCTTGTTTCTTTACGGCTGTTCAGATCTTCATAACCTAAAAAATACGTTTTGTTAATTAACTCGGTTATGAGCGGTTTTTGACAAAAAATGTTATGAAAGAATTTGTAGGGAATTAAATTCTCTTAATTTTTTGTCCTATGATTTTTTTTGTAGGGTTAATATTTTAGAAGATATGTAGTATGTAACATATAGGTAACATAAACGTAACATGTACAATATCTCGCTTACGGTTAGTTATACAACAAATTGTGTAGGAACATTTTTGTAGGTAATTAAATTCTCTTCATTTTTTGTTTTTAAGTTTTTTCTGTAGAATTAATATCTTGGGAGATATCAATACTTACACCAAATATGATGGACGTTGTAAAGTCTCCCTATTTGCGAGAAAAATCCAGCGAACGCTTCATCATTATTTTTTCTAAAGTTGATAGCCCTGGCCCAGTTATTCCCCCATTCAATCATTGTACCGGGTTTTAACGCGTAACTTCTTATTTCATATATGTTTTTAGGTTTCCTCAATAGAATTTGTGGCCAATATGAAAACGCCAGTAGATACTGCAAATGTCTGGATCTGACTATCTTCCCTTGCTCTTCGTTTAATCTGTTAAATTCATCACTCTTCGATAGAATTTCATTGTATGTATCGATAGTATCATAACCTCCTGTAAATTTCCATAAATGCAATGCCTGATCTTGATCTCCCACGTTTACAGTCCAAGACCCAACCAATTCGACAGATTTACCCAATTGAGACTGAGATTTTATGTAATCCACCTTGTTTTTGCTGAAAATAGTGAATGAGGTTATATTTTGACAGTTTTGACGTTTGTGACAGTTTAAACGTCAATAAAAGTAGAATGAGGTTATAAACTCTTAAACTGTCAATTTAAGACTTACACATTACTTAAATATAGGTTTTTGGAATCAGGCCTATAATTGTGTGTTTGCAAAGAGTAAATTACTTCTTTGTCTGAAAGCATACGACTGTGAGATTCCTTTGTAGGTTCAATTTTCCTGACGAATACTTTTGATAACCATGCATCATTTACACTTGAAGATGTAGATATGGACCTAAAACATAAGAAATTAATTATTATTATTTTATTTTTAGTATTTGTTGACCTACCTTAAATTTGAAGGTATTTTATTCAATAATTTTAACGAGTTGGCCATTTTTTACAGTCTTGTGACGTTAAGAGATCGTATTTTGTTTTATTTTTGTAATTTTCAAGTTTACAAAGGTTATCTGATTTATCAAAATAGTTTTTTAAGTGCAGCGATTACACTGCGTACTTTGAACGACTATTTTATAGCAGGGATGTATTAAATTTTAATTCTTAAAAAAAAAGTTTTATAAAAAAATGTTATAATAATTTTTAAATTAATTATTACAGTATATTTTTTATGGAAATCTCAAAAAACAGTAATTTTAGCACCTTTTAAAATTGTCGTTTTAAATTTCCTGCTGCCAACTTAAGAAATACAAAAATATAACAGTTTTAAACCTTAATTTTGACATTATAACAACCTTAGAACAAAGATAACAACGTATTAACTATTTAAATTGTCACTTATTTCCTTTTTATGTTGTAATAAAGTAGTAATTTGTTAATTAAAATTCAACGGTTTATATTTACTACATTGGCACTACTGTTATTTATTTATCACTCTTCAAATGGAAAACTACCTTAATACACCCCTGTAAATCATCGTTTCAAGTCGCTAGTGTAATCGCGGTAAACGTCAAACGATTGAGGTTATGTTGTCAAATAAAATAGGGCGGTTTTTCTGTAAAATACTTGAAAAAACGATAAAATAATATTGGATTTATGGTAGAAATAAAAAAAAAACCTTCTTAAAGATGTGTAAGTAATATAAATATTATTTGAAAGGTGTTTTTTTGGTTAAATAAAATGACATTTGCGAGTCAAATTAATTTGTTTATTTTTCTTGTACTTATTGAAAAATAATGTTTTTTAGCACAAACGGAAGTCAACAAACTTCAGCAGCATCTTTCCCTACTAAAAGAAGAATATTCGAAGTTGCAGTCAAAATATAAGGATATAGAGTTTAAATACAATGCGATAGCAGCTTCGAATGGGGAATTAAATGAAAACTCGTTCGCATCTCGGTTAATAAAAACTATAAATGAGTTGTACAACAATTCTTTATACAGCGATTTAAAAATTAAACTGAACGATGAAGTTTTATATGCCCATAAGTTAGTGTTAAGCGCTAGATCTGATAAGTGGGATAACAATACTATAGGTGACATTTCTACGTAATTTCGACGTAACATCTACGTAATTTTAACGTTTTTTTTGCAGGAAATGTAGAAGTTTTAAATTGGTCGGATTTAGACTCGAATGTAGCCAAAGCTATAATACAATGGGTCTACACCAGTAGTATAAAGTTAGTTAGTGATGATTTTACTATGAAGTTGATAAAAAAAGCCCATGAGTTTAATTTAAGGCCGCTTGTTGAAGATTGTGAACAATACTTAATAAGTATTGTTAGTATAAGGAAATGTGTTAAATTTTATTCAATAGCAGAAGAAATCAATGCTGTGAACCTTAGAGAATATTGTTCAGGTAGGTTTTTTAATTAAAAGTTTATAGACAAAACATTTTGAGAAAATTATTGTTGACAAAAATTGTATTGCAAATTTCACTTTTTGATGATTTTCTCAATTTCTAGTAACTTTTCAACAAAAACTGTTATAACATTTTTTGTAGATAATAAAATTCCCCACATTTTTTATTATATACATTTTTCTGTAAAATCAATATTTTTCAAGTTATAATCGATTGGAATGAATTTATATTTACAAAATACATTATATAGAAAAAATTTTTAGACAAAACATGTAGAGAAAATTATTCTCTACAAAAAATGTTATTACAAATTTTGTCGAAAAATTGACAGAACTTGAGATTTTCGACATTTTAAAGATGCCGCGGCACTTAACGCTTTTTGATGATTTTCCGAATTTCTAGTAATTTTTCGACAAAAACTCGTATAACATTTTTTGTAGGGAATAAAATTCCCCACATTTTTTATTATTAACATTTTTCTGTAAAATCAATATTTTTAAAGTTATAATCGATTTTAATAAATTTATATTTACAAAAGAAAGTATACAGAAAAAAGTTTCAGACAAAAAATGTAGAAAAAATTATTCTCTACAAAAAATGTTATTACAAATTTTTTCGAAAAATTGACAGAATGCGAGATTTTCGGCATTTTAAAGCTGCCGCGGCACTTAACGCTTTTTGATGATTTTCTGAATTTCTAGTAATTTTTCGGCAAAAACTGTTATAACCTTTTTTGTAGGGAATGAAATTCCCCACATTTTTTAATATAAACATTTTTCTGTAAAATCAATATTTTTTAAGTTATAATCGATTGGAATGAATTTATATTTACAAAAGTAACGCGCAATTATACAGAAAAAAGTTTCAGACAAAAAATTTAGAGAAAATTATTCTCTATAAAAAATGGTATTACAAATTTTGTCGAAAAATTGACAAAACGTGAGATTTTCGACATTTTAAAGATGCCGCGGCACTTAACGCTTTTTGATGATTTTCCCAATTTCTAGTAATTTTTCGGCAAAAACTGTTATAACATTTTTTGTAGGGAATAAAATTCCCCACATTTTAAATATAAACATTTTTCTGTAAAATCAATATTTTTCAAGTTATAATCGATTGGAATGAATTTATATTTACAAAAGTAACGCGCAATTATACAGAAAAAAGTTTCGGACAAAAAATGTAGAGAAAATTATTGTTTACAAAAAATGTTATTACAAATTTTGTCGAAAAATTGCCAAAACGTGAGATTTTCGGCATTTTACCACTTGACGTTTTTTGATGATTTTCCCCATTTCTAGTAATTTTTCGACAAAAATTGTTATAACATTTTTTGTAGGAAATGAAATTCCCCACATTTTTTAATATAAACATTTTTCTGTAAAATCAATATTTTTTAAGTTATTCCGATTGGAATGATTTTTTGTTTACAAAAGTGTGACGTACAGAAAACAGGTTTGGACAAAAAATTTAGAGAAAATTATTCTCTACAAAAAATGTTAATACAAATTTTGTCGAAAAATTGACAGAACTCGAGATTTTCGGCATTTTCACTCTGCCGCGGCACTACTAACGTTTTTGACGATTTTCTCAATTTCCGGTAACTTTTCGACAAAAACTTATAAAACATTTTTTGTATGGAATAAAATTCCCCACATTTTTCATTCCAAACTTTTTTTTGTAAAATCGATATTTTTGAGGTTATAATCAAAACTTTTAGGGTTGATTTCCACCCATTGGGAGGATTTAAACGCTTCAGATTTTGAACACATGGACGGTCCACTGTTGTATAAAATGTTAAAAAGTAAATCCCAACTACCCTTGCACAGTGCAGTAAGATTACAAAGGGAAGACGTGGTGTTTTTGTGTCTTGTGGAAAATTCTAGTAAGGTAATTACTTAAGTGCAATTTTTTTTAATATTGACGGTGAGAAAATATACTCAATCAATTTTTTACATTCTTTATTTTATAGGTAGGTATCACAGTATGATATTTATTTACATTTTGTTATGATAAATATTTCTTACTTTGATAATTCAATGGCAGTAGTGATATGTATTTTTTATTGGCCTATAAGGGGGTGGTTTATCTTAGATATAAAAATAGGGCTATCACAGATGATATTACATATATACAGGGCGACTTTTTGTACGATTGGTTACATAAATAACTATTGCAATAGCAGTATTCGATTTTGTTCAAAATTTGACCCTTTCTATCCGAAACTTGACATCCCTCTGTATATGGTTCTTCTATTTTGATCTCCTCTTGCCATTTCCCGTTTTGGTATTTTTGATTTTGTAGCTTTTGTGGCGCACAATCCCTCTCAGTACCATTTATTTTCCCTGAAACATCACCACTGAAAATTTTCTTCATACAGTATGTTGAAAATGGACAGTCCACTACGTATTTTTCCGAATAGTCAAAGTCTTTACATAAAGGAACCACTTTATTTGAAACATACACTGGGTTGGTGAATAAACATTTGTAGCACTGTATTGTACATTCAATTGTTGGCAAACCTGAAACAAAAAAAAATATCAATAATTATTATGTATTTATGCAATAATTATATTGCTAAATATCAACTAAAAAAATACCAACAATTATTGTAATAGTAAAATAGCTTTGGGCTTGTAAAACAAGTTTATAATAATTAATATAATAGTATTTATGAAATAATGACAACAAATAATAAGATAAAACTTTTTTTATGCCATGCTCTATATTTTACTGATAAAACTCAATGCTAACCAGTCTACATAATAATTTGAAAGTTTGATTAAATTTTATCTGTTTTTTTTTATTTTATTTTTTTATTTACTCAAGGTTAAATCCCAAGTAAAAGTGTTGTTGCATTGTCAGTTGATAAATAAAAACATTTCAAACGATTACTGAGAAAAAAAATTATATGACACTCATTGTTTTACCTTTATAAGCATATTGCTAACAGCTAAAATCTTTTAAAGTTTATTCACCTTAAAAGACAAGGTCATAATGTTTATATGACATTAAAAAAATGATTTAATTAATTCTAATCGTTGCACTAAATGTTTAATTCGATAAATATTATTTCCTGGTTTAGATTATTAACAAGTCCTATGTAATATAGTTTTTAAACCATATACATTTAGGGTAGAATTAACCAATCAATTTTAATCGTTTTATTCATTTCCTATTGTTCATACAGAAAAAGTTTTTAGACAAAAAATGTAGTGCTTGAAATTTTTTTTTATATTTTGAACCTCTAAACAACAAAAACCCAAAATTTGATCAAAGTTAAATAATTATTAGGGCCACAAAAAATTATTGCATACTTCTTATATTTAAACACCCTGTATTATAGAAAGCAACGTAAGAATATTTCGACACGAATTGTACAATGATATGACACAATATTTGCGACAATTACCTAAAAAGCATTTTGCAATCACCACATAATAATTAATTAATGAAAAAAAAAGAAAAAAATATTTTTATTACACATAAAATGACCAACCCTTACTACTTAGTTAATTAGTACAAAATCCTTCCCGAAATAGCTAAATATAAAAAATTATATGGGCAATTTTTACACGTGCATATACAGGGTGTATCAAAAATAATAATAAATACGTACTTGATATGAAAATAGATACTATGAATAAATAATCCACAAACATTTTTTTTTCTTTAAAATTATCACATTTAATCGCACTTTTTTTGTTTTTTTCACTGAACCCACTTAACTTTTAACAGAAAACAGGTTTTTTATTATGCAAGTCTTCACATAAAATAATCACAGTAAATGTTTATTTTTCAACCCCTTGTATAAATATTTACAATATTTACCCCGCTTATGCTTGCGCGTAAAATGACAGCAATAAACTGATACAATATATACATTATTGAAGTATATTTCTACGCTGTTGTCAAATTTACTCGTAATAAAAAAAATAGTATGAAAATGCCCGAAAATATAGTCTCTACAATAACGAACACTTTTTATATTAACAAATTCCAAAAAAAAAATTATTAAAATACTAAAATGTGGTATAAAAATAAAAAAATTCAAAAAATTCCCCACATCTTGATATTTTTTATAAATCTGGCAACACCGCAATGTCCCGTTCTTTCGCAACAATAATCTCGAGTCTGCATCGCAACGGATGACGCATCACCGTCCGAGACGCGACGTTGCCACGTTTAGCTGAAAGTCTTGTTTTCGGGAATTGTTGTTTTGCTTTATTATATCTGATTTTATAAACAGAAAAAATGTTTTTTTATATACAGACTGTATAGAATCAAGTAAGTAAGGCTGGAGACAAGGATGACAAATTATATTCTGATCAGAGGAAAAGAAACAGACTTTAATTGGGCGTGGTTTAAACCAAGCCATTCGTAATTACGAACCATAGTTGCCAGGTTGTTTTAAATCAGAAGAGTACGATTATAATTATTTAATAAATAGTTCAATTTTGTACGATTATAATTATTTAATAAATAGTTCAATTTTATTGTTTGAAACTTTGAAAATAACAAAAAAATTAATATTATGTCAAAAATAATTTGATTTAGTTAATTTTCTTACTTTTAATATTAAAAAATAAGAAAAAACACCCTTTTAGGAAACAATAATAGCATATGGCAACAGCGCGGCATGCCGCGGATTGTAGCTACACTGGGTAAAGGCCTATTTTGAAACATATTTTGAAATAAAGTTTGTATTTGGCGATACGATCTACCAGTGTGATGCCATACCATAATTTGGTATTTTTCCTCACGAGTAAAAACCATTTTATTTGAGAAAATACTTAAATTCTTACAAAGACGTACGCAAAGTCTCAGTGCATTTCTTAAACTGACGCACAGACAGTGTTGCCAGTAGTAGAAAAATTAAAGTACTGAAATGGCAATAAAAACTTATTGAATTTGAAAGATAACGTACTGACTTTGAGAAATAAATATTAAACTTACCTATATGAACGTAATTTTATTTTGTAATTTATCAATAAACACATGCACATAAATAAACTATAAACATCAAAAGAACAAAATAGATAATTATTATTATACCTATACAAAAAAACAATATTGTTGGTAAAATTAAAAAATAGTCTACCTATCGATAATTAATTTTCTTTTTTAACAAAGATTGAGGTATTTGGCTTCAATAATTCCTATTATTCCTATGAGCGGTTCTTGGCGAACTTGGAACAAACCTTATGTCAACACTAAGTAGACAACGCGCGCTACCAACAGTTTAAAACTTAAAATACCAGGATACTAAAATAACTCAGTATCACCAACCTAAACTTTTAATTTTTTCTTTAATTTTTATTTAAATAAAGGGGAAAAAATCTAAAACTGGAAAACGTACCGAAAACCATCAACGAGGTACTTGCTTACTTTTTTTAAGTACTGAATTCGGTACAAACGTACTGACGCTGGCAACACTGCGCACAGATCATACGACAATGATACAAATTCAATCCCTACCACAGTGGGCGTGGTTTGGCACTTGTTTTATTTAAGTGTATCTATTCGTTTTAATACACACTGTATTCTAAAAATTTGTTTGTTACTTTTTAAATTTGCGATTTGGCAACACTGCAAATAATTGAATAGCGATCTTGCTGAACATATTTAATTTTTTTTAGAAAAATGATTCATGTTTTTTTCGGGAATTAAATGAATTATAAATAAACACTTATCTTTTGTTTTGGTTTTATGGTTTATTATTTTTTTAAATCTTTATTTATCAAATTATTTGACCGGAAATGGTTTCATTTAATCTGTGCACTAAATTTTTAACTTCTTACCGGAAATACCAATTTACTGAGTTGAATAAATCGTGGGTACTAAAGTATTATTTGAATTCTAAAATTACTTTCTTTCTTTCTATAGTACGTCGAAAAAATTTCGTATAATTATTTCTGAATTATTTTAGCTTAGCGATATAGTCAACGTTTGGAGTCCTACCGGGGAACTACCCTTAGATTTGGCCCTAAAGGCCCACAACAACAGTATAGCAACAACTTTGATACAACATAACGCCGACATAAATATTAGGGACAAAATCGGTGACAGTCTATTACACAGGGCTATAAAAAAGGAAGATTCTTTTTCGGCACTATTTTTGCTGGAAAACAATTGCGACGCTACTTTATCTACAAGGTGATTAATAAAATAAAATAACCACAAACTAAAAAATTGTTAAATACAAATTTTAGAAACGAAAATGATTCCGCGCTCCATCTAGTAGCAGGTGCTACAAACATTGAGGACAGCGAAAAGATAACTGAAAAGTTACTAAATAAAAACGTCAATGTCAATGCGCAGAATCGACAGGGATTGTAAGTATATAAAAATATACAGGGTGTTCTATAATAACTACATGTTTATTAGCACTGCACTTCACATAGCAATACAAGCTGATAACAGACCGATATTCGAAATGTTATTGAACGAAAAAAATATCAACGTCAATCTTAAAAATAACGACGAACACTGCCCTCTTTATTACGCCCTTTTAAAGTATAATTCAGGTAAAAAAAAATGTTTTCTGTGTACCAGGCTTTAGCGCATTTTTTAGGGGACACATCTGACAACTGCTACGCCCTGAAACTTATACAGGGCGACAAGAAAGACTGTCAAACCAATCCTTTGTATAAAGACACCTCAAATAGTTTACTGCAAATTTTGATAGTGAATGGTTATCAAATTTCCGCAACATTTTTGGCCGAATTTGTACCAAATTTGGACCACGTTAACCTAGAAGGTACCACCGCGTAAAACATATATACGGGGTGTTTCAAAACTCTTTTGTAGGTGAAACTGCTTTGCATTTATCCTGCATAAATAATTTTTCTGGGGTTGTGGAACAACTTTTAAATTTAGGTGCCAACCCTAATTTGTTGTCCAACGAAAATAGGCAATCACCTTTACACTACGCTGTCAAATATAACGCCATGGAGTGTATATTAAAATTTATCGGTAAACATGTCGAAACAACGTCACAAAATCCTTACCTACATGATATGATTTTTAGAACACAATAAGGATTCCTCAAAAATATCGGCAAATTTCAACGCTAGGGACATAAACGGTGATACCCCCATAAGTTTGTCACTAAACGAGGGAAATAATGAGTTGGTACCGCTGCTAATACAAGGTGGTGCAGATGTTAACGTACGAAATGGTAAAGATTTTAGTTTGTTACATCAAGCTGTATTGAAAGAAGATTCCAAGACTGCTCTATTTCTACTCGAAAACGGGGTCGATATCAATGCTATGTAAGTCATTTCTCAATTTTTGCGTATTTTTCATTTTTAAATTTTTTCTGTAGAATGCATATCTTGGAAGATAGATCGCATGTAACATATATGTAACATTTATATAACATCGATTTCTGTCAACTTAACGTCAAAAAGTTTTGTTTAGAATTACATTCTTTATCTTTTTTGTTTTAAACTTTTTTCAGTTAAGTTAATATTTTTGAAGATATTACAGTTTTAATTTTTTTTATTTTAATTTCGACGAAAACTTGATAATGTTTTTGTAGAGCATAGAAATGTGCATATTTTTCATTCTAAACTTTTTTATGTGGAATGCACATCTTGAAAGATATAGCGCATGTAACATACAGATAACATTTAAATAACATCTACAATTTCACGCTTTCTGTAAACTTAACGACAAAAAGTTATATAACGTTTTTTGTTTGAAATTAAATTCTTTATCTTTTCTGTTTTAAACTTTTTTCTGTAAAGTTAATATTTTTGAAGATATTACTGTTTTAATTTTTTTTATTTTAATTTCGACGAAAACTTGATTATGTTTTTGTAGAGCATATAAATGTGCATATTTTTCATTCTAAACTTTTTTCTGTAGAATGCATATCTTGAAAGATATAGCGCATGTAACATGCAGATAACATTTAAATAACATCTACATTTTCACGCTTTCTGTCAACTTTACGACAAAAAGTTATATAACATTTTTTGTTCAGAATTACATTTTTTACATTTTTTGTTTCAAACTTTTTTCTTTAAAGTTAATATTTTTGAAGATATTACCATTTTTTTTTAATTTGTATGTCGACGAAAATCTTGATAATGTTTTTGTAGAGCATATTTTTCATTCTAAACTTTTTTCTGTAGAATGCATATTTTTGCAAATGTTACATTTATGTTATATTTAAGTAACATCTAAATTATCAGGCTTTCTGTTAACTAAACGTCAAAAAGTTATATAACGTTTCTTTTTTGGAATTAAATTATGCATATTTTTCATTTGAAACTTTTTTCTGTAAAATCGATATTTCCGAAGATATCACATTTTTTCTTTTCGTATTAGCACAACAGACGGGGAAACACCTCTGCAGTTAGCAATACACTGTCGTTTACCGGAAGTGGTCGACGCTTTGTGCAAAAAAGGCGTGGACATGTCGGCACCGGATAGACTCGGCAACTGCGCGCTCTGGTCAGCCCTGGATTCCGATTTGGAGGAAATCGCGAGCATCTTGGTGCGTCATGGTGCAGATCCGGACTGTTGGGGCTCAGGACCGGACGGTTGTAGGCAAACTCTATTGCACAGGTGCCATATCTGAAACGTCACGATTTTTTTTAGTTTTTTTTTCATTTTTACAGGGCTATAGATGAAAATAAAGAAACGGCCGCGATTTTTCTGATTCATTCCGGGTGCGATTTGGATTCCCCCCGCATGGGGGGGCCCAACGGGGAAGGGGGGGATGAAGCCAAAGATAAAGCTTCGCCTCTGCATCTGTGCTGTCAGTGGGGGCTGGAAACCGTCGTTAGGGTGCGTTATACAAAAAAAATTATTTGACAAAAAATGTGGGGGATTTTTTTCTCTACAAAAAAGGTTTTTATGGTTTTTGTCGAGAAATTGTTGGAAATGGAGATTTTTATGTTTTTAATGTACGGGGTGCCGCGGCACGTAGATTTTGTTAAATATCTCGACTTCTGGCGATTTTTCGAGAAAAATTATAGGAGAATTTTTTGTAGAGAACAATATTCCCCATATTTTTTCCCTATAACTTTTTTTTTAAAGTTGATTTTTTAGACTTTAGTCGAACATAGAGCAAACATAAACAGCAGGGATGTTGATAACAAAACCCCGCTACATTTCGCAATAGAAAACCAACACGATCAAATCATAAATTTGTTGTTAAGTGTACCGGAAATCGATTTAACTTTGAGGGATAAAAGTGGACTTACTCCTTTTGCCGCTGCTTTGACTTATAGAAACAACAAAGCGGCACAGGCAATTTTAGATAAACTACCGTCAGCTGCAGAACAGGTAAGTCCTATATCAAAGTGTGATACGTCAAAATGAAGGTTATAAAATTCTCTACAAAAAATGTAGATTTCATTTTTTCGTATAACAAACCGTTAAGGAATAACGGAGCATCAAAGATTTCCTTACCGCGGCAGACAATGAAGCCTGATAAATCCTAAACTATTAACTTTACGTAAAAAATGTATTTTACGTTTTTTATTGGGAATTTAATTTCCTACAAGTTCATATACAAAAACATTTCCGTTTTCAGTTTGATTCGAAAGGGCACAATTTTTTACACACAGCAATTAAAAAAGGCGACATAGAAAGTGCTTTATTTTTACTCACTATAAACGTAGACGTTAACTCTAGGGTGCAAGACTCCATGTTAACTCCCCCCATACATTTGGCCGCCCAGTTCGGCAATGAAACCCTAGTAAGGAGTTTAATTTTAGCCGGGGCCAGAGTAAACGATAGGGACGCCCAAAAGTAAGGTTAAATTTTAACGTTTTAGTTTTATTTATTGTTTGGTATTTTAGGAGGACAGCCCTGCACATTGCCAGTGAATCTGGCAACAGCGCCGCGGTATCGGCGCTGTTGCAAAACAGCGCGGATTGTGATGCGATAGATGTGGAAAGCAACAATGCTTTGCATATTGCTGTTAGGGAAGGGCATTTAAGCGTGGTATGTAATAAAAACATCACGAATTTTTACGAAATTTTGAAGGTTGACTGTCAAAATAAACCCCTTTAAAATACATCTTTCATTTTTTCAAAATCCTCAAAAACAAAAAAGTTACACTCAATCAAAGTTCGGTTTAATTTTTCTTAGGTAAGAGCTCTATTAACTGAATCCACTATAGACGCTGAAGCCGTGAATATGAAAGGTCGAAATCCTCTACACGAGCTGTGTAAATACGGCAAAGAAAATGCCGCGACAATATGCGAATTATTTTTTGAATGCATGCCCAATTACCCCATCAACAGACCTGATATAATGGTAAAAATATTATATGATCAAATGCGTTTTTTATTCACATAAATATTAATTTTTAAGGGAAATTCCGCCTTACTATTGGCTTACATGAAAGGCAACAGCAGTTTATGTAAGGTTTTAGTCAAAGCTAATGCCTGTTTGGCTGTAGAGAACCAAGAGAGAGTTACTATTTTCAACTACCAGGTATATATCGTTGAAAATGTTAAAGCTACGAAAAAAACTTATAGGAGAAAAATGTGGGGAATTTCATTATCTACAAAAAGTTATATAACAGTTTTTGCCGTATTATTGCCCGAAAAAAAGATATTTGAGATTTTAAACCTGCCGCGGCACTTTCCTAGTTATCTCGATTTTGGTTGAATTTTCGACAAATTTGATTATAACGTTTTTTGTAGATAATAAAATTCCCTACATTTTTCGCCCATAACTTTTTTGTGTAGCTTTAATATTATCAAAGATATCACAAAAAGTATTTTTATGTTTTGACTTTTGTGTTATCTTTGATAATATTAATGCTACACACAAAAGTTATGAACGAAAAATGTGGGGAATTTCATTATCTACAAAAAGTTATTTGACAGTTTTTGCCGTATTATTGTCCAGAAAAAAGATATTTGACATTTTAACGTGCCGCGGCACTTTTTTTAACACTTTCTTAATTATCTCGATATCGGTTAAATTTTCGACAAATTTGATTATGAAGTTTTTTGTAGATAATAAAATTCCCTACATTTTTCATCCATAACTTTTGTGTGTAGCATTAATATTATCAAAGATAATGGTATTTTTAGGTACCAACAAAACAACTGCTAAACAAGCTGCTAGATCAGCTGTCAAAACCTGCGGAGTGGTTCAACACTGACGCTTGTCAGGAGTGCGGGAAAAATTTTTCCATCACCGTTCGCACCCATCACTGTAGATTGTGCGGTAGAGCTTTGTGTAGCAAATGTTCGGAAAATTTGGTGCCCATCATCAAATTCGGGGAAAATAAACCCGTCAGGGTTTGCAAAATATGCTTTGACGTGGTGAAAACCGGGGCTTAAGCATAAGCGAACAAATATTGGTTTAACCAAAGTCCTAATTATTATTATTTTTTTATTATCAAGTATTTCATAAAAAATGTATTAATATTTATACATTCCCTATTATTATTTTCGCTTTAATCGATTTATTTACACCATATATTATATATACTTTGTTTCATTACTAAATATATAATTAAAACTATAGTTAACGTGTTTTATTTATTGATCAACCCTCGTATAGAGGCGTTTTATTTATTCATTGATCCTCGTATATCAAGTTAGCTGGTAGTTCAAATGACCAGCAATATTGACGTTTATTTATAGGTTAGGTTTAAACGTCAAAGTTATTTTATCAATTTTATGAGAAAATGAACGCATTAGGGCTGAGTATGATAATGAAAATGGGTTGTATATGCACCAGAGAGTCAATTAACATCAACGGAACAAAATATGTAGTTAACGAACGGCTAGGGGAAGGGTAAATATGGCTTAAGTTAATATGGCTTAAGTTATTTTATCAATTTTATGAGGAAATTAACGCTTTAAACATGCATTGTATATGCACCAGGGAGTCAATTAACATTAACGAAACAAAATATGGACCCTTTTTTATTTATTCATTGATCTTCGTATATCAAATTAGCTGGTAGTTCAAATGACCGGCAATATTGACATTTATTTATAGGTTAGGTTTAAACGTCAAAGTTATTTTATCAATTTTATGAGAAAATGAACGCATTAGGGCTGAGTATGATAATGAAAATGGGTTGTATATGCACCAGAGAGTCAATTAACATCAACGGAACAAAATATGTAGTTAACGAACGGCTAGGGGAAGGGTAAATATGGCTTAACATATGTTACAAAGAGATGTTGAGTTTTATTGGTTTTTAGCGGGTTTTCTTGCGTAGATTTGGTGGAAAACACGACGACGAAGAAAAAATATGCTTTGAAACGAATTTTATGTCACAGCATCGAAGATCAAAAGCGAGCAATGCAAGAAATCACTTACTGTAAAAAACTACGACACCCCAACATAATCGAACTTATAGACAGTACTTTCAAAGGCTCCGCTGATATTGTCGTTCAAGCGACATCAGAGGCGTTTTTGGTGCTGCCGTACTACCGTAGAGGCACATTGCATGATTATTTAGCCCTACGATCATTCAGCAAAAAGTATATGGATATAAAGGACGTTTTACGAATTTTCTGTGATATATCGAAGGCTTTAAAGTATTTACACGATTTTACCCCCGACCCCGTTGCACATAGGGATTTAAAAGTCGCTAATGTATGCCTTACGGAGAATATGGACCCCATTTTGATGGATTTAGGTATAACTTGGTGGATATTGATTTTACAAAAAAAATTTATGGGGGAAAATTGTGGGGAATTTTATTGTCTACGGAAAGTTATAGGAAAGTTTTTGCCGAAAATTTGCTGTAAAGCGAGATATTTGACATTTTTTAAGTGCCGCGGCACGTTTTTATACTTTTAGTTATATAACTCAATTTCGGTTGATTTTTCAAAAAATTTGTAATGAAACTTTTTGTAGGCAATACAATTCTCTACATTTTTCCCCTATAAAATTTTTTTGTAGGGTTAGTATTTAACAAGTTTTTTTAGGTTCTTGTGCACCAGCCACAGTTCAAATATGTGGGGCACAAGATGCGCAAAAATTACAGGATATTGCTGCAGAAACCTGTTCAATGACTTACAGAGCCCCTGAACTCTTCCATGTGGAATCATATTGTATTATCGATCAAAGAACTGATATTTGGGTACGTTTTTAAACTTTTGACGTTTTATTTTAATTTTGCAATTTTTTTTTTAGAGTTTGGGGTGTGTTTTGTACGCCATGTTGTATTTTAAATCCCCTTACGATGTTGTATATGAAAGGGGCGACTCTGTAAACCTAGCGGTCATTTCTGGTACTGTACATTTTCCAGAAGAAACCCCTTACAATGAAGTAAGTGTAAAAATAAAATTAACAAATATTACGTCGAAAAATTTTTTTTTTTAGGATATACATGATCTAATAAAATTAATGTTAAAAGTAAGTCCATCCGAAAGGCCTTTCATAGATAAAATTTTAGAAAGAACTGAGGAATTGAAAAATAAATATGACAACGTTGTATAATTTTTTTTATAATTGTAAATATAATTTAACGCATTTATTAAGGTTATTTTGCATTTTTTATGTCGAAATAATAAATTTTATCACTGCTTCTATTTTTTTATTTCAAAGGAAAAACAAATATGTAAAATAATTATTTTATTAATAAAATATTACAAAAAACAATTTTTATATAAAATCATTATAAATTACAATAAATAGAATAGACTTACATCCTAAAAAATACATTTAAAGGCACATGAACCACAAAATCTCAATACACAATTAAATAATAATCCATACCATCGATTTTTGCAAATACCTTGCTTAATGTTGGTGGTACGTAAAAATGTGTTACACAAAAATTGTAGATCCTTTAATTATCTACAAAAAAGTTATTATGCATTTTTACGTACAATCAACCGTTACGGATTGGTGCCGTGACCAGGATTTTCTTCAACCACTCGTATCTCTTTAACGGTTCGTTGTACAAAAAAATGCGTTTTACCTTTTTGGTAGGGAATTTCATAACCTACAATTTGTATTTATGACATTTTAACATCGGACCAATAGCAAGCCAGATACAAGCAAAAACCGACAGGGCTATCATAATAATAAATAATCCTAAATAGAAAAAAATTAAATATGTACAAATAGGCAAAATTCAAGGCATTTTTCGGGGAAAGGCACAATTCAACATTATTTGAGCTTAACATTATTTCACAACAATCACAAACAATTCGATAATATATATTTACAAAAAAATGGCTTAAAACAATTATTTTTTAAATTAATTCAATATTTATTTGACTGAACATTTGAGCAATATAATCAACTTTTTTTAATCAGTCATGAATTAATAACACCATTAAATCAGAGTTTCAAATAAGAACGCCAAATTTAAAATATATTATTATCAGTCAATATTTTAAATAATAAAAGGCGTTTTTTTAAATTTTGAAGGTTAAAAAGGAACTTAAAAAATCATATATTTACCACTGTTTGAGCTGTTTCTTTATGATAAATATCACAGTTTCGTGGTTTTTACTTTCTACTACAACAGTCAACATTTTATATCTCATCTTTTTTTATCGGCTTCTTTCAAGTCAGGCCCGAAAAACCCTAAATTTTTTAACGTTTTTGACACCCTTTCCACAAGAGGTTCCTTAAATTTCCATATTGTAGTATCCATGACACTGGTTTTTCTGAACTCCTCACAACTTTTTTTCAAAGTTTTTACACAGTCCGCCCTGTAATGATGCAACTGAGCATCAGCTGTATCAATTGGATAGGACGTACAACCTGAACCTAAAATATTAATAAAAAACTATATATACCCTAATATATATTATTCAAAAATTACCCAAGCAAGACAATGGAAAATGATTATGCAATGTCAAAACCTTTTCTGTATTATGAAAACACTTGACATATTGGCCAGGTTTTGTAAAATTTCTTGTTCTATAAACATGCTGTAACATGTGCATATACCTAAAAATAAAATATGCACATAAACCCCAAAAAATCTCAAAAACTATCAAATAATATCCCCACATAACACATTTTTACGAATATCAAGCTTAATATAAATCGCACGCAAAAATATGATTTATGTTAATTGTAGATCTATTAATTATATACAAAAAAGTTAAAATGCATTTTTACGTAAAATTAACCGTTACGGATATATCGCACTTTGAAGTGTTGGCAATAGATTGGTGCCGTGACCAGGATATTTTTAGCAGTTCGTTGTACGAAAAAATGCATTTAACACTTTTTGTAGAGAATTTCACAACCCACAATTTTCATCCACGACATTTTAAAATCGGACCAATAGCAAACCAGATACAAGCACAAAACTGTCAAATTATCACATTTTTACGAATATCAAGCTTAATATTGGTCGCACATAAAAATATGATTTGTGTTAATTGTAGATCCATTAATTATCTACAAAAAAGTTAAAATGCATTTTCACGCAAAATTAACCGTTACGGATATATCGCAGTTTGAAGTTTTCAAGGCAAATTGGTGCCGTGACCTGGGTATTTTTAGCGGTTCTTTATACGAAAAAATGCATTTAACATTTTTTGTAGATAATTTCACAACCTACAATTTTCATCCACGACATTTAAAAATCGGACCAATGGCAAGCCAGATACAAGCAAAAAACTGTCAAATTATCACATAACACATTTTTACGAATATCGAGCTTAATATTGATCGCACATAAAAATAATATTTATGTTATTTGTAGATCCATTAATTATCTACAAAAAAGTTCAAATGAATTTTTACGTAAAATTAACCGTTACGGATATATCGCACTTTGAAGTGTTTAAGGCAGATTGGTGCCTTGACCAGGATCATTTTAGCGGTTCTTTGTACGAAAAAATGTATATAACATTTTTTGTAGAGAATCTTACGACCTACAACTTTCATTAATGACATTTTGATATCAGAACAATAGCAAGCTTGTTACAAGCAAAAAACTGACCTGGGTATTTCTTTGAACCATCCATGGTTGTGTATCAAATCATCCAGAAAATACACGTTTCTTACGTTATATGAAGCCCTTTCTTCCTTATTTATTTTCAACGCTTTAGGGAGCACTTTATTCTCCATAAGATCTTTCCATGAAGTTCCATCTATAGGCATTATAACTTCATCTATGTCTAGTAGAGCTATGTACCTATATTTGTACATGTTTTTGTAGAGGCAATCGTTGTAAGGTATCAATTCGTTTTGCCTTTTGTGGTTGGTTTTTTTCGTTAGGTATAAGTGTTGGAAACTTGGTATGTTAGGTTGACCACCAGCTAAGTTGATGGGGGTTACTTGTATTTTGCCTTCGTTTTCATAGTACTTCAGTACTTTGGATATGTTTGGGTGTACTTGTAACTCGTAGAAGTAAATTTTCTCTGCCCCTAGAATGTTTAGTAACTCTATCCATTCTACCAACCTAACTGATAGGTCTTCATGTAAAAAGTCCAAACCCTTTACACACACAGCAAAGTCTTTTTTCTTTTCGGGTTTTTCATATATAACACGTAAGTTATTAGTAGCATTATCACATTGTTTTTCCACCAAAGATATACTTTGTGGAATTTTCTCTCTATATTTCTGGGGAATCACACAAGCCAATAGGTAAGGCTGATAGATACCATTCTTATAATTACCCCACTTTTTATACCAAATATACTTATACTCGAATGTTTTAGCGATGACTGGTTCCTTTTTACCGTCAAACCAAAATTGACAGTAAGTTACAACCGTAGGCTCTATTCTATCAATCATACCCAAAATTCTAACGGTCGGACCTAACCTATTATTGGCCCTTTTGTCCAAGTACGCCCCATATAATTGAAAAGTGCCTGAAATGATTTTATTTGTAGCTGTTAAATTTTATTTCCTAGCTTAAAATCAAGTACAACCCTATATTGTCAAGGATAAAACTAACATTAAACTAAATATTAAATGTTAAGAAATGAAATAATCTTATTCTTAATTTTGAAAAATTTCCTCTATTCTGTTCTCAAAGATATTAAACTATACTGGATATAAATATAATTATCACTTACCATTTGATGTTCTTAATGTTTGCCAGTACAAATTATTAAATTCCAGTTCAAACATGCTCGGAAATCTTGCACATGTATTGTTAAAACCCATAGGTTTATTTTTGTTTTTGTTCCAATATACTATAGGTAAATTTGGAGCTCTATTTTGTATATCTTCTACCATTTTGTCTTCTGTTAGAGGTGAACTTTTGTCTATGTAAGGTTCCATGTCTAAAAAAATCACAATGTCTAAAACTGGAAACTGGATACTGTCAATCAACATACCCAGTATACTTTCTGTAGTTGAATCAGCATGTCTAGTAAGAGGGTCAAGTTTTTTTTGCAGTAACAGTCTGCTATTTAAATGTGGTATCTGTACATCTAAATTAAAATTTTTAAATTGAAACACTGTGTATATAATTAATGCCCATAGTAAGCCAAAAGTTAATATTTTGGTTATGAATCTCCCACCTCCTTTTTTTGCACCACAACAAACCATATCGAGAATCTGTAAATTTAAAAAATTGTTTTTTTATTTTGAAGATTCAAATCCGTGATATAACAACACTTATCCGTATAGAATATTCAATACATCCTGTGAAAGTTTAAATGCTTACATCTCAAAAAAATTTTAATAACACCTATAACAATTTGCCATTGTTCAGTTTAAACAATTGGTATGTAGGAAATATGTTATAAGTTTTATTGCATAACTTATAACATCTTTCATTTACAAATAGAACGAAATTTTTATTATGAACTTTTACATGTAGATATATAAATAGTCTCGTGCTTTTTGTTTCCAGAGAATAAAAAAAACAAAACAAAAGCTATTTCCTGTGACCTTGGCCAATGCAGACATTATAAAATGGCTTTAAAAATACGTTTCTTATTTTTTTGTATTTTCATACCAGCTGAAATAATCCATAACTAATAATGGTAGTCATGGAAACAATACACAGGGTGTTTGCACATTTGATAATTTAGAAACAGTAAAAATTGCGAAATTGATATTCGGTATTATTTAAATTTTTCGACAATCAGTGGATATGAAATTATTCAAATACATTCAAATTTATACAGAATTTCCTTTTTGTAGGAAACAACAAAATAAGCGTCGTTACATAATTAATTAAAGAATTTTAAATAATAATGAAAGTTTCATTAAAAACCTACACAAACAATTTTCCCAATATTATATGCTTTAATGTATATCCAAGTATTGTATTCTCAAAGGTTTTTTTTATGAAAAAATGATTTTTGATAAAATTCAAATTAAGTGATAATAATATGGGGCATATTTTATACTGTGTGTTTAAACATAGTAGTATAGGAAGGTATTTAGAACATTTCTGATAAAAAAGAAATAAATTATACATAGGTACCTAGAATAACATAAATAAATATTAATGTTGTTAAACTTTAATATTTAAAATTTTAGAATTTTAAATTTTTTGCATTCTACGATAAAAACTAACATTTCTCTACTTTATAAAATAAAAACTATAGGTAAATTAGGAGAAATTTCAAAACTTTTTAACCTTATAACAACTCGTTACTTTAGTAACACTTCTTTATTAAAATAAACACACATTGTGAGATTTTAACTGTTAACTTATTTTCAATGAATTAGCCTTAATTTACCAAGAGATTTCATAGTAAGATTAATTAAATTATATTGCTATAATGCAGATGTCATGACCTTAATATAACTTAACAGTTTTAATAGATAACTTAGGTTGTACCATGTTCTCCATACTGCAGATGTTTCTTAATTTCATTTAAAATTGTACAAAACATTTTATTTACTGTTCAACAGGCCAAAGAAATATAATTACCAAGTAAAACGTGGAAAACTGGTTATAGATTTTTCTGGTAACATTAATTTTCATCTTCATTTGAATTTGTAATTTTATTATACAGAAGAAACAGAAAAACAAGTCATATTACCACTAAAATTGCAAAAAAATCATTCATGTATAGAAAATTTCTACATGCTTTATAAACACTTATAAGGCTTGCTTAATAAATAATTAATTTCGTAACAATTATTTTTAATAACTTGTTCTAATTATTCTAGCTTTGTTTTTTAGGTTGAGAGTAAAATCCAGTATTCTGTGGTTAAATATTGGCAGCAAAGGAAGTGACGTCACATTTGGGTAATTGAAAACTGACAAAATTGGAACAAAAGTAGTCGAAATTCAAGAACACAGTGGGAAAAATTATAAAAGTGATTGGACAAATTTAAAAAAATTTTAGTTTTGAATTTTTTTTTTAATTTTCTAAAATTTTAAATCTTTATTAATTGTGTTTAGGAAAAAATCGCCCAGTGGGATAAATAAAAAAGATGGTGGGAAAAATTTCCAAAACATTCAAATTTTCAAAAATCTTTTGAATTTTACAAAATTTGGCACAAAAAAATTCTCAAAGTGAGGTAGGACAAATTTCCCAATTTTTTTAAATTCAAACACTTTTATCAAACCTTTATTAATTGTTAAATGAAAAATTTACACAGTGGCATAAAAAATTTAATCAAATTTTTTAAATGTTGGGTTGCACAGTGGCTTTTAAAAATGAAGAAATTTACAAAGTTTCCAAAATTTTAAATTTTCCTATTTATTTAGATTATTTAAATTTTCCAAAATTTTCAAAATATTTCCGATTTTTTCAATTTTCCAATATTTCGGATTTTTTTTAATTTCCAAAATTCATAAATTTTTTTAATATTCCAAAATTTCAAAAATTTTAAACCAACCTTTACCTATTAGGAAAATTAAAAAATGGGAGTGGAAAAGTTTAAAAAAATGGTAGGACAGTTTCGCACAAATTTTCAAAATTATTTTTTTTGTCAATTGTATTTTCTAACGCTCTTACAAAACTAGTTTAAGCAGTTAACATTATATATCGAAAATGTGAAATGCATTAAAGTGAGTGAATGTATTCTAAACTTAGCATCTTCCAAAAAGTATGTCAAATTCTAAATTCTATGCAAAATTTTACGTTCATCGTTTACAAAGGTCAAGCAAATCATTTAACATAACATCTTTTAAAGTGTGTTGGTTATATAAGAATGTAATGGTTAATCTACTTTTTTTTTCTTTGAGAATTTCCTAATTCCTCAACATTAATTAATGTTATAAATTTCCTTAAATATTAATTTTAGAGACTCAACTTATATGACCTTTTTTGAAGGTCACCAAAAATATTATTAGCTTTTTTCTGCAGAGTCAACTGTTTACAAGTTAATAGCAATGCAAATATTAGTTTATTAAGGTTTTAAAAAGCTTGATTATACTACAGATGCTATCACCCATTGAGTGGTTATTGCAAAAACCTTGAAAACGTAAAAAATAACGTAACTCCTATCAATTAAGTTAATAATGTTACTTTAACAAATTACAAGTTGATGATGAGACGTTACTATTAAACTCAAGGTACATGCACTTAAATATCTATTTGTTTTTAAAATTATATGTACTTAGACCACCATGTATGGGTTAAATTAAATAAAATACTATTTATATGGACTCTTAATGAAAATTCAAGTCGCAAAATCATTTATTACCTTAAACGAATAAATGATATAGATTTCCTTAAAAACCTGTTCTGAACTTTTTGATCATCCCGTATAAAAAATGTACCGCTACACTATTTGGTAACAAAACCGCATAGCAATCGAGAAAAAAAATTTAATTATTTATTCTTTGGTCTAGCTTGGCCTTCAGAAGGTCAAATACTGAGTATCAGTAATTATATTCTTATGCTTATTTTTTTACAATATTTGCTATAATTATGTAGTTATTTGTATTGTATGGGTACGTAATAATAATGATATTGTTTTTTTAGTTATTAATACTGGGTTTTTAATCTGTGACGCAAACAAATAAACATCATGTTTTTGATTGTAAAATTAACATAATGCAACTTTAAAAATGTTAAGTTCTTTCTTATGTTTTTTATGTGATAAATATTACTACTTTCTATTTAGGTATTAGATATATTTTTTATACTATTATATACAGGGTTTTATGACAATTTATCACAATTATAAGTATACTTAATGAATTGCATTATTTCCGCTTTTTTATACAAACTACAACACAAAACGGAAGTACAACGGTTTTCATACATTGTTAAAACAAATTATATGATTAATCAAAATAAAGAACATAATTAACTATTTGTTCATTAACCAAAGGAATGTCATCAAAAGATTTTTGACATTTAAAACTAACTTAAGTAGGTACGTTACAAATTTAAGGTTAATTTGAGGTTATGGTAAATTAACCTTAAAATTGACATTTCACAGTTTTGAAGGACACCCTGTATATACGTAAAACAATATAATAAAAAAAACACTTTTTAAACAATTTTAAACAATTAACGTTAAAAATAAAACTTTAAGACCATTGCAATAATTAGATAGTTAAAAATGCATGGAGCGTAATAAAACTAAGGTTATTTTACACTTTTATTCCAGAAACAGAATAGAATATTTAAGGTCGTACGTGTAAAAAATATATTCGACTAAAAATAGGTAGATTTTGTCTAAAACATTTTTTTCATATTTGTAATAGACTTCTTTCTTTTTAATGTAATTGAAGGTTTTTACTATTAAATTTCCTGTATTTGTAATTAATTATAATCTTACTAAAAGAACAAGTAAATATTTTAACAGGAAACACTTTTTTATTACATATCCTCTTTTAATTACATGTAATTACAATTAATATTAATTTTAATATATATTTTATAAATTATTTAGTTTCTATATATATATATATGTACATGGCTGTAAATTTTTTATATAAGGATGTATTTTGTTTTTAATTACTTCTATTCTTAGATATATTCTAAAAAATTACTGCTATTTGTATTCCTAACCTTGATGAATATAAATAACTATTTATGTACTTATAAGGATACAATTTTTTATTTATTTAGAAGCAATATTAGTCATCAAATTATCATCTTTATTTAAGGTAAATAATAAATACCACACTGATAAAAATAATTATAAACCTAATGGTAACGGTTACAAAATGTTTGTAGAAAGAATTATAGAGCCTAATTATATACCTAGAGTTTATAGTAACCTTATACGACCATTATAAAACTAGTAAACTAAATGGCGATTGTATAAAAGCTTGTTAACCTCTTCTCAAAGAAACGATATATTTTGTCCAAAATTAATTCTTAAACTAAAAAATGTGACTTACCTATTTCACTGTAATATATAAAATGATGTGTAGTTATCAAAAAAACGCCCTATATCAAATTTAATTATTTATGTCGAATCAGTACTTAAAAAATCAGTCGTGTTACTAATATTACTGTGGAACAACACAACAATGATTTTTAGAGTTTTTTGTTCGATATTTTTTATACTTTTTGGAAAAAATCGTAAGTATACGCAACCAAATCTATAACTATTATATTTATATGTATAAGGGTGATTCTACAAAAGTTGGACAACTTGATGTCATCAGTCAATAGAGTAGGTATTTT